GGTCAAGTAAGACCAAAAAAAAAAAAAAAGTTGGGAAAAAATCAAACAAGCAAAAAAAAAATAAACGTTGCTCGAACCCCAACCACCATGCTGGAAATCTCCATGCTAATGCGAATTGACCCACTCATCTAATGCCCCGCTTGGGCAAGGCACACATCAATTTGTAGCGTGGCGGTTGAATACCGCTGGCCACTTTAGGTGAACTGCTTGCCCCGCACCAACACTTAGTCTGCAAATTTAAGGCAAAATGGCTTTTGTGTTCTACGACCACGTTTGCCATAGGTCGGATCCACAATTTGCCCATACAATAAGGGAATGTGACTTGGCATAATTCGATCTACCATGGTGACTCGGGGACCAACTGAGTGGTGTTTAACCATCAATGAGAAAAGCTTTTCCAAAGCTGAAACTCAGTGCATGGTACCAGGCGACTTCATACAAATCAGGCTCTCCCGGTGGCACAAATGGCGTACCTGAAACGGTGAAGGTTGACGGTTGTGTATGCTGACGAACATCCAGAGTAGCCACTGAGCAAAATAGCTGAAAGTGAGTAAACCGAACCTGATCTCCATAGGACCTGAGTGCAAAACCTCGAGCGTGTTTGATTATTATGAAACATGTGTGTTTCAAAGATTCAATTGCATTGTGCTATTAACAGGTGGCAGCATTAAAAATTTTACAAGATACTAAAGACTATCTTTATCTTTAAAAAAAAACTTTTTAAAAACTTGAGAAGTAATATAACTTTGATGTGCTAGGTAAACATCCCAGAGGTATCGGTATATACAGAAGGCGTGATGTCCTTCTTGTCATGAGAAATGGTTCAGAGATAGTAGTTACTGAGATAGCATTTTCTGGGATATGTCTATCCATTAAAGTAAAGCAAGAAGCGCTTCACTTTGATTAACTATTTCTTCATCACCTATGATGAAGGCTACTTGTATAGTCTAAACATCATAGAGGAACATGCCTGCTCTTGACCCGGTCGTTTTCGGGACATAACAAACTGAAAACCAGAGAAAAAGCCAATTAAAAAAAAAAAAACTTTGAATATCCACTTCTAGGTTTTCCCTCTGTTCTATTTACCTTTGGTTGTTCTTGATGCGAGGTCATATATCCGACACCCTGATTGAATCTTCGTTAGCATGCAAGACCCACTGTGCCATCATCATCCCTTGGCTTACCATACTGTGCGTTGTGTGCCCGTAACAGAGCTCAACAATCCCTATGCAGCCATCCTTATTGCGTCTTATGAGTTTTGCCGCCAACAGGCCGGCATTCTTTTCAATCATGTTCTGAAGTAACGGGTGTTCTAGTGTGGATGTGTGAATCATCAGAAATAGGGCTGGGGGGTTTTGTTACAACACCTACCAAGGAATTTGGTTTTTAACACTCGGCTCATAGCAACGGACGTTTCTTCTTCATGTTCAACCATGGTTGCAAATTGATGAGCGAGCATTGTTAGTAAGAGTTGTTCACCGGTGCCTGTAACCACAATACGGTAAGTGACGATGTTACAGCCTTCACTAATAGAAATATCTTATCATACCAGTGCTGCTACAGGCAATCGCTACGTCTGGATCTGTTAATCTTTGGGTCCAACATCCGCTTCCGAAGACCGCAGCCTGAAAAGGATTGATCAGAACACAATTTGGTGTATTAGTGCTCATTCCAAGACTTACCTCGCCGACGCGACCAGGAAATTTCAGGGATATCCCACCACTGCTGACACCAGAGGCTATTTTACCGTTCTGATCCACGCAAATGGCGCCGACTGTATCATGACCTAAGGCACTATCGTCTGAGATACTTGACGAAGGTAAGGCGTGTTGACTATGGTCGCAAGCCAATTTATTCATTTCATAGTATCGATGCATGTGACCAACATAGGTTTGTAAGGCACCATCTGGAAAATGAAGCCTTGAATCAGTATTTGCTAATGTACTTTACAGTGCGAACAAAAGGGCATTGTTCTGACCAGATATAAGTTTCGATTTCAGAACGACTTCAACACCATGATCTTTGGCCCACTCAAATGCGCCGGGTCCAACCATGAATCTGTCAAAATAAAAAAGTTAGGGCCGATGAAACTATCTAGATAGTCATGGCATGAACATACACAGGTGGGACTCGACCGAGTGAGAGTAATCCTTGATTGGACACCTCTAATAATTTCTTTGCGGCGAGTATAGGATTCTTTATCCCTATAAGATGTTGCAGATCAGACAATCTGGACACTTCCTGCTCCAGCAAATCGGTAACGGACTAACCTGATACAGCTCCTACAGCACCAAAATTACCGGCTTCTGTCATGATACTTGCGTCGCACTCTACAGTGCCTTGCAACGTCAAATTTGAGCCATAGCCAGCATTGGTACACGGGGAATCCTAATAATGACACTCAATCTCATGAAACGATCCAAAAATGGTTTGCCCTGTTACGACACTATGACCGACGTCTTACCTCTAAGACAGCTATTGCAGCGCCGACCGCCTGCATAGAATCTGCTCCTTGAAGAAGCAGGTCCATGGCAGCCTGGCACGCGCTAACAAACACATTTCGGAATGGCAATTCAATATCAAATGGGATGGCTGAACGGGCCAATGTTGAAATGACCTACCGATTACATGTTTCTTTATACAATGACTCTTTGGAACGGGCATGGTTACCTTTATATTTCTCATTGTCAGTGAAAGTTGTTTTATATCGTTTATGCTACTGTTGTTCTAATTACCTGCGCCAACATGCACCGCAACAAATGCCATGATTCCCTCTCAGGAAACCAGCAATAAGTTCAAAGTGAAAAAAGTTGAGATGAGTTGGAGAAGAACTTTGGTTATTTTTAAAGACAAAAAAAAAAATCGATGCGGACCGCTGGGTAAAACATTGCGACTTCATCGAAAAAAAAAGAACATTACAAAAGAACATTATATTGTAGTTTATTACCAAGAGAGAAATAAAAAAAAATCGCTATTTTTGTCGTCCACCCCCAAAGCTTAGAAGTACTGATAGGTGGAAGAAGATGGGGGTATTGCCTTCTTATTGATGTCTCCATCTTCCTGAGTCCAAGCATCGGTTGAGGCGTTCTTTGCAGCCATCCTGGCTCTGAAAGGATTGGAATCTGTCGAGAAACGACTGACTTCACTGGTAAAGCTATCTCGGAATGACGTAGAAGAATCTCCTAGACCCAGTAAAGTGGTAGAATCTAACGGACCACTGGTTATACGTGGGTCAGCTAGAACTTCTTCCTCGTTGTCTTCATTGAATAAGGTAATGCGTGGAACAACGGGTGACACTTGGAGTTGTCCCACCATGGGTGATAGTTCAATTTGGTTAGCAGTCTGAGGGCCAGCCTCAGAGGGGGATGAACTTTGAAATAATGGAGCGGCAAATCCAGATGTACGAGATGAGTCTCGTTGAGCTATGGGCTCAATGATATCCGAATCACGACTAAACGTCGAGTACATGCTGGCCATTTGGTATCTTGGCTGCTTTTGATGATTGAAAGAGCTGGGTATTACATCGGAATCTCGATTAGTCCTATTGTTGGCGTTTTCCTCGACCATGCCATCTGTTTCTCCTAGAGCCTGCGACAAGGAGTCTGCTGCCACACTTCCAGCCCTGAGGGCATCGCGGCTATTATATACACTATGACCAGCTTGGTCCAATGCCAATGGGCTGCTGTCGGTTTCGCCTCCATTGGCATAAGACGTACGCATTTGTGAAAAAGCTTGAGCAAGGTAATTATACTTTGACAGACGTGCTGCACTTGATCTGGTGCTTTGGCGAGAACTCATAGGTCTGGTAATCAACTGCGACTTTGAAGGTGGCTGTGGAACATTATAGTAGTAGTCGATGGTGGCAGTTGTCTTCTCAGAAGGAGGCGTAGGCGTCCAGGAGTTGGAGTTTGAACCCATCGCAGCCGCAGGCGTAGAGAATGAGTATGAACTATTGCGAAATCCAGTCGGCGACTTGGAAGTGCTGAATCCTCCGAGCATACTAAAACGGCTAGATCCATCAGCATCACTGAAGACCATGGAAGGCGTAATACCTTTACCACGATTGAACTTGACAGGGCGAGTTCGACGACGGCGCAACAACAGAACGCCAAAAGCGAGAATGGCAGCGGCACCGGTGATAGAGCCTACTGCGACACCAGCAACAGCTCCCTTACTGAGGCCATGCTCATCCGAATCAGTACCACTGCTGACGGCAGCCAAGGCAGTACATAGACCATTGATACAATAGTCTGAAACACATGTTGTGTTCAAGGAACAAGCTGAACCGTCTGCTAGCTGGCTTTGACAGAAACTTGTTGTAAAATTGCAATAATATCCCTGGCTGCAGAGACCGTTTACCGCGTGAACTGAATCCAAACTGCAATCCAATCCGTTTGGGGTCATGGATGGGAGAGCTGTTGTTGAAGTTGATGTGGGTAATGATGTGGCAAGAAAAGCAGAAATATTCAATGAAATCGGCAGTACACTGGATAAACCACTTGTGGTGATATACATTGTGGATGCCACCGTTGTGGTAGTAGTTGAGGTCTCCTCGGTGGTGGTCTCGTGCGTTGTGGTAGTGCCATGACTGGTTGTGCTCGATTTTGCCGTTGTGGTTTTAGTAGTAGTATGCGTACCCGTTGTTGGGGTAAGTGTATTGGTAGACGTCGTTGTAGTAGTGGTGGTGCCAGTAGCAGTAGAAGTAGCCATAACAAAGTTACCACTGGGTAAGATAAGTGAAGATGATGTAGTTTGCAGTAACGGCTGATATTCACAATGCAAAGACCATGTCAGTAGGTTGTTGCGGAATCCAAATTGCAGTCTTCGAGTAATTACCTCCGAACGAATGGAATGGGATTTCTATCAAAAACAATGCAATCCAGATGTGCCTGCACTTGCCCTTTAGCGCAAGGGAAAGCCTTTGCTGCAGAAGTGGTTGCACAAACTTGCCTTATTTTTTTTTTCATTTTGTGGCTCACATTTGTGAAATTTAACCACCAGCTCGTCCCCCCGAGAAAAGTAAAAAGCATGGATCACTGTGACATTGTGTTTATTCATGCAGGTCCTGCTGCTGCTGTCATTTACTATTATACACAGTTGTTCCAGTCCCACTGCTTGTATAGCCCTCATTCCATTCAAGTCCCTGTCCGAGAACTCGGACGAAATCTCTTGCATATTCTTGATTCAGTAGGTTATGCGGTCCAAGTATAGAGAGCACATACACAAAATTAAATATAGATGTCCGTTGCAGCAAGACACCAAGAAGTTGGCTGTCCATTTTCCGACTCCACTGGGTGCCGCACAAATGAATGGCTTGATATCTTTTCTTAGATCACGCCGAACCACAATACATCTCGCGTTACTATCACTCACAGTCACACCGTATCAGCAACATTTATGGGCTGGTTGGGCGGCTTCACTTATCAAGCGGGCTGATAAAGATGCCACCTTACGCTCTTGGGTCGATCGATGTTCGAATGACCGCGAATTTGGTCCCTTGTCCGTAGAGACTTCATTATTTGACTACCATGAAACTTCACCACCTACCACGCAACGCGAATCCATCATATGCATCTCCAGATATCAATTTAAGAAAAAGGTTAGTGCTGAATAGACAAAATGCTAGCTCTCCAAATATTTGCCCTAATTGATCCTCTGCTTCTGAAGGCATTACTGATCCATATTACGCCAAACCTATCAGCATTTACATTGGATCAGGGCTTAGTACTGGATCAAAATGTTTGCAATATGATTCAGGCATATGTGGAAACGGAAGCTTTTCCTCAGTAAGTGGATGAGTGATAGTTGACAAACCCGCAAAATTAGCCTTAACTCAAATGGCTATAGACTGATTTTACTTGGCGATGAGAAGGTCATATTTGGGAAAATACCGAATTATACTACTCTCTCCGAAGACGAGTGAGTAGAATGAATTTTTTAATTTTGCTCTGTTGCAGTATATGGCAAATGCTGAGAAGTTTGATTGGTCATAGGCAACAACAGGCTATACAGCAACGTAGAGAGCAGATTAAATTGTCGTTACAACGCTTAGCCTCTGAAATCCCTATGTATTTATGTTGTAGGGATTACACTGAGGTCGTGGATTCTCGGTTCAAAAGTAGTTTAACTCGGATGTTGGCTTGGTAGGTGCATTTTGTCAGTCGGCCAATGATTGTCTAAGATCTGATATTAGACTATGTACGGCAGGGTGCAACACCGTCATCAATTAGCACTTAGTCGATGTATTTTGGCCGAATGGGCACCAGAGACGTTAGAAGATTGCACACCCGCGTACGTGCAGGATATGCATCGCATATCACTGAGAGATTCCAGCTATTTCCGCTTAAACAAGTGGAAAGTAGAGATGTATGGCCCATGATTTGAGTTCACTTCAGTGCATTATATGCGCCATGGCTAACGCTAATATCTAGGGAAAAATGGTTGAGTAAAATTGACAAACAGCCCAAATACGATAAAATGACATGCATTCCACCCGAAAGTTTGTGAGTAGTAAAAATCGCGAATGAAACCATTTCGTACGGAAGCTGACAATTCATCAGAAAAATTTCAGGGAGTTTACCATCTTTTGAGATACCATTGTTAGAAGAACGACCCTACGAACTAGTTAATATCGAAGAGTTTGGAAATTCCATTGTCCACGGATTGTTCTGTGCGGTTAGTTGCCCATTTGTGCCCTTGACGATTGAAATTGAGTACTGTCTTGTTAAAATCACCATCTTCTCGTTAGACGACAGAAACGCTCGAAGCCTGGTCAACAAAAGCAAAACAAGATGATGAGGACATGATGGATATTCAAATGCAGTCACCAGAAGAAAGCACTTTGATCCGTTCCAACGATGACCTTCGCGTTACTGTCGCTAATAGGATGACCAACGAAAGTATTCAACATTATATTGGCAATATCGGCGCGTTCAAACGGGGTGAAGATTTGATATCAACAGTGTCATCCGTCAACATGAACGTCGAAGACGACCGCCTCTTGCTTTCTGGAAGAGCAAAGGGCACAAGCCAAGAACCATATAGCCTTCGTATAACTTTGAAGGCATCAGCAACTGATTTGAGTAAGCATGATTATCATATTTACGAAAATAGTTGAAACCTGAAATAACCATTCATTCACCTTAGTTTATGAGAATGGCTTTTGTTCGTGTTACGTTGGAAAAGAGGGCCGTTGCAAACATATAGTGGGACTTCTACTGTGGTATAAGAATGAGTCTGCCAAGCTTAGCCAACGCACACTGCCTTTTTCACAGGGTCCGTCCAAATCCGGTACGATAGAAACTAGTTCAGTAACGAGCGATGCTGAAAAAGATGTTGCCATGCTGGAATCAACGCCGACTTCTATCGTATCACCTACTGCGATAGAGAACCAAGCTTTACCGCATCCCTCGCCGCCAATGCGGAGAAGAGTTCCAAGGGTCCTTCCCCCAAGCTCGTCACAACAGGTGGAAGAAAAGAAAAAAAGCACTTCCAGAAAGCGAAAGCATGAAAGCACTGTTTCGGATGCTGCACCAAAAGAAGAGACAGAAGCGCAGACGTCAAATGGGCAGGGAACGAGCAGGCGGGCAGTTTCAAAGGGAAAAGGTCGAGCGGTACGTGCATGTTTGTTGATACCTGTACCTTTCTATTAAATATGGCCCTGACAAGATCTTGCATTCTATAGCCAGTCACAAGTAGAGTAGAAAGCAAGGCGAAAGCATCGAATAACCCTGCATCCAGTCGAGTACCTAGTGTGCTCAATAGCGACAGTGATATTGACGAAGATGATGTTCTACGATATGCTCCGGCCACGCCTAAATTGGACATGTCGCCAAAATTGCAACCATTGCATCTCGACACGAAACAAGAGGTTGCGGATGAGCCTGTCGCCACAACCAGCATTTCGAAACCACCTCCAAATACACCGAAACCGCTACCTAATTTTCCTCGATCACCAATCAAGAGGTTGGCAAGTTTGGAAGACGATGGCACTGATGATGAAGCTGAGGTAACCAGCAAGTCCACAACAGCCAATGATAGCATTGACATGAAAAGGTCACTGTTTCAAGCACCTAGTGAACGGTCGTCCACACCTGATGAAAAAGCACAAGGCCTCGATCGACCCAAGAAGAAGAAAAGGTTGCAAAGTATGCTTGATGATCTTTTATCTTTATAGACCAAACTTTTTGTTTTTGTAATGTATGGGTAATTGGAAAGTAATCAACATGAAAACTTGTATAAATGAAAGAAGGGATTTTTTTTTTCGATCGTGATGCAATGCAAAACAAGGAAGGATATATACAGAGTTATACATTGGTGAGTGAAGTCGAATAGAAATTATTATTGATGTATCTCATACTTTCGGTGTTTTCTCATTGTTGAACGGCCGTGATTCTTCAAGGGCTTTTGCGCTTTCATTGACTGCACCGTCGATAGTGGAGTTAGAATCGTGTCGCTCCAATGGTTCATTTGCCTTTTTCTCCTTTTCAGCAAGCGCCTGTCGCTCTTCCTTGAATCTAAGGTACACCAGGTAAATGCTGATGAATACCCAGTACAGACAGTAGCTAATGACGGTGCCATAGGTAGCAGTGTTGTTCCAACCAAGGATGGCGTTGAAAATTTGATAACCACCATTGGCAGAAGTATTTACATCAGGGTTTCCCCAACTGTTCGCAAGATAAATGGCTTTAGCAAGGTGAACCACGTGATGTCAATATATTTATACAAAAGTATGTGTGCTTACCTGACGTGCCAGACGTTGGTTGTTACTTTATAGCCAATAGCCGAACCACTTTCTTCAGCGCTTTCACCTCCAATGATCTTGTTCCAAGCATCTTGCTCAAAGTAACCAACAGCTCTGGAAAGCAAGCCAGCAGACACAAGGTACAAGATACAAGTAGAAGCGACAAAGAACCAATGGAGATGCATAAGGGATCCACCTTTGTAAAGCAAATAGCCGACCAAGCAACCACAGATGATACCCATGATGGCAGCAATGGGGATGGATTTACCGTCTGCTCCAAGGGCAACCTAATTAGGATAAAATAAAGAATGTCAGACAAACCATTTTTTCCAAAATGAAAGGGTTGTAAATTGGTTTGATACGTACGCCTCCAAGAAACACAATGGCTTCAAGACCTTCACGCAAGATGGTGATGAACGGCAACAAGAAGAAAGCATAACGCTGGGTTAGGGATTTGAAACGACTGGTGTTGGATTTCTCTTCATTGAAGGACTTTGACAACTTGGCTTTCCATTTTTCTTGCATACGTTCGGTCCGTAACATGGCTAACCCCATAGCTGTAATGAGAACCGATGCCACCAAGCTGAAAATGCCTTCCCATAAATTTTCGCTGTTCTTCCACAAGTTGGATGCAACGGTATACCACACAGCAATGAAGGCACCACCAATGGCAAGGCAAATACCAAGACCAATGAGGGTTCCTAAGAATACCTGCTTCCTAAGACGCTTGTATATGACTTCATCATCGGCAAAGACTTGTCTTAAAAACGACAGCAAAACCGAAAGAATGATGGCCGCCTAAACGCGAAAAAGGGGGAGGAGGAGAAAAGGAGGTTCTAAAGTCAGATGAGGAGAGTAACTGGAGTAATGACCCAATGAGAGAATTCATACCTCTGTTGTTTCTCTGAACAAAATGAAGAAGATGGGGACATTGAATAAATCTTGTGCCATTTTGACAAGAGAGAAAGGGCAAAGAGGGTTCTCTCAAATGTGGATCAGATAATAAATAACAAGGTTACAAATTTTTTTTTTCTTATTTACCCTGCGACTTTATATCTGATGCCCACGTTTTCCTTTATAATGAGGATTAAGAAAAGTTGTCCTTTATGAGAATATAATAATAAAAAATATACACTGTGGTGGTGAGGGGTATCATGGTCTCCACGTTTCCGAGTCCTTCGCCTTGGTCATCTTGGATACCAGGTGATTACCTTGGTCGTCTATTCTCACAAATGTATTTCCTTCCTTAAAGCCGGCAGTCAGAGGGGTGGAGGTTGTTGAGTTTAATGGACCGTTTAACCGAAGGGTTGAGTTTACATTTGAAGCTCCGCCTCCTCCACCTCGTAAAGTGACTCTTCCCGACGGCGACACAGACCGTGGTGGTACCAGGTTATCAGATGATGTTTGTAGATCGTCTTTTACACGCGTAAAAGTTCCTTCCTTAACGCCGTGGTCTGATGAGGAAAGGACAATTCAATAAGGGGTGAATGAAAAAAATTTTGTTCAACAGAGATGAAAGCTACCTGCTAAGAATTGGGCAAGTTCAACCCATCCGCCTCCAACTCGAACCATGACCAAATTACTGGGAAGAATGCGACAGTATACCAGGCGGGGGTTGTCTTCACCAAACCAATACTTGCCAACTTCGCCTGGTACCCGCTTGACCTTGATTGGATAAGGGGACGCGTTAATGATACGTCCGACCGCAGTGTCGAGATCACTATGTGGATCTGATAAGTATTCGTATCTAGGATGAGGCTTTACCAGACTATTATTATTATTGTAATGGCCGGGTCCAGGACTTCTACTCCTATATCTCCGAATCGACTCGGTCGAACTATAGCTTTGTAATGAAATTTTGGAGGAGTTGCGATGTATCGACATTTGACTTCGTGTTTGGCTGCTGTTGCTAGGTGTCATGGATGGTCTACGAGGTCGCACTGGTGCGTTTGTTTTGGCTGCGGCAAGTTTAGTATAGAATTCATGATCCAAGCGTTGAATACAGATTTCCAATTCTTGTCCTCTGACATGCATAAGCTTTTGAAGTTTATGCCATTTGTCAATCACTTTAGCCAGCCGTTTATCCGCCTTCCAGTCATTCATAATTTCGTCGGAGGATTTTTTGGCTACCTCTAACTGGCTTTCGATCGTCTTACCCCGTTTGTCCCGGATCTGATAAAGCGATTGAAGCATGGATTGAAGATCTGATTTTATGAGTTGGTTCTCAATTAATCTGGCATGTTGCGGAGCAAGTTTATCGACGCTGGTGGCAACACGTCCAATATCCAAGTCCAGCTGGTCAATAAGTAACATGTGGCCCTTCAATTTTTCAGCCATTTCTGTGTGTTGTTTACGTTCCTCAATCAATTGAGTAAGGTCGCTAACTTGGCTTTCAACTTTGCTTCGTAACTCCGCCACTCTCTCATCTTCTGCAAATCCTCGAGCAAACAAGTCATCCAGATCTTGGGTCTTCTTTGCCAGCGTTTGCTTCAATTCTTTCTGAATGGCCTCAAACTCCTTGACATCAACTGTGACGGGAGGTTCTGATAATTTGAGACTTTGGATATGACGTGTGGTGTCGGAAACGTATCGCATGAGTTCAGTGATCTTCTCTGCTGCAAGGCTGTTCAATTTGCTGTCTTCAGCATTTTGTTGTGCATGACCCAAGAAAGTCTTGAGATTATTCCAGTCCTTCAAGATAGCTTTGTGCTTAGACACCGTGACAGTCTTGGCTTCTGAGAACAGTGACGTTTCTTCAGAACTTGACTTGTCACACTGCATGCAGATCTTCTTACAAGATGTTTCAAACGATTGAATAACGGTGCGTTCAAAGTTTTCAAGCTTATTTCTTAGCTCATCAACATGGCTGGTACCGTCCTTGGCGGCTGATTGTGAAGCCCCGATGACGTTTTGAGTGACAGCCAGTTTCCAAGAAGACAGCTGTTCGGTTATGCTTGCGGCATCCTTTTCGTACTCAAATAATCTGCCAAGTATGCCTTGCACTGTCTTGGCTAACACAAGTGTTTGTTCCAACTTTTGCATGGTAGCGTCTATCGATAGAGTAGCTTCTTCCAATGATGCTTGTGGCCATCGTCGTAGTATACTCTTTTTCCTGTGACGCAGATTTTCGGCAGCATCCTGAGCTTGAACTAGGTTGTCTTCAAACGCTGCAAGTGCCATATTGAATTCTGTGAGAAGTACCTCCAGGGTATCAACAGAGTCTACCATATGATGCTTGCTGAAATAGGCATGCAGTGTACTGCGACTTGCCTCTTGGTTTTGAACAAAGTCAGCAACATCAGCATGAAACTGTTGCAAGTTGGCTGCTGCAGCGACATTATCTTGAGCTTGCTCAGTTGATTTGATTTGCTCATTCAACAGACTGACAATGCTTGTAACATGCTTATGAAAGTTATCTGCATTTTGTTGCATGGCCGGTACATCATCAGTCCTCAATTGTTTAAGGCTGATAGCTACTTCCTCTACGTCGCCAAGGACACGCTTGTCGTCAGACATTTTCTGTAACAACGCCTTGAGCGATTCTTCAGCAGAGGCCTTGTCAGCTGCCAACACTGCTTGCAGCTCCTCATTGTGAGTTTGAATCTGGAGATAAACATCATCTACTACTTGATAATTGTCACATAATTGCTTGATGTGTCGCACCAAATTTGCCATCGCAGAACTCTTTACAGATATGAGAGCCCAACTTTCATCCAGTGTGGTTTGTACACTCTTGACATCATCCATATGTTGCTGTGCTATGACAAATGCAAACAACGACCGGACATCTTCAAATGGATCTTTTTGGTCATTGACCGTGATGGCGATGCTCTGATACTGAGATACTATATCATCATGGGTAGAGATACGTTGGTTGTCATCGGTAGGCGATAGTATCATGTTACCCTCTATTAGCCCGGATAACGTTCTGAGAATATCATCGCACTGCTCCTGGAGAGGAATAGCATTGCTCAAGTAATTTTTGCGAAGACCGTTGATATTGGCTTGGTCATACAATACAGTCAGTTGCTTGCGAATTTGAGCTACAACTTCTTCGCAGTTATCCATGACGTCTTGGATTTTGGAAAGATCAGATGTCAAGAAATCTTTTGAACTGGAAGAGATCATGTTCTGAATATCATGCAAGTCTCTTTGCTCCAGGCGAGACACTTCGTTTTGCCATTCATCAAGCGATTCATCGACAATGGTGGATAAATCCACATTTAGTGTCGTTTCGAGAAGCTCCTTCAGATGGATCAACAAATTGTTGGCGTTTTGAAGGCACTCCTTTGACTGGTATGACGAGTGTAAGTGAAGAAGCGTAGCTTGTGATTTGTCTTGCAAGTTCCTCCACAGATCATCCAGGTCTTCCTGAATATCCTGAACATTCTGAGTATCCTGTGCGCTATCCGAGCCGTCGGTTTCTTCTTCTAACACCTTCAGACACACTAGGCTCTCACTCTTGATTGAAATATATACATGTTGGTAGGCGTTGACCATCGTATCCAGAGACTCAGCCTGCTTTAAGTAATCTCGCAGATCCTGCGCGCTTGTGGTATCTTGACTTTTGGACGTAATGGTTGAAAGAGATTGCATACGGCTTTCGATCCATTGCTTAGCCGAATCAGCTTGCACACGGTAGGATTGAATTGCAGACATACGACGGGACAATCGTTCCGTTGATTCCAAAAGCGATCGGAGAGAGCTGGAAAGTTCTTGCAGTCTCGTATTCCTTGCACTGATAGTCTCCTTAATGACACTCTCCGCAGATTGGTCTCGTTGCTGAGTTTGCTCAGAGACATCTTCATCGTTGGGTCGAGAGGGGAATTCAATCTTGGTCGACACTTGGTCTAGAACACCTGCAACATCTTGTACAAACTTGGCCACCATGGTCTGCGTTTCTTCCACATTTCCCCTGCTGGTTAAAGCATTACGAATGATGATAGCTGTAGATTCGAGGGAATTGGCGTGAGCAATGAAAGCCTGGATATCGAGATTTTGAGTGACAATGGATTTCGCAAACTGAAGTGACCCCTCTGTGGCTGATGCAATGCTTTTGAGCTGCTCGATCTTCTTTTCAATGTGATTGATAAATTGAGTGCCGTGGAAAGTGGTATCACTTTCATAAGCTTTATACTGAGAACAAAGAGGCTCCACGATCGATTGCTTATAGACTTCAAATTCGGCAAAGAGATCTTCGTATTCATCCATAAGACTATCACTAGCGACTGTTTCTGTGTTGGAGTGCCATCTTGCCTTTTCTTCAATAAATTTGAAAGTCGTGTCCTTCATTGTCTTCAACTGCAGTAAGGATGCAAGGATGGCATTGTCAAGCTCCAGTCTACGCTCCAACAATGAATGCTCCTTGAGACGGGTTGTCAGAGTCTCTTCAGTCTGAGAAATGCTGCGCTGCAATCGTTGGAGTTTGAGACGCAGGTGTTCAGGTTCATTCAAAGGAGGGTTCAGCTTGGTGAGCTTATCCACGAATATGTCGTAATGGGCTTGGCAAGTGGTAAACATATCCTTGGCAGCATTTTGGATTTCATCCTCAACATCTATGAGCTCGTTGTAAAACTTTCCAAGATGCTTTTCATCTAAATCATCACGGGCAAGAAGGGCGTCCCTCGTTACGACTAAAACACCCAGCCGCTTGCCAATGGTTTGCAGCAAATTTGAGAGTTCCGCAACATGTGTTTCGTATTTCGCCCTCTCCTCTCCGGTGACAATGAGTTCACGCTGATACATCAGCTCATCCTGGAGTTGACGGAAGGAGGCTAAAGTTTTATCAAGAGCATTGGCAACCTTGGACACATCCAAATTCTTAAACTCGCTTTGGCCAAGGACGTGATGTACGAAGTCTGCAAGCTTGTCATGCACCACCCGAAGTCGCTCTTGTTCAAAGTGACGCGATTCTTCCTCTGCTTGCTGCAATTCGGTCTTCTTTTTTACAATGTAGTCGTCTGTGAGGTCACCGATGGCTTCACTAGTGACAATGATGCGAGAAGACACAAGAGTTTTGTTCCGCGACAAAATCCAACCTTGCAGATCTTGAAGTTGGTTATCGTACCTCGCAATGTCGTCTTTACAAGTCACAGCACGAATGTAACCGGCATTCAAGGTTTCGATTGTAGTGGCAAGAGCCTCTAGTTCTTGTTGTTTCTTGTTCATGGCTTGCACTACTTGAATGGAAGACTGGGTGTCTGGCTTTCCTTGAGTGTCCGATGTCCAAGCCTGATTCAAAGCAGCGGACAACGAAGGCATAGGCAGCTTATCAATGCATTCCGTTTGACCTTTTTCAATTTCGTTTCGGAAAGTTGATATACGCTCGTCAAAAACCACAGTTGAATCGTCCATGATCCTTCTGGAAGTCTTGCCGATGGCATCTCGTAACTTGTCACCTTCCCGTTGTACTTCCATACTTCGCAATACATACTCGGTGTAGATGGATCGCTGGGACAAAAGTTGAGACACATAGGTATAAAGATCCTCCAGACTATGGTAACTTAACAGCAGCTGCTTCTGATTATCAGTAACATAGGTTGGAATTGAATCGCTGTTTAGGAAAAGGTCCGAATAGGTTTCCAATAAATTCTCATATGATGATAACGCAACAGCAAGTTGGCGCTCCTGAAATTCAGAAAGACGGGTTTGAAATTGTTGGAAGACCTGAGAGATTTCATCGTCGTCACTAAAGCTTGGGAGTGTATCGAGTGTCGGATGACACTGCGCTTTTTTGTCAGCAAATTCACATAACTTTCGGACTGTTGCTGCAATCCACTGCTGGCATCGATTGACTTGAGTCTCCCAAGAATGACGCTTTCTGGTAATGTCCAAGCACTCGGTATGTTGATCGAGGGTCTTTCTCAACAATTGATGCTGGTCACCAAGAGCCTCTACACTGCAAATAACCGCACTTCGGTCAACAGCCACTGAACTTGACGCATCGACATCCACTTCAAGTTGTCGAACATTGTCAAAAAGTTCGGATAATTCGCCTTCTTCTAGTATACGAAGTCGAGTGTGAATACCATCCTTCTCCTTTTCAAGGCGTAAAAGTTCGTCTTCATCAATAGGAAGCGGTCCAGAGAATGCAAGGTCAATCTTGGACTGGTTGAGAACATCCACTTTTTCATCCATCCAGACTGTCATGCGGGCCATTTCATCACAAAGCTGCTTACACCGCTTTTGCAGTTCAAGTACGTGTCGATAAGAAGCAAGCTTTTGATCAATTCCCTCCGCAATCAATGCTAGTTGCATTCCCTGTGCAGCAATGACACTCTTGATCTCGTGATTGACAACATCGTTCTCTTGGTGGTCTCGAGCACCTACGGCAGTTTCATACTGAGGTGTCGCCGGATACGGGATGCGAGGGGCAACGTTGGTGACAAGGTGTACTGAATGCTCTTGGAAATCAGCGGTTCGTTCGGAAAATTGGGTATCGGTATCATCAGCCTTGGCAGTGCGTTCAGCTGCACTGAGATCTCTTCGAAGACGCTCTCCTTCTTCCTTCACATGCTGGAACTGAGTCATCAAATCCATAACTGCAAGGTGCTGCTCAACAGCTTGTCTGGTGAATGCCACGCGCTTGCTCAGGTCTTCAAAAGTTCCCTCAAAGCCAGTCTGACGAGTTGAGAGATATTCAGGCATGTCTTCGGAAACAACATCATCCAGATCTTGATAAGCATCCAACGTTTCAGCGTAGAATCCTTGATCGAAATCAGCAACAGATTGTTCTACGTCAAGCAGGATAGCAATCACTTGTTCCATGACGGTTTTAGAAGGTTGACCCTCAGCATCCGTTTCGATATGCTCCTCGCGAATGGTCCATCTCGCATTTCCAAATAGGAATCCATCAACACGTCTGTCCATGTCCATGACCCAGACCACAGCATGTTCAAACTTTTCTTCCCATTCGACACGTAGAAGAAGTTCCTGAAGTAAAGCTTGGCGTTGACGAAGCATGTGCAAGAGTCGGTCAAGAATATTCAAAGTGGTCAAGGTAATTTCTATGGTCGTGGTATCTGCCGGACTCAGTTTTGTCTCTCGATCGGATCCAGTCAAAGCCTTGACGTGAGCACGAAGACGGGTCATATCATCTTGATTGAACCGTTCCACTTCCCTCTCAAGCTTTTCATGAGCTTGATGTAGTTCCAAGACTTCTTCATGAGAGATTAAAACATCCGGTCCAAGCGCCTCTAGGCGAGATTCATCTTCACTTTCGATGATCCCAATTCGAACTTCAATCCATTTTCGAATTCGCTCAGCTTCAACGAACCAGACTCTGACTTGATCGACCCAGTCTCGTACACGTTCATACTTGCTTTCTAAATCCTCAAACACAGTTTTGAATCTTGCATAGTACTCTGATAACGGTTGATGTGGTTCATTGTCTTCTGCATCGTCATTTTCCAGATTGTCACCCACTAAGTCCGAAAACCGGTCTCTGAAGTTACTCAACATATCATGAACAATGCTGACTCGTCCTTCCAAGTCCTGAATACCGTCTTCTGTTGTGCTTGATTTGGCATTGTCCATACGACTTTGAACTTCATCTAGTTCGCTTCCGATGGCATCAGAAACGGTGACAAAGGTGATACCTCGATGAAACTCTTTGCTCTTGGTTTGTTCATCGTGAAAGCTCTGCCATAGTCGATTGTACTGTTGGTGACATTCATCAAGTCGCTCGTGGATAGCCAGTTGCACATCAGCAGAGGCGTGATCAATTCCTTTGAGGAATGGTTGCCATTGTACCTCAGTAAATGCATCTAGTGTCAGCTCCAGACGATCTATTTCTATGCTATATTGTTCGGCGTGATCATCCGTTGCCTCCAATGGATGCATCTTATGTAGCTGACCGTCCTTTTCGATCGTTGGGCATGCTTCATCTACTTGCTGCTGTTTGGACGCAATAGCAGACAGGATTGAAGAACATTGATGGTCAAAGTCATCCACTTGCACCTGAATATTGGCGATATGGAGGTTCTGTTCCAAAAGATGCTCTTTGGTAGTCTGCACAAGCTGATTAAATCCTCTCCACTTTTGTTCAATATTAGACGCCATGTCTAGAATTCTTTTGCGCTGCTCCATGGTAAGATTGATGAAAACCTGGTTGTTTCCGTCTTTCCATTGTTTCTCAAGGTTGCTCTTGATGTCCATTGCCATAGTAACTTGTCCAGCCTGTTCATTGCATTGACTTTCGATATCCACCAATAAATTGATATATTCAACGATCTTTTTGGCGTCTGCCATAGAAAGTGATGTGGGTATGTCACTGATGGTTCCACGGTGCAATTTTATGAATGACAAAAGTGTCTCATGGATAGTGAGGAATTGGTCCAAGTTTGAATCAATACCACGTGGAATTTGCCCTGTTAGCTGCTGCTGAAGTTGGTTCGCGATGCTGAGTTTCACCCGAGCTTTATCCGAATCCCCTAGTGATGAAAGTCTGTTAAGTACCTTCCGTTGCTGGGTTGGAGTAGGCGTGGGTGGTGGTGACATTTCGGTTGCAGATAGAGGCTTCGGTACAGGAGTTTCGTTGCTTGTTGCCTTATCTTCTTCAATAACTTCTGGTAGAACTGGAGATGCTTTGGCTTCCCATTTGAAAGAAGCCGATTTTGGAAGAGAAGCTTGGCGCTTTGGTCGAGACATCGCCTTGTAAAACTCACTAACATACATCATGACGCTGGGTTCATCTGGATAGTCCACATCGGTAAGATCCTCAGGGTCCAGGTATTTTGGAATGTTCATGTGCGTCGCAGCGGTATCGAATGCCAACGTCAAAAGAGTTTGCCAGTTAGCCTTATCATTCAGGTCAAGCTGAAGGTATTCGGTCATCAAATTGGGTATTAATTCCGGATCATGGTGATGAATTAGTAAACAGAAAGCAACACCATTTCTCCACGATTTGGAAAAGTCGCCAACGGCTGGGATAATAGACGAAACAATATATGCCTCTAACTGCGTGCGCACCCAGTACAATAATGCGAGTTTGGCGTCGGCCTTTCCTGGCCCTTGCTGAGACGAGCCCTTTTTCGAAATGGAAGACAATTTTTGCGGTGGGGCTTTTTGAGAAAGCTTCCCTACAACCTTTGGCGGCGTTTGCGACGGTTGCTGCTTGACGTCGGTTGCGATTGCCGGCAGAACGCCGGTTTGTTGAGGCTCCCCTTGAGGTAATACACTTTCATCATGCTGCTGATCATCCAAAGTCGCTGAAGACTGCGATGATCCCATTTCTCCGTTTATATCCTCATGCATTTCCTCTGGTTCCATCTATTCGGAAAACGAATGGATCAGTCAAAAGGTACCCTTCTTCCCAATGGAACCCACTACAAAAATACATTACCATCATGGCATCGTCAGGATTGTCCGTTATGGGTTGCATCTGGTACTTGAGCATGATGAAAAAAATCAGGGCTAGCGTCTTTTTGACGTCTCCATTAACAATTGCTTCGTTGCCGATATTGGGCAATGTTTCAGCTCCTAACTGACGCTCAAGGAACGATAACGCTTGTGAAACATTTGAAAGCTGGTGGATTCGCATATTTCCTCTTTCTGGCTTGGGTGCTGGTTCCTTAGATACAACCGACAAGAGCTTGAGCAATCTCTTGCCATCTTTTAGATCAGTGTCGAGATTGCTTATGCTGTCGCCCACCGTAGACAGCTGAGCGTTGACCCATTTCGTGAGTGTTTTCTTCTGAATCTCTTGATAGTTGGCGGCGACATTACGACCACCATCCTCTAAGCCTGCGCTATTCAAATCACCAAAGAAAGATGCTTGTCGACTTGGCTTCCCGCCAGTTTCACGAAGGCGTGTTGATCGACTTACGGGTATAGATGGTGAATCTTGAGGAAAAGTCTGACGGGCAGCGGAAGTGTCGCTCATTGCCGCTACCTATCACTATAGCCCAAGCTTTACAACAACCACAATATGTGGAACGCTAGATAAATTTGTTAATGAGGAGTGCCCAGCAGGAAATGCTGCTATAAAGTAAGGGAAGAACGTGGCGTGTGTTACCCTATGCAATTCTGAGCGATAAATTATATCAAAGTGTTTGGCCGTTCTATTAAGGACTCATCATACTGCTTACCTATACATCCATTCTTTGATGTTAGGTTAGTGTTGTGTTGTTAACACATCACCTTGAATTAAGAGCGACACACAGCTAGTCTCTCCTCAAATCGTAATTTACAGCTGAAGTAACATTACTTGAAATATTAGACTATGCTACGTTTTAATTTCGCGTACTTTGTCGTTTCTGCCTGACACTGCCAATGCAGCACCTTGTTCCCCTCTGGAGATGTGCCTTGCGTGGATGCACCACTTTTTTAATTGAATGTGTCAATTAATCTTACTCCGTGTTATCCACTGCATTGTAGATCTCACCCTTGCTGTAGCAAGCAGACCCGTAAGCAACACTCTGGCGTGGTATGTTTCCTTTTTGGCCATGTCGTGGCAAATTTTCTAATGCTGGCAATTTCAGAGCCTGACCTCACATTCTAGCACCTTCGTAACTTCTCGTATGCTATTACCAACTTCATGCCCTTTTCTTTCCATCTGTTCTAAATTTCAAGACCCTTGAATTATGCCAAAACACGTGATATAACGCAATTCATCATTTTTTTTTGCGAGATGGATCAATCAGAAAGTTTACAGACGCAGCTAAAGTACTTCTTCTAGCTTTACGCCACTAAAAATGACTTTAACTTTGCAATCGACACGTAAATTGAACGATGGAAATGAGATTCCCGCGCTTGGATTCGGTGTATACCAAAGTGAACCGGGAGACGAAACAGAGCAAGCGGTGCTTCTGGCTCTTGAGGTAAATTTCACTATTGGTGTACAGGGTGGTTACTCACAAACGTGCTAACACGACTGTTTTGAAGGCTGGCTACCGCCACATTGATACGGCATCTTGTAAGAATTCAAAGCATGATGGTAACCGTTCCACTGTGACATCACTAATGATGACTTCCATCTCGTAGGCTATTACAACGAAGAAAGCGTTGGTGCTGCGCTCAAGAAGTGGTAAGTATACCTGATAGTTGAACTTTTCACTGCTTATGCTTTATATTAGGCTTGTGACTAAACTTAGATCCCCCATCTTCCATCTTCAGTAACATTCCTCGTAGCCAGGTGGGCTCATTGATGACTGTGTACGTTGTTTCACCAACTTGTCACTGATTAACTCCGCTCCCCTAAAAAGATTTGGATAACCACGAAGCTTTGGGATACTGATCATGGTTATGATAAGGCCAAAGAAGCTTGCTACGAAAGTCTTCGTAAATTAGGCCTCGACTATGTCGACTTGTATTTGATCCACAGGTAATGTTATATAGCTGCGAATGAGAGTGAATATAGAGCGGATATTGATGGTGGCCTGTGAGCAGCCCCTGCACAGGAAAACAGCTTCGCAGCGAGAGCTGGAAGGCTCTTGAAGACCTTCAAAAGGAAGGCAAAGTCAGATCTATTGGTGTCAGCAACTATGGTGTCCATCACATGAAGGAGGTCTTTGAAGTCGGTTCTATCAAACCTGCAATTAATCAAATTGAGGTACAGTATGTGAAAATCAACCCAGATTGGATCCGCGAATGGGAATTAGCGTTAGAACCAGGCGTAAACGGCAATCTCATCCTCTCTACTCGCAGGTGACTCCGTACCAAGTTAGGGAAGAGCTTTGTCGTTTCTGCCAAGAAAACGGCGTACTCATAGAAGCATTTTCACCTTTGACAATGGGCCTCAAACTGAAGGAGCCTAGGTTGAACAAAATCGCTCAGAAATATGGAAAACAGCCTGCCCAGATTTTGATTAGATGGTATGTATCATGACAATTTGAAAGCTGAAAAGGATGGTGTACCAGTTATAAAAAAAAAATAGTTTAATAACCTGATATGGTTCTTTATATTAGGTCGTTGCAACGTGGACTCATCCCGCTACCAAAAAGTGTTAACAAGCAGCGAATTACAGATAATTCCAACGTTTTTGACTTTGAGATTTCCGCTGAAGATATGGAGGCTTTAACTAAAATGGATGAGTACCTTGTAACGGAATGGGATCCTACCAAGTTGCCTTAAGTCCAGTGATGGTCTCACCGTAGATCGCTAAATGTGCTTGATTCCGCCAATTTTATTGGCCCAGTCTAAGTCTGTCCACAGGAACACCTTGGTTTGCCCGCATGGTCGGATTCACAAAAAAATAACAATAAATGCTCGTTCGCTTCTGTACTATCTTCTTCATTTCCCTTCCGTTGACCCGTTTAGTCGCTATGTCCATCGCTTCGTCTCACAACAGCCCCATAATTGACCATAGAGATAGAGTTGCCGATGTTATGGACGATCCCTTTAATACCGATGCAGACATGGTATATTTTACCACCTCCGCCGACAAAGAGGTTATGAGTCCCGTGCTGGAATCCATGGACACTCCTAGGCACGGTGGACATGATCTTGGTAAAATGGTGGAAGCTTACGAACGCCAGTTTCATCTCAACCATACACACCATTCAATGTCTCTATCTCTTACTCCTGCCATCACTTCTTTTGACCTGATAGACCAAAATGAGAAGTGGCATGAAATCTCTTCCCGAACCAGAGAGGTAAGATTCTTTTTATCATCCTGAACATCGTACAACTTGTCCAAATGCATATTCTGAATTTTTCGTAACTTCGTTACATAGTCAACACCCCTCCTGTCTCCTGCCATCACACCTTCCATGACTTACAGGCACCAGACCATGCACTCTACGCCCCACGAAGATTTTACCAGCTCCGCGAACGATGTGTTTTCTTCGGATGAGATGGAACTCACTCCTCTATCATCTCCTGCTATTATTCCCCAAGAGTCATCGGAGCTCCATTCTGAGAATGTGGATAACCTTGACGCAGTTCAGCGTCACTTGGAGAACTTGGAACAAACCAAGAATATGCTGAAGAAGCAATTGGCTGAACTACAACAACAAGGTCGAGGCGTGGTCAATCAAAGCAATTTAATGAATACTTTATCACAAAGAACGGACATGCAACACGCCATTCGAAACGCTGGTCCCACTAGGGCTTCCAATCGATCACGGATCACATACAGCCCATACAAGTCTGCAAGTCAACCGCGAAAAACTAATACTGACCACCACACAATTCCTTCCGACCCCTCATCGATCAGTATGCCACCACCATTGACTACCTTGAAAGGTTCCTGGTCAATGGTAGAAGATAATTCAATCAACCCCGGAGCCTCCAATACCAAGAGTCCTATAGACCTCAAGCCAGCCACACCTTCATCTGTCATGAACATCAAAACAAAATCAAAAGCAAATCAACCGCGAAGGTCGTCTGTATCTTCTTACAAGTCCACTCCAAAGCTCATACCTTCTGTTACCCCTCGTCCTTCTCCAGCCAAGCCTTCCCCACGGGCTTTACGACCTCTGCTTGTCAGTCCAACGCTTGATGTATATTCCTCCATTGAGGATGCTGCCAAAGCATTGGAAGCCAAATCAAACTACCAAAACCTTCGCGAAGGCAAGACCGATGTCTTGGGAATCAAGTTTTCTCCTGGCATCAATGCTGGCTTAGAAAACCGAAGGTCAGCCCACAAAAAGGCAGAGAAGAGAAGAAGAGACAGTCTCAAAGATTGGTTCAACAAGCTTAGAGATGAAATCGTCACAGACATGGATGAGGATATTAATTCTTCAGACGATGAGGGTTCTGTTTCCAAAGACGGTTCTCAAGAAAAAGCTATAAGCAAATTGGCAGTATTGAGTAAAACCTGTGACTACATGAAGCGACTCAAAGAAGAGCTCAAGAAGAGAGACGATCATATTGCAAGTTTGGAAGAAAAGTTAAAGTTATCTAACACGAGAGTGACCTTGGGTTAACTGCACTAGAATAGTGCGACCTATTTTTTACTCTGTCCTTTTTTTTTTCTTAAAAAAAAAAAAAATTGCGCATGGTTTTTGTAATATGCTTCTACGTTTGAAAGGAATAAACTGCATTTCTACTTGTAATATAACGTTGTTGTGGTCGCTGTAATTGTCAGTATTTTTTCATGAAAAAAAAAAATTAAACAAAAATAAAATAAAGTAAAATACGCGATCTCCAGTTCATCAGGAAGGCTGGGCTGTGATTGTGGAGAGTAACATGACTGAACATGTGCATAAAGAAATAGCATAAATTTACAACAACTTCAGCAGAAAGTGAACTGAAATTCGATTCGTCTACGCCTTTCATGAAACATCATCAAACACCTTATATTAAAGTTGCACATTGCTTTACGTCTGTTGCCATATAGGAAACATTGTGTGGGGATAAAGAGCCTTAAATGTCATGTTACTGCAGCTTTTCAGCTGGAGTGACGTACCATCTGTGCTTGCCACCGTCGAAAGCGGTGGCAATTTCCTGGGGCTGAATGTGTGGGGAGAAAAAGTGAGACAACCCAAACCTGTAAATTCGCTTGCTGCGAACGCGGCAAAGTTCAGCTCCGTCCATACCAATACACATGTTTAAGAACCTATTTGGAAGTCGCCATGTTTCATTATGTGTATGGTGGGCAGTAAGGAAAAGAAAATGTAGGGGCAGAGGGTATTCAGCTCACGGACCTTCGCAGTACGTTTCCATTTAAACTAGGGGCATCGATCTTCAACGTCATTCAGCGTCATTATACTAAGTTTAAAGAAAGATCAACATAATGGCTGTATGGCCTTGAATAAGCCTTGCTCTAACCTCGTAGCAGTGCTGTAATCACATTGGAGCGGTGCTGTGTGTTCGAATTATTCAGCTGTGGCAGCTGATGACTCGTACAGTAATATCTATAGCGAAGATAATTGACCCCTTGCACCCATATTATCTCAGAAAATTTTACTTCGAGCTGTCACTGGAGTGAATGACAACCAACGTTATGGGCCGCAAGCAACATGACAGCCATATATTGTTAAGAAATAAGCATTTTGTTATACCCGATCGTCAGAAGGTATATTTGGTGTGTTTTCAAAGTACCTCGAAATTTTCACACACCCATGTTAAATTCAGATTATTTTGGGCCATTCCACCGAGTCAGTCGGAATACCATTTCATGGTCATCGCTTTAACAATTTCAATAGCTTTTAATCCCCCACAGATGGTATGCATCTATCTCTATGTCCCATAGTCAGAACTCAGTAATTTATAAAAGAGAGCAATGATACCTATAGCCCTTTGAGAGCTAGAAGATGGCCAAGTCCCCACAAAAAAAATTTTTTTTAAACCTTATTGCATCGGCGGAATGCAGTGTATTGCTTTTGGATTTCTTACTAAATCTATGGTTTCTTGCGGAGCATCAATGGTACATCATAATAGCTGATGGTAACAGATATATTGAAACTTGTCTCGAAGGCTCATCATGTTCCAATGGTGTCAAGTTGGCTAACATAGTTAAAACCATTTATAGGCTGCAAGAGTACCCCGGATACAGGAAAGTCGTTGGGGTAGAGCTCACGCTGCAAGGGTATCCGAGGTTGCCTAAAACTTTAGGCTCCGGTTGCTGAGTTTGGTTTGGCGGGTATATTCTGTGACTCGTGTGACCAGCATGACCAATCACAATGCATAATAACGCCAAAGTACAGATTATACCCTCCGGAGTATGAATTGCCTCCGCCCACTTCCAGGCCATTATAAAGGAGCGCAATCCCCCGTCTATATTTTGCAATTCTTTCTACTTTCCTACTCTTTCTACAACCATGTCTTCCACTTTGGATATAAATCCATCAATATCCCGAAAGCGCAAAATAGCCCCTGCTGAACCAAAAATAGCATTAGGAATGACTGATGACTGGTCACAGTATGTCGTTCACTCCCCACTTTCATCTCCCAAATCAGCTACAGAGGAATCCTTCCAGACTGGCACCAAAAATTACTGGGGAATGTCTTTGAAGGAGCTCCTAGAATCAAGGCGCAACTCTATCAATGTTGCATCTGTAGCTAGAGCTAACTCACAAGCTATGTTTATTCATTTTGAAGGAAATGATGTCGAGTCTTGTGAGTCAGCCGTCGAGCCTAAACCTAATCCCGAGCTGTTGTCGTACTATCAGAATATATTGAAAGAGCGTCAACATAAGGATATGGGTTCTAAGATCATAACCTCCATCCCAAAAGTTCCCGAGTCTATCGCTTCATCGTGCCTTTCAGAAAGCATCCAAATTCCAGCTGGTCTGCCCAATACCCCTGAGCTCTTTAGCTCTGACACCATGGAGATCTACCACACTGATTCTGATAATGATTCTCATTGCAACTTCTCGCTCGCAACGGCGTTTCCGGAAATGGACTTTGGTCTAAAAACAGAAGAGACATCAAATGGAATGGACGCACTATTCTCCGATCTCTCTGCTGCAGCTGCTGTGTTGAATGATTCGGATGCCTCTGAACACTATTTTGATGGCCGTCGCAAATCTTCAATGGCTTCCTTGACGGGCAACATGGAGGATATGGGATTTCAAACGGATCTTCCACTGCTTGCTCACGTTCATAAGCGCAGAAAGTCTATCCATCCTTCACCGCCTATGTCCCCCGCACACACACTTCCTTCACTCTCCCCTTCTCCGTCACCATCCATGAGTAATCCCATGTTTACTCAATCTCTATTCCCAACCGATACCACGGATGCCTCAACAACAAAACACCCATTTATATTGCCGGCCGAATTAGACCCTAATACGCTAACAAGCATAGCTCTCAGATGCATTGAGCCTGCAGTTGATGTTGAAAGGCTCAAGCCACTGGTGACGAAATACATGAACATGCGATCACCTGCAACCTCCGGTGAACGCACTGTTATGATATTGACAAGCAAGGTAGCTCAAAAAAGCTATGGTACAGAGAAAAGGTAAACATCATTATAATGGACAAGAAAAATTGGGCGGGTTGACTGATCTGGTTTTCTGTCATAGATTTTTATGCCCTCCTCCTACTACTCTTTTGTTGGGCTCCTCATGGTGGACACCAAACCATGATAGCGAAAGCACTGTTGCTGGCAGCAGTCAATCACTGAGCGCACCCAAGATCAATATTTCCATTTCAGGTGAACCAACGAGTCAACAAGGCGTATTGGAATGGCATACACAGTCGTCCGATACGTCAGCTGGAACTGATAATGTGTCGAACGTCAGTGGTAAATGTGTCTCCAAGCACTTGTATATCAACGACGCTGACGACAAGCGTAAGCGTGTAGAGTGTTTGGTCAACATTCAGCTTGCAAATGGAAGAAACCTCGGTACAGTGGCTGGCAACAGCATTAAGGTCATTAGCAAGCCTAGCAAGAAACGCCAAAGCGTGAAGAACGTTGAGCTCTGTATTCATAATGGATCCACCGTATCTCTCTTCAACCGTATCCGATCTCAAACTGTCTCGACAAAGTATCTTGGTGTCAACAACTCTCAAGATGCTATCCCAATGAACTTCCACCGCTGCAATAGCACAGGTGCTGCCAAGCCTACTAATACGTCCTTTGTGGCTCGAACAGGCTCTTGGGATCCGTTCGTTATGTGGATTGTCGATACCACTCTTGGCACCTCTACCGCTGCTCGTGTCCCTCATGATCCAACCTCCCCTCTTCCTGCTCCTCCAGCCATTGCCGTTCGCAACCCTACAGATGCCCCTCTTCCTATTCACTATAACCAGCCTGTTGTGTTGCAATGCGTTACCACTGGTTTGGTCAGTCCTGTCATGGTGGTTCGAAAAGTTGACAAGGGTAGCATGGTCGTCGGTGGTGTTAGAGTTGCCCCAGGTGCTACTCGTGCCGGTGGTGAATGCGCTGATGAAAGTCTAGGAGATCCAGTGTCTCAACTCCACAAGATCGCCTTCCAAATTGTTCAAGATGCTCCTGCTCAACCTGATAACTCTGAGCCCTTCTTAAGCGGCTTCCATTTGCCAAGGTCATCTGGTGGTGCCACTTATCTGGCTTGCATCAATGATGCGGTCGGTATGCATCGTGCAGCTGGACCTCGTATGGCTGCCAAATTTGAGAAGAAGAAGACGCCATCTGTGTCATCGACTGGAGAAGATAGACCTAAGGCTGTACGCAAGAGACGAGCCAATCCCGATGCCCTTTCCAAGAAAGCTTTGGGTTGCGCATGGACTGAGGACGCTTCTGATGCTTCCGTATGGACTATTGTTGGCACCGACTGTGCAACTTATAGCTTCTGGGTTCCTCAAGAGTCGTCGTTCAGTGATGCGTTCAAGGGTTCAGCCGATTCCGCTCCCCTTGCTCCTTTCCCCAATGTCAAGTCGCTTACTCTCCATCCCAACAGCTTTGCCACTCTTCAAGGCGATAACTTGACCCCAGACCTCTCCATCTGGTTCGGTGGATGCCCTGTCACAGCCGAACTTCGAGGTCCTCAAACCATCACTTTTGCCATTCCCAGTCCTCATCAACTTGCAGAATCTGCTGGTGTAGTGGATGACAATGGCACTAAAAAAATTCCTATCCTATTGGCCCGCCCAGATGGTGTTGTCTATCGCACAGGCAAATACTGGATACTGTAAACAACAGCGTGTAAACTTTCAACCCCCCATAGTACAATTGTAAATTTTTTTTTGGTTCGTTTGTTTGAAAAAGAGCAATAATATTTTAAGCATGGTTTAATTATAAGACCAAATGCAAAAGTGTCGTGTTTCTAAATTGATATTTTGTACAATAAAAGCAACAAGTGATTTTGGATAATGATTTCTATGCAACAAAAAAGAAAAGTCGAGGTTACATGCCTCTGAAGGTGTTTTTACTGGCACTACGTCGCTGTCTTCGGTCAGGTCCACCAGCCGATGACGGTCCATTATCTCTCTTCTTCTTGGATTGCAATTTGAAAGACATTTCCATACCACCCATAGCCGTTCGAGAAACACGGTGGCCATCGTTGGATTTGGATGCAGTAGCGACACGATCACCGAAGGATCGTCGCATATCCTTCTTGGTAACACCAACGGCTCGTCCAGAATTGCTGGTATTGCCCATACGCATTTCAAGTTCTCGCTTTCCTGCCTTGGTCTTCTCCTTGGGAGTCCATCTCTCATGTGGCTGTGATCGAATGGTTGTCTGAATGGCCTTCTTACTGCGAACATGACCTCCTCGTTCTTTACGAATCTTGGAGATGATATCATCATCACTGTCGCTATCGCCCGACATTCTCTGGCTATCGTCAGAGTCCACATCTGAACCGTCTTGTTCGTCTTCAGCATCTGACATTTCCTCATCATCAGATGGAGCATTTTGTCGTTCCTTTTTCTGTGAATAATAAAAGACAGAATGAGTAACATGCCCAAACATTTTTGGCCAATGGAGCAGCATCCACTCCCTCTTTTACTTACAGATTGTGTAGGATGAAGTAACTTGTACTCATTAGATTCTTGGTCCACTTGGAAGTCAGCATCAGCAAACATATCCTTGAAACGATCATCGTCCATGGGATTAACTTGTCCTTCCTTCTTGGCCTTCTTCTTCTTGCCTTCATCAAGCAGTTTCTTGGCCAGTTCCTTGTTAACGGCTGGAAGTTTGTTGGTGGCACGAATACGAGAGGATCGTTCTTTCTCAATCTTGTCCCGTACAATGCGCTCACGGTAATCATCATAGGCAAAGGGATTAGCAATCAACTTGGCCTGAGGAGAAAGGTGTGGTTAGTGTCGGTACTATCGCTGAGACATATTCAACCTACACCACCCCCAAATCATACACTCTCTTACCTTCTCATACAATCTCAAATCGACGAAGAAACCATGCATATATGCCTTGAGGGTATCAGTACCAATAAGATGTTCAAGACCAAGTGCGTTGAGCTCCTTGCGAGACACAAACTTGTAGTCATCATAGATGTTATGAGATGGGTTCTCCTCCATCTCTTCTGTCAAGTTATCCAAGAAAGATGCCCATTTTGGTGCAGGGCCAAGTTGAGGTATATAGTAGGCACCCATCTGAATACCCTCATTAGCCGTGAACAGCAAACCACTATTATCAACTGTGCAAACATCATTGATATCTGTTTCAGGTTCGATAGATGTGAAATGTGCGCCCTAAGATAGGAATTAACATTAGCAGTGTGCTTTACAAGCAATAGGGCGCCATCCAAAAAGACACTTACATTAAGACGATCCCAAATTTTGACAATCTTGCAATCAGAAACGATGACCTTGCCAGAGCTTTCTGATGAGCTCGCAGAGATACCGTCGTGCCAATGAAGAGTTTTGATAGGGAACCCGTACTGATGATCCTTCACAAGCCATGGCACATTCGATCGCAAATCGTATAAAAGAGTGTGTCCAGTGTTTGTTCCAGCAGCCAAACTCAAACCATCATGGCGGAATTTGAGAGCTGATACTTCCAGTGCGGTCGAATCTGTATTACCGAAGGTAGCGGGAACTTGAGGTTGCAACAAACCGACACGAGATCTGGATCGAGGATCCCAGAACTCGACGGTTCCTTGAGCTGTACCGAATCCGAACAATTGATGGGCAGGGTTGACCTCTGTGCAATTGACACCAAGGTCTGAGTCGGTGGCAATGGGATTCAAAAATCGTCCTTGCTCTAAATTGAGTCGATAGACTTCATTGCCTGCTGCGCCCACCAAGAGATCACAACTGGGGTAATGATATGCGAGATCGCGACCGAACTTTGGAATACGAGTTCTGTAGTGAATACCACCTTGAGCCTGGAACTCTATTGATCTGTCGGTTTGCAGATGAACGGTTTTGGTCCAGTCATCGGATAAAATCTACGAACCGGGGTTAGTGGCGAGAAAAAAAGATGAAAGTAAGAGCATATGCAATTGTGCAGAGTGTGCCTACCTCAAAGTTGACGTTTTCAGCGTCGGTGTGTCGTTCAAATTTCATGGACATTTCAGCAAACTCGTAGACTCGCATTTGTGGTTTGTATACACCGGTTGCAACAGTGTAGTTGCCATCAGCCGTACACTTAATTTTGTTGGAAGCTTCTGGGAATTCAAAGTCTTGAATCAACTCGATTCTTTGTCTGTATTCTATAGTGCAGAAGTTAAAAAAAATTGAGTAAAGGTTAGTGTCATTGGCGTCAAGTGCCTAAAAGCCATGTGCAAAGCATACCGAGATCTTTCTTGAGGGTCTTCTTCTTCTGTCTAGCCAACCAATCGGGAATTGATCTAGATCCCAAACCGCCAGAAACGGTGTAGATCTTGACATTGTTTGCGTTGCTTACTTGCAAAACCATGTTAAAGGTTCAATGATCAGCGCAGGTAGTTTCTACTAAAAAAAAAAAAAAAAAAAATCTCGAAGAAGTAACAATTTCTCGTTGGGTGTGACTGTGAATTCTCTTTCCCCGCTTGTTCTTGTTCCTACACCCAAACTGGACGGGCTCATTGATGCTTTGACTAATCAAGTCTATCAGGATCTCACACTTGGTGAGTGCGAGACAACCAAAAGCATGTAAAGCACAATAAATTTAACTCTGCATTGTGAATTTTCTTCTTTTTTTTTCGCGGTGGGTAATTAAGGAAAACAGTGGCAAAGTGTCAACGTCGTTCCTAACGCATACAATGGCAAACCTGTCCTGATTGCACAAGATCCTGATAGACCAGTACGTTTATAAGCGGCATATTAAAGAGGGATTATCATTTTGTTCTAAGAGATACACTCTGTAGGTGAATTCCAGGCGAATTATTATAGCCGTGTCTGAGGGCCAATTGTGGACCCTGAAACGGTGAGTAGACATGATATTGTGAGAAGAACATCAGACCAAGGTGGGTCGTCCATCCCACCTTGAAATGCGCTTTGGTTGTGAGCAAAAACACTAATGCAACGTTCCACTATGCTACAGGTTTGATGGACTCTTTTCTGACCTTACCACGCTTGGCTTATCGAATCGCACAGATATTTCATCGTTGACGTAAGAACGACTGACGCTGAAATTGCAAAAAACCACTGCCATTCATTAACGGTTTATTCATGCGAGCTTAGAACCGTCACCTTAGCAATAGTCGCACAAGATTCTACCACAGCGTATTATGAGATATACAATGGAATGAAGAAACCTGGTGATTTGGAAGCCATCAATGAACTATTGACTAGCACCGAATGATTGGCATACAACGCTCTGAAATCATGCTTAGATGTGCATTCTATTAGTAACTCTTAATAGCTGAATTACAATAAGCAAAGGCGTCAACATGCAAACGTAGGCCGGGACTCTTAACCACATTTTTATGCTGTTTCTTTACACCTTAGAGACGTGAGAACTACATGGTACAATATCCAATTTTATGTTATATTGTTTGATAAAGTATTAATTTACAGTACAGGACATGATATGAGGTGTTTATAATGATACATTATATCAGTTTTCTTGATTTGGCGGCACTTTTAGCATAGGCAATGATGCTAACAGCCGACGCAACCATCTCCAGCAATCCTATTTCTCTGAGAGCACGAATGTTCCATCGACCAGAGGCTCTCCAGTAGGCCATTGAGTGAACCCATAGCTGAGTGATGTTTGCAATGGATAGGACGGTCAACGACATTTGCTCAATCTTCAATTCGCGATATATCAATGATAATAAGCTGAGACCGGCAAGCGACATGTGTAGACCACCCAATGAACGTAGCATATCGGTAGCTACGGGGGCCACGACCGTCTGATGTGATTGTTGAGTATATCTTCGCAACAAAGAATAAGGTGAGGTCAACAAGTATCTCGCAGCCATAGAGTGATGTAAAAGGTTTAACAATAACGGAAGATTATTATTTTTGAAGATGAATTGTATCATGGCTGTGACAAAGGATTGAGCATGGCCGGAAAGCAATGACATTGTCGAAGCTGGTCGGGACACAGCTTTGGGCGGAGCCAAGTCCTTGTCTGAAAGGTAACCGCTGTCTGCAGAGTTTGACATTCGCCGTAATTAGCTGAGCAAGCCGCTGCAAATGGAGTAAAGAGAGAAAAAGTCTTAGCCAAGGGGAGTTATTGGAAAATCATAAGGTAAACCCATCGTCCTCCAGCTTACACCGCCAAATTTGTCACATTGAAGCTGACTCGAAAAAAACTTGCCCATATGAAAATTTTCTACGCAATGGACACAAACTAAGCGCTACATGACAAATCGGCATCTCCAAACTAATGGAATCGTTGATGATGGTAGTAAAGGCAGGTCAATTTAATAAAAAAGTTCAATTACTAATTTTCAAAGGTACTTCTTCTTTTCTATTACGAAAAGACGAAGACCACAGGGTATACACAATTAATTAGAGGGGTGAATAAGTACAAGGAAATACTACAATATAACTTTGGGTAGTGGTATAGTCAGAGACGGAGGGAACTTGCAGTGGAAAGTCGTATTGATTAGGAGAAGAGAGATAGTCTGCGGCTGCGTCTTTTCGACTTTCGGACAGACTCAATTATTTCATAGCCAAGACTGTCATCTTCGTCGTCGCTGTCTAGGACAGGCGGCCGGCCGCTATTAGCTTGGGTATAGGGTCTGTAGATGGATTGGTCTTCAAAAAATCGGCCGCCTCGATCATAGTCCAATTTTGAATGTGTGTAGTAGACCACTCGGGATGTATCGAAGCGAACCCCCTTACTGCTGACAGAGCGTTTTCGAGGATATGCAATGTGATCCTCTGATGTTGTGTGTGGTGATTTGGAACCCAATCCAAATATATTAATAAACATAATGTTGATGTAGACGGTTGATATTTCAAATTGTTGTATACGAAAAGGTCATAAAAGAAAAAAGAGCAATGGGGAAACGTAAGTTGTGGAGACAGGGTAAATTTATATATACCTTTTTAGCCACCAAAAAAAGGTTTCACATTTCCAATTTCCAATTGCTTTGTCACACCGATAATTTCCGACCAATCCCAGCCCATCCTTCCCCACTTTCACACCTATTTTCATTCCCACAATATGCCTGCTTTCTCTCACAAGAGCTTCCATGAGACCAGCGTATTTCTTTTCGAATAGCATAAAGCTTTTATTTCTTATGTAAATAAAGTATGTTCACTGTAATCTTGCGAGATCGAACTATTGCAATAGGAAGAGAATTCGTAAACAAATGAATTGGTGTAATTACAAACCCGATCGAAGACGATTGGATCGATTTATAGCAAAGGTTATTCCTACTTGTTCAAACAAGCTCAGAGGTGTTTCAACGTAGTTTTGGTCACAAGTCCTATTCTCCGGACAATGCCTATAGGGTTTGCTTTCCGTTGACGCTGTGTATGCGTTGAACACCATCGGGCTGAGGAAAAGGGTCTGCGTGAGGGTTTCCATTGAGCATTTGGCTCTGTTCAGGTGTCAATCTGAAAAGGGGTTGGACTTCTTGTGGCGCTTGAGCAACTGGTGCCACTGCATTGACATCTGTCTCGTCGGCGTCAGCCATAATTTTGTTGGCATATGCCGTTGGAGCTCCGTTAGTCAGCCGGGACGAACATACGATCAATGTTAGTCCAAGAAGTAGTCCGCTGGCTTTCATATTGGTTCTTTGTAAAAAGTGATAGTTGCTTGATCATTCTGTATCCCCTGAACCTTCTATTATATACAGCATTGGAAAATTATTTTATTCATTTACTTCATGCTACGACGGAATACTTCAGGGCATATCGACATTAAGGTCTCGGAGAACTATTTATTTCTAAAAAGTCTTTTTTAAAATTTCTCCCCCTTGACGTTTCCGCCAACACCTATATTTTTTCCCACAATTCATGTGATGGTCAACTTCTATGAACGTGTTTCTCAGCGTTTCTTTCCGTTGGCTCAATCCCCGACGTGCTCAAATTGAAACATCGAACCACAATAGACGGAATATTTTAATAGAGCAAGGCACCACTTGCCATTGGTCCCGCATCTATATGATGTCAGGCTTAAACTAATGGAAAGTAATAGGTTTCAGTTAGCTCAGTCATTTGTGTCAAAGGTTTAGCATAAAGCAACACCTACACAATGCAACACCATGCACAAGAGTATTACCCGCGCATGTATATGAAAATGAAAAAAAAAAAAAATCATATATGCTTAGTCAGTACACACAATATCTTTTATGGCAGAGTAATCTTGCCTTACTACCTTGGTTTGAATAGACATCTTTTGAGCGTTTGACAGGCAAACAAGCTCTGGCAGTCACGCCTGAATTTTTTTCCAGAAGGCGAACTGTTGCAGGCCATATCCGAATAGCCCACAGTTGGAAATTTTTTTTAGGCGGAGTGCTTTATGCGGCTAATTTCTATCTCGCGTCTATCCATCCATCCATCCATCTCTCCTTTTCCTTTTCCTCTCGCATCCATCCTCAATCTTATGGTAAGCATCCATTTCCCATCCACATTGGCTATCCTCGCAAGACTGGTATGATGACAGGATGAAATTTTATTGCTATTAAACCCAGCTCTTCGAAGTGCCTCGACCATGAATCTTGTGCACTCTTGAGATCACTACAAACTCTGAGCATCTACCAGCTTGCCATGAAGGATTAGCCAAAATGTCAAATTATTTCCTCGTGTTCGGTTATACTAAACTATATACAATCTTTAGCTCCATTTTACAGGATAGACTATATGGCGTTATACTATCAAAATCAGGTAAGCTAATGCCACTAGCTTATATTATTTATGCAGTTATATAGCTTAGTTTCCCACAATAAAAAAATGTCTTATGAACTTGATAATTTGCCACCGTTTCAATTTGTCATTGTGTTCTTGACTTGGTTCCTCTTCTGAGATGGAGATTATAGTCGCGCCGCACCATGAATTCACGAGCCCCAATCGATTTGACATTCGCCACGACGAATATTGATCTGCAATTCGTGGTCATCGAAAAAAAAAATTTTTTGGGCTGTAATAAAGGAGGTTGAAATGGATTGGCGCATCGTACAACACTACAATAAAAAGGTGTGTAACAAGTGCAGCAATGTTGTGTCGATACCAAAATATTACAGCCGAGGCGCGCACCCAGGGTGAGCGATGAATCAATTTGTATGAAATAAATAACATCACAAGTCTCCCCAGTTGCTTGTTTTTTCCTTCATTTGGTCAGTCACCCGGGGGTAATGGACATTCTTCAGAGCTGGGCCAAATTTCAAGCACCAAATAAAACACAAGGGTGCACAATCTCGGTATCTTTCAATGGCCAATCGGGGAATACCAAGAGATTCAGCCAGCTTATTTTGGCGGACTAATTCCCGGAAAAAAGAACCGCAGATCCCACCACTTGACCTACAACCTTGGTATCAAGGAGGAACAACAAGGAGGTGTAATGTATGGAAAAGATAAGTCAGTGTGGTATCGAGCTAACTCCAAACTTCTCACTGCAGCCAGTTAAAATGATTTGCTGACTGTCGGAAAAACGAATTGGCTCGCCACAGTGCCATTGTCGTTTATATTGAATATTGGGGGTCCTGGGGGGAGGGTCAGGGAGAATGAGAGGGGGGGGGGACAAAGAGGAGACAAAGCTGGTGACGATGTTCAGCCTCCTACCCAACTCGGCAGCCAACGAGAATTTTGAGAAAATTTAGATTTGTGTAGGAATTTATTCTTTTTTTAAATGCGAGCGTAATGTTATGTACAAAGATAATGTCAATAAGAAGGTATAGAAGAAAAAAAAGAACACATTGGGAATGGGTTATAAGACGGACAACAAACATCTAGAGTATATACTGAATATGTGGGATTTTTGTTCCTTGGTATTCTCTTTGCTTCATGCTTATAGTAAGGCTGACAATATTGTTCCTTTTTTTTCCCCATGTTGCCATCATGGAAAAAGTCCATAGACCAGCTGGACCCTTACGAACATTTTAGAAGGAATACCATAGTGAAGAAAGGAAATCGATCAATTCCTATCATCGTAAAACATGCGAATAGTCATGCGCAGCAGAATATTGTCGAAGTTTACAAGAAAACGGGATGATTGTTTGGTGTTCTTAACCGCGGAAACCGATTTTGCAGTTTGTTGTTATGGGCAAAAAGTCGATCGAGTTTCTCTTGTCTTGCAATTTCTCTTGGTCATTTGCCATCCACCCTTACAGTACCTTTTTTTTAAGTTTGATCATCCCAAGCGCGGCCCAAGTAGCGGCAATGTTGAGAGACAAATTTTTTGGTAAATGCAGGTCCAGATAGAACTTGGGTTCTTCTACTTTTTCTTTTTACAGAGGCAGGCAATTCGATTGTTTGTGTTGTTGTTATGTATGTTTAAGGCCAATTCCATGATCATCAGCTGAAGAAGGGGAATATTGGATTGTTGTCTACGCATAGAGAGGGCAGTCTGATGAAGCGTGCATTTTTGAACCACAAAAGTAACAGATTTTGCCCTTGTTGTGGTTGGCGGGTGAGTGCCGACATTCGTGCTTTGGTTGATGTGTAGAGGTTTGAGCAACGTGTGAAGTCTTTGATGGAGGAACCATTTTAATGTGAGTGTTTGATGAAAGGGAGAGAGAAAGTAAACGAAACGAATGGATGCCTTTTAATGGAAGCTCAATTTATATATGTCATTTGGTCCCCGCGATGATGACTACCAAATTGGCACGCCCCGGCCCTGCCTGCCAATTGCATTTTCGGCGCAGTCAACTTTACTTTAGATGCGTTCCCCCCCCCCTCGCTCTCGACTTTTTGCGACTGCTTTTTACCACCGAACCTCTTGCCTTTCCCCCCCCCCTTTCTTGAAGCCAAGTAGTATTAGCTATAGGAAACCGAGTGTTAAACCGAACCGAAACAAAAAGAAAGCGCTCATGGAAAAGAACTTTTTAAGTATAGTGTGTTTGGTCGCTACGCCAAGGTTTATCGTTCGTTATCCAAACGTTGGCAATCTTGCGAAGTATGAAATAATTGGTGACAGTTCGGGATCTGGAAGCTGTTCGATGGAAGAGATCCAGACCCTATTTAATCTCAGCAGTGACCGAACCACGCGTAGAAACAAGCTTGCTGCAAAAATTTCCATTAGGTCACAGTAAATAATGGGGGTGAGATTTTGGTACATGAATGAAATATTACTTGTTAATGACCCTTGGCGCATGTCTTGGGACCTCAAGTTGTTGGGCGTCAACGAAGATAACCTTTGAATGTGGAACCCTGAAAAGACATTCACAAAAATCTAACTTTTACACATAAAAACTTTTTACGACAACTACAAACAAATTTTTCGATTTCATCATTGATCCAATAAAGGAATTTGAAGATGACAAGCAATCTGCAGCGACCCCAAAGTAACAAAACAATGATGAAAAAAAAAAAGGTTGTGGATCCACCACACTTTAATATTAAAGCATGTCCACTCATTATGCTTTATCTTTGGTCAAATATGGGTCGGTGGACCCCATTGTATGCTCTGATGGACGATCTTTTTCAAAAGGTTGTACACCACATCTTATTGCCTGCTGTACACAATCAAAAGATGGTAAAAAGAGCACTTTGTTACATTTCACTGTAACTTTGGTGACACTTGTCTTTAAGGTGGCTCTCTTGCTAATCGTACCGGAGTTTTCGCTCTTTCTTGCATCTTCGATGTACCAAACATGTTTAGAATCATTCAGGGTCGGCTTATCGATAGCCAACATCTTTGATCAAAGAGGAGGAAGGGCCGTGTGTGGTCTGAGCTCCGCAACGCTGTGCGGGACGTGAAAAAAAATGCTACCCACACTTTTTTTTTTTGGCCTGCTGGTAAAATCATTTGCAATTGATTCAAAAAATCGAATAAGGATTTCCTGATGGAAAGCGAATATCACCTGAGAAAGTTGAAGGCTGACTTGGCAAAGCAAACTTTGATGTCCATGCATCAACTAATTGAACAACATTCCGAGGATTTCGACCTTCAGTCTTTAATCCATGCCATCAAGCCCGAACTTGCCAACAATCAACGGCAATCCGCCAAAGATGCTCGAGTCAGCTATGAAAGACTGTATAAGCAGACCCGAGATAGATATGAAAAGTGTGGAATAGACTTTGATGATCACTGGGTAAGTTCCATTTTGTTTTGTCTAATGGACTGTGGTGTTTTGTCTTGTCTTGCCTTGACTCAACCTTTCTTCCACATAACAGCATTGGACTATCACTTGGCGACAGGCCATTTCCTACAAAGCGCTCGGTGACTTGTATGGTGTGCAAAATGTTGTCGAAAATACCCATCCTAGAGCCAAGAAAGCCATCACTCAAATCTTTCAGGACGATTTGTCACAGTATATGCGTTGGTACCCGTGGAGATGGTTCAGCAACATGCAATTCATTGGGTGTGGCGGTTTCTCTGCTGTTTACTCTGCTACCCTTCGACTCCCTTTTCTCCAAGCCAACACCGAATTGAAGGTGGCTTTGAAGATTGTTGATGACAAGGTTTTGAATGAGGTAAGCATATCATGTATGGACGCGAGCCATCCTGCACCTAATTACAATGTGAGTTGACCATCTTTATTGTTGGCCCTTTCAGATTGCCGTTCAATCCAGAGCTTTTTTGGCTCTTCTATTCAGTGGTGTTACTGTCTGTGAGACGACGGGTGATTTGATGATGGTGATGACCTACGCTCAAGATGGTAATTTGGAAGATCACTTTCAGCAAGATCCTTTGGGAGATTTAGATTTGAAAACCATCACTGGCACGATCACTCGAGTAGCCATTAACATCGCAAGTTTACATGATGAGATTGGCATGTGTCATCGCAACATTCATCCGCGTAATGTTATCTGTGCCGAAGAGGATTATTTCTTGGTGGATTACCGCTTTTCTACTGCATCTAATGAAGCCACCACTGTTACTCAGGCTGCTAAAGCGCATTACGGTAAGTAAAACAACTTACTTGCCTTACTTTATCCGGACATTCGACCTGACCTTGCTGCAATTTGTGTTGCTAGGACGTCTACCCTTTATTGCTCCAGAGGTGAGCGATGGAATTTATACAGAGAAATCAGACATCTATTCCTTGGGGATTATAATATGGCAGCTGGTCGCCAAGGTGGTATTCCCTTCTCCAGAGATCATGCTCAGTAATCCAGAAGTATATCGCATCGAACCAGTTCCAGGCGTGCCAAAGTGGTATGAGGTACGTGTCTTATCTTACTATCAATTTTTCACGACATCTCAGGTAATCCTGTCATCGAGATTAAATTAAAACCTTCTTGTCATTAGGCATTATATACGGCTTGTCTCGAGCCCAACCCAGCAAATCGACCAGACGCAGATGAAATATGTAGCATTGTTCGATCACACAATGAAGATATGCCGGAAAAGAGTCCTCTGGATCCTCAGGTTGCTGAATATGTCACCCAGAGAAGAAAGGCTTGTGATGAACATTTGGCGAAAACGGCTGTGACCATTCCCGGCTCCAACAATCCACGAACTTCCACTACCAGAGTTTATACTTTGGCAAGCTTGCCACCATTAGATTCATTGGTTCGATTGCATTTTACTAATAAGCCATTCGACATGGCGTTGTATGAAATAGAGGACGAAGACGATAATATTTAGGATGATGTGCTAAATACTCACCATTAGTAGTTTTAGCCTTTTCCTCGGTTATTTTGTCTCTACCTTCCCATATCATTATTCTTGGTCATGATCATTCATTGTAAATAAAATATACAATTTCTAATTAAGATTTTCTTAGGATGCTTATCATGGACGGAAGAAATTGAGTATGCCATGCGTCGGGACATGCCTGAGTGCCTTTTTTTTTTTTCTAGCCAGTTTCTAAATTGAACCTACCAAAGGCATGAGTATGTTCTTCTACCTTCGGTATTATATATTGAACTATGGTTGGAAGACGCAGGGACTGTTGGATTAGCTGTGCGCATGATCACACTGGCTATCATGCCATGTTGTTCGAAATCAAAGTAATCACTAGCTGGTAAGACACCGTTCTCATGATAATTGAAACGAACACGGGAGAGTCGTTTGATCGAGAGATTACCTATGCGAGTTCGGTGAAACTTTTCATTACAAAATATTTACTACTAAACATCTGGAGGGGCTCAACATGATCCTACTTTTGTTTCTCTGTCCATGATGGTAAAATTTGGCAGAATTCTCTAATTTTTAGGTTGTTTGCCATGTTAAATTTTTCTCTTTTCTTTCATCTGCCGATGTATTTTTCTATGCATTCCCCACATACAACCCAAATTCCATATTGTCAGCCGCAGAAGAGATATCAATAAAATAACGTGAGCAGTTATATACCATCCTTATCTTTAGCCGTGTATGTATCCTTTTTGTTTCGTGTAGCTGATTATTCCTCAGTTTACCCTCATTCTCCCTTTCTTCTCTTTCATCATGAGTAAAAAGGACGAACACTCTGTACAGGAATACTCTATTGAAAATACGGTTGTCGATGACATGGATTCAAGCATTCAACAAGTCTTGAAAGACGAAGCAGTTATTAAAAACCCTGATATCACTGAAGAGCTAGAGCATGCCGATGAACTGGAAGATCAGCCTATCGATATTGTACGGTCGACTGTTCGTACGGTCGACAACCCATCACTTCCTGTCTATACGTAAGAACTTACTTCATACCACATTCGCCGAGAGCGATTTGGCCATACATATATGTTTTGATGACACACTTTTCTTTAAACGCTATAGTTTTCGTGCTTGGTTTCTGGGAACAATATTTTGCATCTTAGGAGCGGCAGGTAATGCAATGTAAAAGTATTCTATACTAATCTCATACTCTCTTTCTGATGCCCTTCGTCATTTAGTATCTCAGTTCTATTTCTTTCGATCAAATTCTTTGGGATACTCTTCCTTCTTTGTCACTTTGGTCTCATATCCGTTAGGAGTGCTTCTCGCCCGCATTCTTCCTAACAGGGAATGGTAAAGGAAATTTTGCCTCTGTTGATACTACGTTTGCCTCGCTCACCATATTTTACCGTAGGTCAATAGGCAGATTTAGCTTCAGTCTCAATCCAGGACCATTCAACATTAAAGAGCACTGTCTCATTGTCATCATGGCTAGCACTGGTGGTGGTAGTGCATATGCAACTGACATTTTAGCAATTCAGGTAAGAGGAGCGTTTGTCAGCTGCTAGCAAATCGTCACCATGAAAATATGATTTTTACCGATGCGGGCTTTTTCCATTGACAGGATTTGTATTACCAACAAGATCTTGGTCCCCTTGGCTCTATCCTGTTGCTGATCAGTACGCAATGCCTCGGTTATGGAATGGTGAGCAGACGGTTTGATACCAAAGAGAAAGCGGAAAATGGGCTAAATAAAATCTCAGGCTGGCTTCTATAGGAAATTCTTAGTTAATCCTACTGCCATGTTGTGGCCAAGTACTCTTCCCTCTGTATCACTGTTCAACACATTTCATGAAAAAGATCCTTACCTACTAGGCGATCGTGACGAAGAGAAGGACCAAGAAGAGCGACAAGGCATGAGTCGCATGCGGTTCTTCCTTATCGTGTTTGCTTGTACTTTTGTATACGAATTGTTCCCGACACTCATATTCCCTGTGCTTTCTTCGGTTGCTGTACTTTGTTTGATTGGAGGACCGGGAAATATGGTTTTAGCCTCGCTAGGCAGTGGCTTCTCTGGTGTAGGGATATTGAATTTCGGTAAGGATTCCATCCACGGTACGTTTACGAAAGTAACTCTGTAGTCATCATGAATACTTTCAGGGCTTGACTGGAATGCAGCTGGAGCTACTGGTCCACTATTCACTCCATGTAAGTAAATATTGAGAGGCTGAGATGAAAGATGTCGAGTGAAATATCATACTTTACACCGCTTTTGGATCAGGAGGATTTGAAGGATATTGATTAATTGCCTTTGATTCAGGGTGGGCTCAAGTTAATTGGTATATTGGTGCTGTCGTCATGGTTTGGATTGTCTGCCCAGTTACTTATTTTTGCAATTTGTGGAATGCAAAGAGGTAATAGCCAGCGTAGCGGGAACCGTTCATGAAGGAAAGCAATAGGAACTAACTAGTGTTTCAGTTACCCTATATTGACCACCAAACTATTCGACAAGGATGGAAATGTTTACAATCATTCTAGGGTGATCAGCGATGGATACTTTAATGAAACGGCATACGAAGAGTACAGTCCCGTTTATATGACACCTTACAACGCAATGATGTTCGCCCTTTCTTTTGTGGCGCTTACAGCTTCAATCACTCATGTTCTATTGTATTATGGATCAGATCTCAAAAAAGAATTCTGGGTTTGGGGTAAAAATAAGGAGCAACGAAAGTATGAAAGAGAAGTTGGCATGGACATTCATGTGAAGATGATGCAAGTTTACAAAGAAGTACCGTTCTGGTGGTACGCTGTTGTGTTTGTCGTCACCATCGTTATCAGCATTATCGTCTGCGAAGGTATAAACTTGTCAGTTGGTTTAGAAAATCTAATATGACAGCATTTACTAAATTTTTACTGAACGTCGACAGTGTATCCTATTCATTTACCATGGGTAAGCAAACATTGATATATTATCTTCAATTCTTTACATCTGTTAATCTAATTGTGTGTTGCTTTTTGTTTGCAGTGGGGATTGCTGGTGGCTATTGGGTAACCTTTGGTTTATGTAAATGTTTACGTTGTGAACTTCTCTTGCTGACATTCCACTTCTCTGGTTACCATAGCGTGGCATTGTTGTTAACGCTACCAATAGGTACGTAAATGCTTGTCGCGAAAGGGATAAGAGCCGTAAATAATGAATGACAATGGTTCAATTTGCTTGCAGGTATCATTCAAGCTATTTCAGGCAGCCAACCTGGATTAAACGTCATCACGGAGATGATATGTGGGTAAGTGATGAATGATGCCTAATGAAGATTGAGAGAAGACAGCCGCTTAGAAACTGTGATTAAAGCTTTTATTTAGATACATGTTGCCTGGTCGTCCAATTGCCAATGTCACTTTCAAATGGTATGTAATATGCCCACATTGCTACAACTTTGAAACTACAGCACATTGTTTAATGAACCAATCTACATAGCTATGGATATATGGCGATGGCTCAATGTTTAGGACTGGTATCTGATCTCAAATTAGGTAGGTGCAAATACTTGCACATATGATGATAACACAGTGCTAAGCAACAAGCAAACAAATAGGATTGTACATGAAAATCCCTCCGAAATGCATGTTTGCCGCTCAATTTTATGGAACAATACTCGGTGGTATTGTCAACTACGTAGTCCTCAAAATCATCCTGGCAGCCAAACGTCCAGTGTTGCAAGGAATCATACCAGATCCTACAGGTGAGAAATTTAGATACAAGGCTTGTCATTTTGTTTGAGGTCATATTCACAAGTTGTTACCTAGGTCAATGGACTGGCCGTAGCTCTAGTATCTTCTATGCCAGTAGTATTATCTGGGGAGCTGTTGGTCCTGCTAGACTTTTGTAAGCGAATGAATTTGGGATCATACCGGCTGAACCGCACTAAACTTACACGCTTTTTCGCAGTGGTCCGGACTCGCAGTTTCCAGGTATGAATTGGGCATTCCTGGTAGGGATAGTCCTTCCTCTACCTTTCTGGTTCCTTTACAAACGTTTTCCCAAGTCAAAGATTCCGTGGAAAATGGTCAATGTTCCGGTAAATAGCATAGAAAACTTCGACACTGTAGATTGATGAAACCTTTATAACCTTCCGATTCTCGTCATCACAGGTCATTTTAGGCGGTGCTGGCTTTGCTCCACAGGTGCCAACCAATATCCTCATCACATCCTTCATCTGTGGTTTCGTCTCTCAATTTTATCTGTATCGTCGTCATCACTCGTGGTGGGCAAAGTATAATTATGTCCTCAGCGCAGCCTTGGATTCAGGAACATTCATTTGTAGCTTGTTTATTTTCATTTGCATTAACGGTATCAACTCGGTAAGGAAGAGACTTTTCGCATGCTATGCTGAAGTATACCTTATATCTAATCCTAATTTGCAAACATGTACGCTCCCTAGTCTGTCCATTTTCCAACATGGGCTGGTAATCCCGAAGGCAATGTAGAGTATTGTGAATGAACAAAGCACTAGTGTGGGTGCCTCACACAACGCTAGAAATGTTGGCAGGCTCCAACTAACACACACAAGCTCCGTACATTAATTAGATAGTAGTATAGTCGATTGTACACATTGTAAACCTTCAAATACATGTCTATTATGGGCCATTTATTTTGAGGTTGACTTGAATGAAAGTGCAAGATACTTTTATCTATTTGTATATTTAACATTTGGTTGAAGAATTTAATTCTTCTCCACCCACTCCCGAACAGCACGAGCACCAACATGCTGACCACTGACAGTGCCTTCCATGACATCTCTCAACATGGCTTCTCTTCTTTGCAATTGTTGAACATCGCCAACTTCTTGCGACGTCTTGAGATCATCGTAAGTCTGCATAAAAGGTGGTCGGTTTTCCTGGTGGACCAAAGCACTGAGCTTGCTATCCAAATTCTCTCTTGTTATGAAGTTGTTGGAGTCGTGATAGATAGCAAGTAACTTGTTGAGTCGAGCATCGGATTGTTCGCGCTTCTGAGCTCTTAAGTTTTCAAGTCGGTGTGCGTCCCGGGCGGCCAAAGTCTCGGATTCAGTAGTTGGTAAAGCTGAATCAAGCTCAAGTTCATGTATAACTTCTTGTTCATGAGAAATGGCAGCTTGTTTTTCACTAAGCAACTGTTGTCGTTGGGAGTCCAATTGTTTGAAATTTTCTTCTTGCTTTTGCAAAGATTGCTGTCGTCGTTGTGCATGAGCAGTCAATAATTCTTGGGCATACTCAAATCGCTTAGAACGAACAGCTTCCCGATATGCGTTCATGCCAGACTTTGATTCGGATTTTCGCTGGGCATTCTCACCACTCGGTAAATGTGAAGCTAGGGTAGTTTCTAGCGGGGTCTTCCTTGATGGTTTAGGGCTGTTGCGAGTGTTGACAGGAGCATTGAATCCTGGAGCATATCCACGTCGTCCAGGTATATAGTCTGAGCTAGATGATGAATAGCAGCGAACGCTTCTTGCTGGGAAAGCTCTTAAAACTCGCTGTGATGGATTCATAATGGAGCGAAGACAAGGGGAGGACTAATTTTTTTTGTAAACCTCAAATGGAGCTCAAAAAATTGGGAAATAAACAAGCGTAGCGGTCTCTGAATTATTTGCCAGTGCAAAGCCACCCACCCTGCCTAAGCGCTCGCTCTCTGTCTCACCAGCACAAACCTCATTGCCCGCATCAACCATGTCGCGCGAATCAAATAATATAGCTGTCCTAGGCCAAACATTACACCAAAGAGTGGCTTCAAGTCGTGTTTTAATGGTTGGAGCTGGAGGAATCGGTTGTGAACTGCTTAAAAACCTCGTCCTCTCGGGATTCAAAAACATAGAAGTGGTAAGCACTATCCATAGCTAGTAGGACTCGGTGAAATAGCAACATGACTATTTCACAGATATGAACGTTTTTCTAATATGTTATCAAACAGGTGGATTTAGATACAATTGACCTCTCAAATTTAAACAGACAGTTTTTATTCCAGAAGCAGCACATCAAAAAATCAAAGGCACATGTAAGTTAACGTATTCAATGCAGATACCCATTGCGTTCATGATGATAACTCAAGTATTTATATATTGATGATAAATTAAAGGTCGCGAAAGAATCAGCTCTAAAATTCAACCCAGCCGCAAATATAACATCACATCACGCTAATATCAAAGACAAGGAGTTCAGCGTTGAATGGTTCAAAGGATTTGATCTTGTTCTCAACGCTCTTGACAACCTTGGTAAGCTCGATTTGAATGGAGAACGCGAAAGTATACTAGCGCTCAACATGGTGAAATTTCAGATGCTCGGCGGCATGTAAATATGATGTGCTTGGCTGCGGATGTCCCTTTGATCGAATCTGGTACAACTGGTTACTTGGGCCAAGCTTATGTCATCAAGAAGGATGTCACTGAGTGTTTTGACTGTACGCCGAAAGTCACGCCTACGACATATCCAGTCTGTACTATACGAAGCACTCCCAGTGCTCCAATTCACTGTATCGTTTGGGCAAAGAGTTACCTATTTAATCAATTATTTGGAAACTCAGAAGAGGAAGAGGAAGAAGCATATCAGAAAGAAACATCTGACGAAAATGGTATGTTCAATCTTTAGATGAAAAATCAGCAACTAATACATATTAATATCATATGAACGTGACCGTGAATAGCTCAAGAAATAGAGGCTCTTGCAAGAGAAACCGAGGAGCTGCGGAAGATAAAGGAGGCCATGGGATCAGATGAATACGGCAAAGCAGTATTTGACAAGATTTTTACGGGAGATATTCAAAGGCTTCTAAGTATGGAGGACATGTGGAAAAATCGTACCCCACCAACACCACTTTACTATGATGAGCTAGCTGCTACTATGCAAGCTCAAATGACATCTGATGTCAATGGGCTCAAAGACCAACATACATGGAACGTCCGAGAATGCTTTGATATGTTCGTGGACAGGTACGTTCCTATGGCAAAGCTGAGAATAGTCAACGAAAGTTTATACTAAATCACACTCCAGTTTGACGAGACTTTCGACGCGATTGCTTGATGCTAAGAAAGATAATCCCACCAACATTCTTGTGTTTGATAAGGACGATAACGATGCGATGGACTTTGTTACCGCAGCCAGTAACTTGCGATCCACCATATTCAAAATTGAACGCAAAAGCAGATTTGATGTTAAATGTAAGGCTGTTTATATATGCTATGACAAAACATTCGTTAGTAGTACTAACAACTCTCTTAATTACAGCCATGGCTGGTAATATCATCCCGGCTATTGCAACTACCAACGCAGTCATTGCTGGTATCGTAGTTATGCAGGCATACAAGATACTCAACGGGCAGTTATCACAGACCAAAAGAGTAAGTGGGGAGAACTGCAAACTGCTCTCATTCATTCTATACAAGGTCTGGTTACTTATTTTGCTTGTTCATCAGACTTACCTCAAGCAAGTGACTCGACGTCCGGGATTACTTGTACTTGAAGCCAATTCTGAACCACAAGCAGACTGTGCAGTATGCAGGACGAGGAATATTGGGCTCAAGATTGATATTCATCATACAACACTTCAGTCTCTGTTGAATAACGTTGTCACGGCTTCCACAGAGACCGGAGGTCTTGGTATGAGCGAGGAAGTCACCATCTTAGAAGGAGACAGGTATTGCTAGGATACGTAAGTACGTACTGGCCATCAACAAATATTCTAATATCTTGATTACCCTAGATTATTATACGACATTGAATTTGATGATAATGCAGAGAAGACATTAGATGCGCTAGCATTAGAAGATGGAAAGATTCTTAATATCAAAGATGACGAAGTCGATGACGATACCGGGGTTAATCTGGTTCTCCAGCATGCGTAAGTCCATATACGTTAATTGTGAAGAAAGCATTCGTCATAAACCTTGCATCTAATTAATTTTACCTCAGAACATCGGTAACGCTCAAAAATGGTGCATCCTTCGAGCTTTCTGGACCTACACGACCGGCGATTATGGAGCCAGAGTCTCTTGGAAAGCGTAAGCGAGAAGAAGGTGACGAGATGGCCAACCATGCCAAAAGAGCAGCACTTGGCAATGGGTCAGTTCCAGCGGCTTCCACATCACAAGCAGACAATGGCGTTATTGACCTTGACGACGATGAAACAGCCATAGATGAAGATGGTAGAACAGTGAAGGTTTGGGTTCTAGAAGATGACTGAGCGGACATTGTAGAATACTATGCTCGCTCAGAATAAACTCATCCACGGTTATAACATAACTACTTTGTATATACCCATTTGTCTATTACTGTGGCAATGATTGCTTTAAGTGTGCCCCTCTAGCCATAAGTGTGAGAGACATAGAAAAGGAAACATGGTTAAAGGAAGCCGCCATGATGAATGGAAAATACCCCGACAATCTGCTGTCGTGATAAGCGTCGAGGAGCGTATCTCGAGCGTAAGGCTCTAATGCGTTTACTATTTATCATAGTCTACTTCAAATAAGATTACAGCAGCCATGAAATTGACAATTCAACATCGCAATTGACGGTATAGTATCCAACTTTTAGGATATTACCTGTTTCTTTAGCATTATGGCCAGAATATGAGTCTTCAAAGCGTAAGCTTTTTATATCACTGATTTCACGTAAAGCATGATGGGTCATTGTTAAAAGAAGCATGAATATTATGAAGAAATGGAAAAACGAACAACCGGAATTTGATAATACCTTGTGAAATGCCGCGAGATATTTCATCCAAGGTCGACGAGTGGTTTTACCAATGCCAAAAATTTCACTTGAATCGTTTTACTTGTTTCACCAGCCTCTTCATGCTAACCATGCTATATACCATCAAATTTTTGTATGCCACAATAGTTATTACAACAGAGGGAGCTGGCTTAAAAACGCACTAGACATTTAGAGCTGACGGTTTTGCAACATTATGAGACCAGCATACTTTGTGAACCTTGCATAGCCTCAGTCGCTGAAGTTAGCCGATGTACAATTGAACCTTTTTTTCCCACTTAGCCTCTTGTGCAGGCTGTGAAGAACTTGATGTCATCACACGCAATGACAAAGCGTTGCTGACTGGAATTTGTCAGATATTCGCGAATGTCACTAAAACATTTTCAATATAGAATAACGTTTTCTGCCATTCAATAGCAAACCCAATTTTCATATTTCCAACCATTGAAAACCAAATGGCGACTATATCACTAGATCATTGAACGATGATGGTAGCACGTTATGGAACTGCAGCGATTTCTGATAGGACTTCTTATACTTGGAAGAGCAGAGTGTAATTCATGGCGTAGTAAAATCTTGCATATATACATGAGGCTTAGGTGCATGATGCTGTTATTTACGTAAAAGACTAATGCTAGAGCCTGGTAGAGGAAAAAAATAATCCCAGATCACACTAAAGCAAAGTTCTGACCTAGTGCAGCCACGGCACTGTTGACTCTAATTTGCGGCCCGGTATACCCTTTTTCCAGAATATAAAGGGGAAATCTATCTTCTTACATTACAATCTTATCATGCAGCCCAACACATCAGATCTTCCTAAACCTACTTCCTTTCACCAGATATTCACATACCGGTCCCAGGATCAACCCAACCACCCTTGGTTCTATTATCCTGAACCCGTAAATGCTGAACATTATAGAGAGTTAACGTTCAAAGGAACCGATGACTTGTTGAATCATTTGGCTGCTCAGTATTCTGTGTTACTACCAAAGGCAGATGAAAGTACCATCAGTAAGACGACACCTAATTCGGTTCCCAACCCTCCTGTGGTTGTGGCTACGCTAGGTTCTAACACTGTCCAGACGCTTTTGACTGGCCTTGCAGCGCAGCGAATGCATCATGCTTATATGCATATCAGCCCGTTGAATTCAGATGCTGGCATACTATCGCTACTGGAGAGCATGGATGCCAAAGTCCTGATAGCAGATAGCGTGTTCTATGCGCGAGCTGAAAGTTTGGCTGCACAGATACAAGGCGTCCATCTTGTTCGTATGATCGAATTTGATCCTGTTGATGAACTGAAAAAGGATCTCAAGCCATTTGACTACGATAAAACAAGAGATGAAGGAGACGATTGTTCCATTATCATTCACACATCAGGGACCAGTAGTTCTGCTCCAAAGCCTATTTGGCACGCAAACAAATCCTTCCTAGCCATTCCACCATTTGGTGTTCGTAAGGCTACAATAACCACGGGGCTACTGTATGTATAAGTAACAAATATAACAACCAGAATCCTCAATTGACTTGGTATGATAATAACTTTTTGTTATTCGTATTAAAGATATCATGGAATGGGAGGTGCTGTGGCCATCTTTGCGGCTAACATTGGTGCATCCATGGCGCTACCTTTGGCCAAAAATCCTAACCATAGGACTCTATCCGAAGTCATCAACAGCGTCAAAGCTCTCCCAAACGCTAACCGTCTCATTATTCATCCCATTCTTGCTGAAGCAATTTTGGAAACATATGGCAAGAACAATAGCCCTGAGTTAGAGTATTTACGCAGACTAGAAGAGATAGGCGTTGGAGGAGGCAAGCTCTCAAGTAACGTCGCAAATGAGCTACGAGGTCTAGGCATTAATGTTGTAAGTTGACAGGCGAAGATGCATCATCCCTTGGCTAGATCGTCACTAAAGTATTCATTGTCTATGAACTTCAGAGGTCCGCTATTGGAAGCACCGAAATAGGGACATATCCGCTACGAAATGAACCAACCAAGGAAAACTGGGATGCGTTCGTTCCCACAAACGATTATCATGTCAAATGGGAGCATATTGAAGGAAATCATTATGAACTTCTAGTTTACGATGCTCCAGCTCTAGCTCTGAACCTCGGTATTCCCAAAAACGGCATATTCCATACGAACGATGTGTTTGAAGAATCTCCTCCAAAGTCTGGAAAATGGGTCTATGTTGGTCGACGAGATCTGATGTTGATCCACTCTATGGGTCTCAATACTAATCCTGTTCCTTGGGAAAATGCTCTTCGGCCTCTCCAGGAAATCGAAGAATGTCAACTTGTCGGTCATGGTCGCCGTGGACCCCTTCTTGTTGTCGAGTTGAACTGGAATAATGTGGAAGACGAAAGCAAGGCTCACGATAGTATCTGGAAAGCTGTAGAAGAATATAACAAAACTGTTATGGCATGGTCAAGAGTTCAGCATCCAGAGGCGGTAGTTATTCTTCCTAGAGGATACCACCTTGAGCGATGTGATAAGGAAACTGTTAAGCGTGGTGTCAACGTCAAGAAATTTGAACAGGAGATAAATCGAGGTTACCAGAACTGGGATACAGCTGCTCCTCTTGCCAAGGCATAAATCTTCAAGTACAACGGAGTTTCTCTTGAGAGACCATTCAATCAACAAGACATACAAATAAAGTTGCAAGTAATATGCAATCAATCAGATAGTTTAGCTATATGCCAATCAATATGATCTGTATCTATGTCCTCACCATATAAAAGCGAGGTGTAAGCAATAAATCTCCAGAAAACTATTTTCCCTTAACTTCTACCGACTTCCTTTTTACGCTTTGTCTAATACGTTTGATTCTTGCCTTCTTAACCCTCTTAAATTCTCAATGACTCCGGCATCGACAGAGTCCTGGGCAATAAATTGCTAAATTTGCGACTGCCACCCTTCGTGAAACTCGAGCTAACATAGCATACACAACACTTTTCACAACTTCACATTCATATTTGAAAGAGAATTAACGTGCATGGTGATATTGTATGTTTTTCAACCCGTTAGACAATTAGCTGACTGCTGGGGCTATGGCTAAGCTGGCAATGAAAAAATTACAGCCCGCGATAAACGTTTCTGATCTTGTACTTGGCGGCCATTCTAGCAGCTACGGTCAATTTCCTGTATTTTTGGGTCAAACTTGCCGCTCACAAAACCTTTATCAATGATATAAAGAGTATCATTCTGGATCTACGTGCATTAAAATTATTATTTCTATATATGACCAACTCATCACATCTTCCTAAACCTACTTCCTTTCATCAAATCTTCACATATAGGTCCCAGGATAAGCCCAACCACCCTTGGTTCTATTATCCTGAACCCGTAAATGCTGAACATTATAGAGAGTTGACGTTCAAAGGAACCGATGACTTGTTGAACCATTTGGCTGCTCAGTACGTTATGTTACTACCAAAGGCAGATAAAAATACCATTAGTAAGATGGCACCAAAGTCGGTTCCCAACCCTCCTCTGGTCGTAGCTACGCTAGGTTCTAATACTGCCCAGACGCTATTGACCGGCTTTTCAGTGCAACGAATGCAGCATGCCTATATGCATATCAGCCCTTTGAATTCAGATGCTGGCATACTGTCACTACTGGAAAGCATAGATGCCAAAGTCCTGATAGCCGATAGCGTATTTTATGTGCGTGCCAAAACGTTGGCTGCACAAATGGAAGGTGTCCAATTAGTTCGCATGATCGAATTTGATCCTGTTGATGAACTGAAAAGGGACCTAAAGCCATTTGACTACGATAAAACGAGAGATGAAGGAGACAATTGTTCCTTCATCATTCACACCTCGGGGACCAGTAGTTCTGCTCCAAAGCCTATTTGGCACGCCAACAAATCCTTCCTAGCCAGTCCACCATTTGCTATTCGTAAGGCTACAATAACCACGGGGCTACTGTAGGTATAAGCAAAAGCTACAATAACAGCCATGCTCAATTGACCTAGGAAGATAATAATCTCTTATTATTTTAATTTCAAGATATCATGGAATGGGAGGTATTGTGGCCGTGTCAGCCGCTAACATTTGTGCATCCTTGGCGCTTCCATTAGCCAAAAACCCTAACCATAGGACTCTACCCGAAGTCATCACCAGCGTAAAAGCTCTTCCAAATGCTGATTGTCTCATCATACATCCCATTCTTGCTGAAGCAATTTTGGAAACATATGGCAAGAAGAATAGTCCAGAGTTGGATTATTTACGCAGACTGAAAGCGATAGAAGTTGGAGGTGGAAAGCTCTCCAGCAACATCGCAAATGAGCTACGAAATTTAGGCATAAATGTTGTAAGTAGGCAGGCGAAGAAGTTTCATCATTTGGCTATATCATCACTTACAAATTCATTTTTATAACCTTTAGAGGGCCGCTATTGCGTGCACCGAAATAGGGACATATCCGCTACGAAATGAGCCAACACATGAGCACTGGGACTCGTTTGTGTCTGCAAACGATTATCATGTCAAATGGGAACATATCGAAGAAAACCAATATGAACTTCTAGTAAACGATTCGCCAGCTCTAGCTCTGAACCTCGGTATTGCCAAAGGCGGCATATACCATACGAACGATGTGTTTGAAGAATCTCCTCCAAAGTCTGGAAAATGGGTCTATGTTGGTCGACGAGATCTGATGTTGATCCACTCTATGGGTCTCAATACTAATCCTGTTCCTTGGGAAAATGCTCTTCGTCCTCTCCAGGAAATCGAAGAATGTCAACTTGTCGGTCATGGTCGCCGTGGACCCCTTCTTGTTGTCGAATTGAACTGGAATAATGTGGAAGATGAAAGCAAGGCTCGCGATAGTATCTGGAAAGCTGTAGAAGAATATAACAATACTGTTATGGCATGGTCAAGAGTTCAGCATCCAGAGGCGGTAGTTATTCTTCCTATAGGACATCACCTTGAGCGAAGTGATAAAGATACCGTTAAGCGTGGTATCAACCTCAAGAAATTTGAAAAGGAAATCAATGAAGGCTATCAAGCTTGGGATAGAGCTGCTCCCCTTGCCAAGGCATAAATCTCCAAGTATAACGAACTTCGGTCCGTATTTACCAGAGCATACAATAAAACTATATTTTGCATTCATTTCTCTTTTCTATATACATATATGGAGGCATTTGGCTGATTGACTTATTGAAAGCATATCATGATTATAGCTCAACATTTCGCCTATCATTCATACCAGTGTTTACCACTTTCATATACACCATAATACAAAGTTTGTCAAATGATTACGAGCACATTTCCAGTCAATAAGGTATTCAACGACGAACGACCTTGCCGATGACTGTCAAAACAGCAATATTAGGAAAAAAAAGAGACTGGTAGCTGACATCACGATAGAGAGCTACGTCGATGACGAATTGGTTCGGAAGCCAGCCATATGTAAATATGATACCTTTCGTGCATGGTCAATTGACTCCCGATGATTTGTTTTGAGGCTCGTAGAGCACATGCTGGGAGTAATCGGGTTGAAGGCTATACGGTGCATCTTTATCCTAATTTAAGAAAGGTTTTCTATTTTTCAGATGACGCGAGGCTTACGGGTTGAACGGTCTATTTCGTTAAGAACGACATCATTATTTTTGTTGCAGCAGGCCATCCACTTCGAGCACAACGAAATGTTTTTCAAAATCCGCAGCCGTAAGTAATACACAGGTTTATTTGATTTTCGTTACACCACTCGCTGTGTAATAGGGAACTTGGGGGACTGGGGGGTTTGGGGGTGAGAAGGCGACCTGAAATATCCTTCTCTAAGTCTCGGCGTGTTATTTTGCAATTTCGGAGCATGGTTATTTGTGAAGGTTATTTGACTTTTACGTCCCCATTTCAGCATTCTAAGCCCGTCGATGGAGAGCTGTTTGTGCACCAATAGTTTAAGCCTAGTGTATTAATTGTAATTGACATAAATGTACCTTACTCTTTCAAGTTATATGACTGAGAGGATAGCTTGGTTCATTCTATGACAATTGCAAGATAGAATGCCAAGGCGTTTCTAACTTCCAGGTCCACGGAAAACAAATGATGTCAGCTGCTTTTCCGCTGCCTTGTTTGAAACCAAATTTGTCAACGTGGTTGTCCAACAATGGTCGTGCGTGTGATGCTGTGGCTGTGAAAGTTTTTTGGGCCTTCCACGGAAGTTAGTGCCTGATACGTGCAAATGGTTAACCACATGGCGCTGGTTTCTCGATTTTATCAATAAGGAATTATGTAAAACTGGGACGCGCCAAGCTTTAAACCTTAGCCCGGCTGGCGTGACCAACCCTTTCCATAACGCTACGCCAGCAGGCACAGTTGTTGGGCTTGGCGCGGTGGTCATTCATGGCAAATAAATCTGTTGTGCGTTCGAGTATAACCCGACGTACTTTGAATGGTTAAGGTGACTGCTCTGCAAGACAAGCCGTATAGGCTCAATATCATCTCATAGCCACCAACAATGAGTGAGGATACGGCAGTAAAGTGCGTTGAGCTCACTGTACTTTGATGCTATATAGTTGATGACTGAAAACTTTGAATTGTGGTTTCGTTGTAGAGAAGACAAGCGTTCAACTCGATGAAAGGATGATGAAATAAGTAGAAAACGTTTGACCGTCTGCAAAATAAGTCAGCTTAAAAGAATTGACCTATGCTTCTCAGTACGCCGAGTGTAATGAGGACTTTCACAGATTGTGCAAATCTGCGCTACTCCAACAAAGTAAATGTATATGTGGTTGGTATGTTATTTTTTCTTTTTCAACAGACAAGTGAAGGAATTCCTGTTGCAAATTAAACTACCTTGCAAAGCATATGAACATACACACGCCTTCCTATGCGTGAGAAACCTTTAAAGCCCCGTGTGCACGCAGTGGTGAGGTATTTTTAAACGAAAAACATTATGATTGAATGGACCTGATACCTCTGCCTCGTTAGGCACGACAGATTCGAGAGGCCCTTCGAGGTTATAACTAGCAAGTGTCCGCAAAAAATGAGGTATAAAAATGGGTTGTCACAAAACTTCACCATTCCATGCGTGACATCCCCTCAGTGGCCGTCAGTTTGTGACATATGTAGTTTCTGATAGTTGCAACACAAATGTGATTCATGAAAAGACTTTTGCTTCCGACATGGTGAAAAGTATGTGGTTAGACTTGTCATTCATAGATTGATCAATACTGATCTTACGTTGGCTCATGATAAACAATATTTTATTGATGCTGTGTCTGCTGGAAGGACGTTGGAGAACCACATTAGCATATTGGCTTTATGGTGAAATCACCCGCAACAAACTGCCAAAGTGCCTTCAGCGTGAGATTACTTTGCGGACTGCACCTTATAAGGAACTTGTTAAATCGTTTGTCTCAAATCTATCACACCTGAGCTGACAAAGCTCGGGTGGGAAGTTCATGTAATTATTCTTCAGCCTGTCTACCTTTACCTCCACGTCAAAAATTTCTCTCCTATCACCAAAGTCAATTGCCCCGACTCTCTCTTTCGTCTTCATACCCAGCAGGCTCAAACCATGTCAGCAAACAAGCGCTCGCGGGAAACTGACGAAAAAAATCAAGTTTCCAAACGAGTCAAAGAATATGATCCTGTTGAAAAAATCGGTCAACAGGCAGCCGCTTTAGAGACCTTCCGTCGTGCTCCACTATTTGACGGTGTTTCGGTTTGGCACGACGAGATTGTCAAGATCTCCACAAAAGACTTTCTCCACGTTTGTAACACTGTGTTATTATTTTACGACTACGACTTGTACGTCCCTTGTTTCGAATATGTATTCTTCTTCGAACGTTGCTAAAAGTTTTTTTTTCCTAGTACTCCTACTGCTGTAAGGGACATTCGAGCTCTCAATGCTCGCGTGGACGACATCTCAACTTTGAATGCACGGGCACTGGCCATTTCGGTGGACACTGAGCACTGTCACTACGCTTTCCTTCAACGCGAGTTTCCAGCAGCGGCGGCAAAATTCCCCCTAGGTAAGTGTTATAGAATCGAGTACCTCGATATATTCTGTCTACTTACCATTCGATCGCGTGTATATGTATTCAACCATCTTTCTGTATGTAGTTGCGGATACCACAAAACGAATAACTCGGGATTTCCAAGTTCTAGACGAGGAAACAGGAGTGGCTAGACGGTCTTTAATCGTCATCGACAAGAGAGGCGAGATTCGATCTTGGTCAGTGTTGCAACATCATGAAATAGAACACAACTTCGATAGTGTGATATTGCTGGTAAGTGGATATTGCTCTCCATATGCATTTTAAATAAGTGTAATACCACTTTATTTAACAGGGCTTTCAAACCAGTTGAAGCATTTACCCTGATGAAGATGCCTGTCAAAAAGCATGTAAACAAATAGATCCGTCATTTTCAGTCTGTGGACATCAGGTCTGAGACTACTTGGGCTCCACGCAAGGACTTCACCAAGTTTTCCATAAAATCAATTGCAGCTTGTTCTGGATGAGCATGTTGATCTAGATAGATAATTACCATAACCACTCGAGGGTCTACACGCATTAAATAGTATGTGCTTGCAAGTTTGGTATCAAAAAAATGTAAAGGCGTTGCTTTGGGATCATTCAGCTTTGGTGAACAACTTTGAATCATGGTAATGATATTTGGCAGATGTTCTCTAGATGGGGGCTAATTATTGGGTGAGATAAGATATGCAGTTGACATTTAATACTTCCGTTTTCTCGTACCTTTGGGTAGTAATAGATAAATGGGAATGAATGTACGCCTTGAGGACTTTCATATGATGTGTCTGAGCAAACGTATCCATGGGGATGAAACGGAATGTCGGGCGAGACCTCATATATGAAGGCAATGCTTAGGGCAGAGTAACGCTTTCGGAACGAGCATATTCTATTCATTCTGTTAGTCAATTTACGCTACTTAGTAGGTCCTTCTACTGACACTTACTGATCATGGTAGTCTATCCTTAACCCTTTCCAAAGAGATCGTTCTGGATCATCGTTGGAAACGATTTTCCTTTCCTTGGCCAGCAATATGGAGTTGAAATATAGGGTCGTTTTTGAGGTCAAATTTTCGAGATATGCCATTTGCCAACGAATTGTATGTGGCAATATGTCACCCCTACTGTATCCTTTGGAACCCTAGAAGCTCGGTTGTTATGAAACCGGCGAACGTACTTGAGCTTAAGAATTCGAACTTACATCAGCCATACCAAAGAACAGAGATCGCCATGTAGAGCTTGAGCGGGATTCTTGACTATTTACAGATGATTTCTGGATGTCAACCCAGTTGTTAGTCGCTTTCTCTCCAATGAAGCTCTCTCGCTTTCAAACTCTATGCACTCATTACCTCCGGAAACTCTTGTTCTTGTACCAGTTTTTTCCATTCATTCAAATCTTGCCGACATTCATATAACGATATACATGTATCTTGAAATGCATAATATACAATGGAATCTCGAGCCTTCAATAAAGCATATAATACGTTCATTTCCTTCTCTATGCTCACTCCTAGTAAGCCGATTCTATCAGGCAGCCCCATCTCGTTGGTCATGTTATATAATGCCTCAACCTCATCCAGCGTTAGAGTTGAGGATGACTCTAACAAGTAAGTGGCCATAGAACGATATCTAATTTTCTGTATGTTAACTAATTTGAACGTACTATGCGACACCCCACCTATCACGGCTTACATTCTGATGTGACCTTGTCGAACCTTGGTGACATCTTTCAGCGCAGCAAGGATCAGATCCATATCATGCTCTTCAGGTGAATCAGCGCCAACAATCAATCCAGTCGCCTCCATAGCTGGGAGATGCCGCGGTATTTCTTCACCAAGGTTGATATACATTGAAGTCAAAAACTGAGCAGCAGGGATCAGTATACTAATATATCACAAGCACCGCTCAGCAACCCTAACATACATTGTCTTTTCGGAAGAACCATTTCGGTTTAAGAAAGGACAGTTGCGTAAAGATACTCTCACAATTAGTGAGCTTCGAAAGTATGCTTCCGAGAGTTGGACTAATCTACTCAACGGGTATTGTAATCCCCGACAAGGTCAGTTGCAACAAAGTCAGTACGAGAAGAAATACTTTTCATCTATGCAAGCAAAACTACCTTCAAAACGCGAGCAGCCAGTTTGTTGGCCGCAACATAGTCAAATGCACCCAATGCTTGAACACACTGCTCGCACAATTGGGTCGCCATAAGTCGATGAGCAGAATGATAAAAAAAAAAATGCAAAAAGTCACTGTGGGACACGGCCAGACTTGTGAAATGACGTCTTTTCAATTTTGAGGTTGGTTACCTTTCCCCGACTCGTTCGCAGTGCTAAATCTTCAACCAGTCATCCTTATAACCCTTGGGCAATGGTACACATCTCCTCCGTTCTATAATGCCTTGGAACGAAACCCTGCTAACCTATTACACTAGTCGAATACACTTCGTCCTTATCTTACAGCTGTTCGCTCCACTCTGACCGCTGCGATGTGCGTCGAGAACTTCTCGTCACAGGTGGTTGAGCGACACAACAAGCCAGAAATTGAAGCAGGGTAAGGCTCTTTTTCGCGATATATACCATCGACCCAAGCTCAATACACGCTGACATGGACTTGCATCCTTCGTAGCACGTCAAAAGAGGTTATCATGAACCCGCTAATGATCTCTCGCAACGAAAATGAGCAGGTTCTCATCGAGACATCTGTGAATTCCGTTCGCATCAGCATCAAAATCAAGCAAGCAGATGACTTGGAGACTATTCTTTGCCACAAATTCTCACGATTTATGATGATGCGAGCTGATAACTTTGTTATCCTTCGCCGAAAGCCCGTCGATGTAAGTGCTCTTGGCAATTTATGCAGGACAGCATTCATTTCTTTTTCAATATCTAATTACTCTTGTGTAGGGCTACGATATCTCTTTCTTGATCACAAACACCCACACTGAACAAATGTACAAGCACAAGCTGGTTGATTTCATCGTTCACTTCATGGAGGCTGTAGACAGAGAGATTTCGGAAATGAAACTCAGTGTGAATAAGAGAGCCAGAACTGTCGCAGAAAGCTATTTAGGACAGGTAAGTGAAACGGAGCCGCCCTCCATTCTTTGAATTGGTAACTAACATGATATTCTCGATACAGTTTATGTAAATCAAGGATACCTTTGGTAGACAAAAAGGCGCGAAATGTGGTTCCTGTTATAATATTTCTTTTTTTTTATCTCCATCATATTAAATGAAGGTATTCCTTTTACCAACTACTGTATTGGAGGCCAATGTTGGTGTGAAGATGATCCCTATTTGCTAGGCTTGATGTGTCTGTCCCACCAAGTATCAAAATCGACATTGAAGGTGCTGATACCGGATTGCTCTAGGCGGTCGTTTGATAAATGAGCATCCTTAGGTCGTGAAGCTATTGAATATATATGGTGAGAGGTGTTTTCAACATGGGTTGTATCCTTTAGATATTGCCTTACCACTGCCTGCGTCATTGGATGTATCAACTGGTTCTACATGTTCTAGTGGGACATGAAGAGATTTGGCGAAGGTTTCTACGAGACGGGAAGGTGTTGGTCATAACATGCAACTTAGCAATAGAAAACACGGATATATGACTTACGGCACATCGCATACTTGGTATACGATTTCTCGCTGCTGAAATGGTAAACACCGTGAATGTCCTTGCCTTGCTCTAACTTAGCGCCTGCAGTACCATGGTTATTAGAGACTTCAGCTTGGCGGCTCACTATAAACCACGGTATACTTACTAGTCAGGTCTACAAGGACTCTTGCAACATCTTCCACATTGGTGGGGTAACGGACTGCGGCATCATCCATTTTGGAAGGTTTTGATTGATTCTACAATCATTGTCAGCATATAATCAACTTAGATCAACGTTATTGCTTTACATACCATTACGACATCGACCAAGGTGTTTACAGCAGATTCTCCATTATATTCTGTTTTTCCATACCTATAAACAGAATTAAAAATTGTGTCAACAAGTGTTTCTTTGGCAGCATTAGAGTCTTTCACCAACTTACAGAATGGGAACGCGCAAAATAGTTGCCTCGGGGTAAACTTCTTGAATAGCCTTCTCGCCAGCTAGCTTTGTTTTTCCATAAAAGTTCAATGGATTGGGCTTGCCGCCTATGGCATGGTAAGGAGGTTGTGTGCCATCAAACACATAATCTGTACTGATGTAAATCAAGAAAATGCCGTTTGCCTTGCTGATTTTGGCAATATCTTTTGGAACTTGCACATTGAGCTGAAGAAATTTTGGCTCTATAAATCCCTCTGTGCGCTGAATAGACTATTGATAACAAGAAAACTTACAAATTCAGTTCCAACTTGATCTTTTTCAGCAACATCCGGACGTCTTTCAGCAGCGCAATGAATAATGGCGTCAGGTTTATGAGCGTCAACGAACTCCTTGATGTTTGACTCCAACGTCAAATCAAGCTACAAAACGACATTATTAAAGTTGGTCAGATAAAGCTCAAGTGTACTGCATATCATACCTTGTAAAGGTCACCCTTTGCACGCGAATGAGCAGTGCCAATAACTACGGGGTCGAAGGGAAACCAAATGAGTACTCATTGTCAGAAGCTGTAACCACATTTTTTAATACCTTCGTGGCCATTCTTTTTGAAATTCTGATAAACTGCTCGGCCCAATAAGCCAGATGCACCGGTAACGAGAACTCTCATAGTGATGTTGAAAAGCTCGAAAATAGCTGAATTTTATGCCGGAGCTTTTATATTTGATCGTGACAAGATTTCTGTGACCTTTCACATTTCTGTTGTCTGTTACCAAAATGTTACTAGCATGGTGTATATCCAAAACAAGCTCCCTGCTCACACAACCTTTGGGTAAGCGACTCTACAATACAACGGTACAATTACCAAGAACTGCTGGTCAGACATTGCCAAAGATCCAAATCGAACAGAAGCATGCCATATCCCGTCGCAAATTTACACCGGAAGAGGACAAGAAATTACTACAGTTGTACTCAAAGTATCCAAGGCAATGGTCGCGCATCGCCTCAGAATTCGACCACCGTGCGCCGCCTGCTATACTTAATCGATACAAGGCAATCACCGCGAAAGACGTTTTCTATGGACCATATCAGAAAAAGGAGATTGAAGCTCTGAGGAACTTGGTGGAGAAATACGGCGAAAACGATTGGGTTAAAGTAGCAGCAGAGATGCCACGGAAACGTGATCCACTGACGGTTCGTCGAACTTGGATGGAGGCATTGGACCCACAACACAAACGCGGTGCATGGTCAAAAATTGAAGATGAAAAGCTCATGGAAGCTATACCAAGGTTCCACAAAGAAGGCAACTTGGTGGACTGGTCAGCAGTAGCTGATGCTGTAAAAACCCGAAATCGAAAACAATGCTATGAAAGATTTATGTACCAATTGAATCCTTCACACACTCGAGGTTTGTATTCTTGACGCAAAAGTGCCATGTCCTAAATGGATAGACTTACTCAAGGAAATTCTTTTTTTTTTTTTTTTGGTAGGTCGATATACGCCGATCGAGGATGCAAAGATTCTCACTGCAGTACAGAAGTTTGGAGATAAGAATTGGCTGAAGATCAAAGAAGTCACTGGTATTCACCGAACTACCCGCAACATATTTGCTCATTACAAGTACTACCTCGACCCTTCCATTGATCGAAGCCCATGGTCAGAAGAAGAAACGAAGGAACTTATTGAACTGTTTGAAAAACATGGAAAAATGGTGGACGTAAAGGAGATAATGGGTTCAAGGAGAAGCTTGAAACATATGTGGTCACACTACTATATGCATCGATATGGATCCACCTCAGAAGCCCGCGATAAAACCCTAGCTGAAAGACAAAGTGCGAGAAAGGCTGCCAAGGCAGCCCCTCAAGATAATGCGGAGTAATCTCATAGAATATAAGGTGGTTTAGTCAATCTATATAAACTTTTATAATGAATGTTATAGCTTTGATGTTATAATGGTGAATAATAAAAAAACGAAGTCAAAAGTTTGCAAATGGATGTATATGATGAAAGATGAGTAAAAAAGAAACTTGTAAAAAGAAAAAGACAACTATGTTACAATTTGAAAATCCAAGTTGCATCTATCTAGTCATCGTTGTCGAAAACAATCTTGGTGGCCTTGGGAGCGTCGCCGAGATCTTTGTAGAAAGCTCCGTAAGCGGAATGTTCCTTCTTCTTGACGGTACCTCCAAACTTCAGTAACTCGTCTGGGACGGGCATATTGGCTTGTTTGAGGACATTGATCAGTTCTCCAGAGTGGGACTTGTCATGGGCCGTGAAAATAGTATGGGCAATTCCCTTCTTTCCACCACGACCAGTACGACCGATACGATGAACGTAATCTTCGATGGTAAGGGGGAAGGTGACATTCAAGACATATTCTACATCAGGAATATCGAGACCACGGGCGGCAACATCAGTAGCGATCATGAGCGGGAAGCTACCATCCTTGAATTGACTAAGTGCCTGTGTACGTTGTTGTTGGTTTTTATCACCATGGATGGCAACCACTCTGAAACCTTGTCGTTGCAAATAGCTTTCAATGCGAGTAGCCTCTTTCTTGTAGAGAACAAACACTAAAACACGGTTCTTGCGGCTCTTGTGATATTTGGCCAAAAGTTCAGTGAGCTTGCGCTCCTTTTGTCTAGGATCATCCAAAACCTCAACGATTTGTGTGATATTTTGCGAGGCTGAAAGATCAGGAGAGCCGATAGTAACGCGCATGGGGTTTCTCAAAAAGTCGTTTGCCAATTTGCGAACACTTTCTGGCCAAGTGGCGGAAAACATGAGAGTTTGGCGATCCTTACGGGTCTTGGAGATGATGTTGCGGATGGCATCTTCGAATCCAATATCCAACATACGATCGGCCTCATCAAGAACGAGGTAGGAGACACTGCTGATATCGCATGCGCCTTCTTCGATAAGATCGATCAAACGACCGGGTGTGGCAACAATGATATCAACACCAGATCGAATGGCCCTCTTTTGAGCATCCTTGGGAACGCCACCATAAATACAGACCGTTGTGACTCCACACTCCTTACCGGCAGCTTCGGCTTGCTCTTGAGATTGCATGGCAAGTTCACGAGTAGGGGCGACAACAAGAACAGTTGGTCCTTTCTTGGAGCCTTCAGCTTGACGCTTGGCTTGAATATGAACAAGTGCTGGCATGGTGAAGGCGAGGGTCTTACCGGATCCAGTTTCAGCAATACCGATCAAATCACGGCCAGACAAAGAAATGGGCCAGGTACTGGCTTGAATGGGAGTGGGTGCCTTGAAGCTCTTGACAGCCTTCAGCATCTGGGCGGGAAGACCGGACTGGCTGAACTCCATGATAGGTCGATAGGATTTATCACCATTGACTTCAATAACATGCTTCTTGTAAAAAGCATCGATATCAGATTGAGGCAATTCAGCCAACGATGGGTGAACTGAGTATCCATTGCTAACGATGTCAGCGGAATCGTCGGCGGTACTTTTGGCTTTCTTTGGTTCCTTGTCGTCGGTGGTGGTATTGTCAGCTGTATCTTGGTGCTTACGCTTTTTCTCCTTCTTTTCCTTCTTCTCCTTCTTCTCGCTGTGCTTAGATTCGGACTTATCCTTCTTGTCCTTCTTCTGCTTCTTCTCCTTCTTGTGAATGATCTCTGCAGCTGGCATGGTTGGAAACAAAGCTTAAACGTTATCGGGTGAAGAAAAAAAAAAAAAAAAGAAAAAAGTTCGATGGAAAAAAGACAGTCTCGCTTGATTTACCCAGCAAAACGTAGGTGCGTTCTAATTGGTTAGCTGACGCAAAAGACAGACCTCCACGTTTTGGAGCCAGCATATCATCTGCATCTCACTGACCATCGCTCGCTGATTGATAACGTTCTACAACAGAATCAGTTGGATCATTTGGCTTTGGCATCTGTATACGCTACTTGGATCTATAAACACGCGTGCTCATGGCTCAGCAACCCCCACCGTTTCAGGCTCAAAGGCCACCTATGCAAATCGATCCCAATGGTAATCGCTCACCCGGTCCGAGACCTCCTATGGGCTATCGTCCAACAGGCACACCACCACCTAATCCCGCCTTTCGACCAGCTGGTACTCCACCTCCACCAGGCAGCCCTATGAGACCTCAATTCCCACCCAACCAGCAAGGCTTCCAACCACCGCCGCGACCTAGTTCAGGTCAGAACGGGTACAATGGCATTCCTCCCAACGCAGCTGGAGTGCGCCCTCCATTTTCACCCGGTATGCGACCTCCCATGCCACACGACCGATCTGCATCTCCACAGACCATTAGGCCCATTCAGCAAGGTAGTCAGCTGCCGCCCCAGAGCCCTGTCGCTCAAGCGGCAAACCCACCCGCCAACCTTGCGCCGACTCCTTCATATTCGTCTGCATCTTTGCCTGATGGGCCTCAGTCGCCTACTAGCTCTCATATGTCTCAAGCAGAGCATCAGCGTCGCAAGCGTATGTATCCACAGCAAATCACTCAAGCATATTTGGACCAGCCTAGTCCTGCTCAGTCTTATGATCAGCAGTATCAAGCGCCCTCAAACCCTGCTGCTTCATCTGCTCAATACTTTGTTCCTGGCTCACAAACTGGTCAACAAGGTGCGCCAGCTCCTTTATCACCAGGGTATGGACAACAGCAACAGCCAGGAGCACCGCAACCCGGACAGCAGCAGCCTTATCAAGCGCCTGTTGCTAATATGACCAATCAATTCAGCAATATGGGCTTTGCAGGAGGAGCACAGGTAAAGCTTGCTTTGTGTGTGTTCTGAGAGGTGTTTCCGTGTCTGACCCTTTTTTATTTTTTGAAGCAGCCAGCTGGGCAAATCCAGTCTGTGTCGTTGATGGGTATTCCACCACAGATTCAGGATCTGTATAACCAACCTCCTACCATTAATTTGCCTCCCAATGTGAGTTTCGTTAGTTGGCGTACCTTTCATCTTCTACACACCTAACCCGCCTTTTCTTGAATAGGCTTCCATAACGTCATCACCCTCTGCCAACTCTGATCCATCCTATCAACGTTCCACCATCAATGCTATTCCAGCTACTGAGGCATTGCTCAAGAAATCCAGACTTCCTTTGGCACTTGTGATTGCTCCCTATCGAACCCTTAAGGATGGTGATGTAAGTTAGACAGTTACCGTGGTGACCAGATCCCACACATTTTAACCCGCTTGTTTGTTTTCTTACGTCGCACAATAGGAACCTGTGCCTGTTGTATCGGATACAGTGATTGCCCGTTGTAGACGCTGCCGTACCTACATCAATCCGTTTGTTACCTTTGTTGAGGGTGGCCAACGCTGGAAATGTAACATGTGTTTCCTTCTGAACGAAGGTGAGTGCTGCAAACTGATCATTTTGTCATGCAAACCCTTTTGCTCAACCTCCCATGTCAGTTCCATCCGCCTTTGACAGAGATGCTATCACATCACAGCCTGCCGATCGATGGAAGCGTGCTGAATTGAATTATGGATGCGTGGAATTTGTCGCTCCAACAGAGTACATGGTTCGTCCACCGCAACCACCCGCATACGTGTTTGTCATCGATGTATCGTACTCCGCCGTACACTCTGGCATGGTCGCCACTGCTGCCAGAACGATTTTGGATTCCTTGGATCGCATACCAAATGAAGAGAACCGTACTAAGGTTGCCTTTATCACTGTCGATAGCTCATTGCACTTTTATAACTTTAATTCATCCCTCACTGAGCCTCAAATGCTGTTGGTTTCCGAAATCGATGATGTCTTTTTACCTGCGCCAACTGATCTTTTGGTGAATTTGACTGAAAGCCGCCCGGTTATCGAATCCTTTTTGGAAAAGTTGCCCGACATGTTCAAGGACACGACTAATATTAAGAATGCTGCAGGCTCAGCTTTGCAAGCTGCCTTCAAGCTTGTTGTAAGTGTTTCAGTCATGTATTGGGAAAAGTTGGGGAGATCATTAACTCAATTCATTCTCAGAGCATAAGCGGTGGCAAAATTATCTGCTTGCAATCTACCTTGCCTAATGTTGGCACCGGTGCTCTCAAACCTCGAGAGGATGTCAAATTGCTTGGCACTGCCAAGGAGACCACATTGTTGAATGCTGCATCACCTTTCTACAAGTCATTTGCTGTTGATTGCTCAAGATCTCAAGTGGCATGTGATATGCTCATTTTCGGTGGTCAATACTCTGACGTCGCTACATTGAGTAAGTATACGGCCTGGATGGGAATGATACAATGAGACACTCTAACCAAACCCCTTGTTTTTTTTTTTCATAGGCTGTTTGCCCAGATATACCGCCGGTCAAACCTATTTCTATCCTGGATTCAACGCTGCACGAACTGAAGATGCTCTCAAGTTTGCTCATGAATTCTCGGAGTTGTTGGCTGAACAAGTTGGTATGGAGGCTGTTATTCGAATTCGTGCATCCAAGGGTATTCGTATGACATCGTACCATGGAAACTTCTTTGTACGATCCACCGATCTTTTGGCTCTGCCCAACGTGCCTCGCGATCAATCGTACTGCGTTGAAGTTGGTATTGAGGACGATATTAAGACATCCACTGTCTGTTTCCAAACTGCGTTGTTGCACTCAACTTGTCATGGTGAACGCCGTATCCGTGTTCTTACAACCTGCCTCCCTGTTACAAGCTCTATGTCTGAGCTTTACGGCAGCGTCGACCAATATGCAATGGCTACCTTCTTGGCTAATAAGGGTAAGAAATCTTTGGTATATGCAATGAGGAGAGTCGGCGTGTACTTATCAATTTGCATGGCAGCTGTGGAGCGTGGCTTGACAACCAAGTTGGATGATGCTCGAGATGCTATTGTCAATAAGGTCGTTGATATGCTTGGTGTTTACAAGACCCATATCCTTGGCTCTGGCTCCGGTTCTACCCCGCAACTGACCATAAGTGACAATCTCAAGTTACTGCCTGCTCTCACCCTTGGACTGTTGAAACATGTAAGTCGGACGCTAGGATTTTGAAATCATAGGTCACTGCCATTGACCATGCTGTTTTTAATTTTACTAGGATGGTCTACGACAAAGCTCGCAAATACCTACGGACTTGAGATCGAACGCCATGAATCTTTTGAAAACCATGCCAGTACAGTTGCTTATACCGTACATATATCCTACTTTATACTCGTTGCACAACATGCCCAATGAAGCAGGTGAAGTTGGTGAAAACGGCGTTGTTCTTCCTCCAAGACTCAACCTCTCTGGAGAAAAGCTTGAGCCTCACGGATGCTATCTGTTAGAAAACGGCCAGAACATTTACATTTGGGTGGGTCGGGGCGTGGTCCCACAGTTGTGCTTGGACCTCTTTGACGTTAAGTCTTATGAGGGACTACGTGGCGGCAAGGTAAGAACCAAATGCTTTTTCCTATTCCGATGACTTTTTCATGATGCTCACACATCCACCACTCTCAGATCACTTTGCCCAGCTTAGAAAACCCTTTCAACCAAAAGGTCAACATGATCATTGGAAAAATTCGCGAGATGCGTCGTGGCAACTACTACCCTCAGCTGTACTTGGTCAAAGAAGATGGAGAGCCTGCTTTGCGTCTCTGGTTCTTGTCACATCTCATTGAGGATCGAACAGACAATGTCTTGAGTTACCCACAGTTATTGCAGCTCCTCAAGGACAGAGTAAGTTGGAGATCAAGACAAAATTAGACCATGACTTGGCCCAAGAAACTCCTTTTAACTCCTTTTCTTTTATTAGGTCTCATCGGGATCTTTCTAATTTCAGCCAAAACCGATACAAAAAATATAACAGAAGGCAATAGATAGTGACAGCCGATTAGTGCGTTTTAATGTTGGAGATTGGAACGGCTCCACGCTTCATTCCGAACGAATGTCGATCGACCTAAAAAGAAAACCCCCACCAGAAAAAAATTGAATTGACTCAGATACAGTATCGCTTCCATTGCAAAAAATAACATAGTATTTCCTGATCCCCATCCCCCATTAAAATACGAATTAGTTGAATTGAAATTTTCCTGTGATTTATTTGGCTCGAATCTCTTCATCAGGTGTTAATATAACATCTGGTTTGCGGTCAGTTGGTTCCAGTGGAATTCGGCCAACCTCCACTATCTGCTCTCGAAGCGCAAGTGCAACTGTCTTGGGTGGCTGTCGGTTGTTGTTTGCCGCCCACTCTTCACATTGTTGCATGTACCGGTCATAGTACCTAATGAAACCATCCAATGGGTGAGTCGTACGTAGACTTCTACAATGAATGAATTTCTAAAAATTAAACATACCCTCTGCCGTGGCCTATTCTATTTCCTGCGACATCAAAGCCTACTCCCGGAACAATGATCAAGTCCAGACCCTGTTTATCCAAAGCGTCTTCTCGGACCTGGTCCGCTGGAGGTTCAGGGATGTTCCAATTATTGACTGGTAGACTCAGAAAGTCCTCCCAAGAATTGAGTTTCACCATTGTCATGGTTGCTGATCCCATGAACCGCGGTACATAGCAAGCTTTTTCTATAGGCGAGATTGTTAGTATTTGCGATCCGTGGTGTAAAGAAATTTTTTACTGGAGAAAAGCCTTTACGTGTATCAAAAATGTTGCGGATGACCTCTCGTGTATTGATTTCTCCGTCCATGGATATGTACACACTGACACTCTTACTGTTTCGATATTCATTCGAGCCCAGTAGCTTTTCTGTGACAATTTTTGCTGTGGATGAAAAAAGTTGTAGTCAGATCGAGATGAAAAGCAGAACGATTGCCACCGTCGTAGGAGACATTACATTCTTTTTGAGTAACCTCGCTGGTCACTAATTTGAGCCGTCCAGCAAGTTCTTTCCGTAATGCTTTTTTCAATGTCTTAACTGCTGCCATTGCGTGCCGAGGAGCTTCGGTCTTAAGGTGAGGAGATCTGATATTTTTTTAACTGACAGAAATTGACCAAAAAGTTGACTCACACCCGGCTAAGCTCCGCGAATTTCGCGCACAGACCTCCCACGGCACTGTGCCTTGCAATCTCAGTACAGAAAGTAAAAGGTACAGGTCGAAAACAGCACATTGTATGATATGTGAGACATAAGTAAGTGTCGGTCACTGACCAGATGAAAGCTAATACTTTAATAGAGTTTGGAAAGTGCACACTATTGCGATGATACAGTTGACATTAGAGAAAGTCGTACACTCAAAGAAAGTGGTTTTCTATAGATGGATTCGCTTAAGTCCGTAAGCAAGCGCAGTTAAAACGCAAGGTATTCGCAAGTCAGAGACTGCTTTTGACCCACACAGCATTTGTCAAAACTTGGCGACGCAGGGGTAAATGGAGTAGCGCTCTTTTTAGGATTGGTGTCTGAGGTACGGGAAACCAAAATTTCCAAAGTCCTTTTGCACTTTTTATTAAGCGGTCTTCATTTACCTATTGCCCATGTTGTATGCTAAGTGAGCGTCTATCTGAACCGTGCAAAAAATCTGCTGAATGTCACACTTGTTTTGTGAGAGGGATAGTTGAAATTGTTACGTTGCTTAGCGAAAGGTTTACCATCCCTTCTCAATCAAACACAGATCACTCAAAATTGCGCGGTTACAACCTTCACAGCGAAACAATTGACAGACGTGCATCACGTTGCAAGGTGTGATCGGGTCTTAAACCGTGGTGTACCCGTGCACCCCACGGTTACAACGTTCAAGCGTTGTGATAGACAGCATTTTATTTGCCAAACATACATAGACATTTGGGTGACTACATTACTGTCAATTTGACCTCAATGTTATCGCGAGTGGCGCGAGAGTAAGGGCACACCTTGTGAGCGCCTTCAACGATTTTTTGCAAATCCGCCTTTTGAATATCAGAGGATTCAACCTGAAGCTCAACCGCCAATCCTAAACTCTTGCTGGCGTCTTGACCGATATGAACGAGGGCAGTCACCTTGGTCGAACCTGATACTTTCATTTTGCTAGCCACGAGACCCATGGCGCCTTGGAAGCAAGCACTGTAACCAGCGGCAAACAGTTGTTCGGGGTTGGTCTTGCCTGCCTCACCAGATCCTCCAAGCGACTTGGGCATGGCCAGCTGCAAGTCCAATACACCTATGGATCATGTGTGTGAGCACGGTGTGACCTGGGGGTGGTAATGATTGTCATTTTTTTATGAACTTACCATCACTGGATTTGACATGACCTTGTCTACCACCTACCGCGGTAGCTTGGGCAGTGTACAAAGGCTTGATGGCAGCGGAAGTATAGGCACGAACAAAGGTTCTAGTCAGCAGCATGAGTGAAGGGTAAAAGGGGTGAAGCACCAAAACAAAGATCTGTGGTGAATATTGATGTCATGTGGGTGACCGCACCACACTTTGAATGAGTGGCGGCCATTCATTTTTTTTTTCTGGGTTGGCTGTGACTTTAAAGTGCTGGCCTTCCCTCTTCAAGCTTTCCCCATTCTCCCCTTCTCATCGTAAAACTGGCGTCGCCTATCCCCATTCCACGATTCTCTGCTGCCGCCTCCATGGCAGCTTCCGAGGGATCTGCTGTAGCACCTATGACAACGTCTACTTCATCTCCCTTGCGATCAACCTCCGCAATGACCCCTCATATTCGTATCGTACCTCATCTGGAATCTACTCGATCACTTGTATTTGGAGTTATTGAACGCGACGTACCGGATAATACCCTTCTCAAGATTGGTCGCTTTACCGACAAGATATTTTTACCCAATAGAATAACTTTCAAGTCAAAAGTTGTCAGCCGAGGCCACGCTGAAATATGGACCGAGCAAGGCAAAGTAAGAAACCCCCCAATTTCTTCTTGCTTTGAGACACCAACCAACCATCATTTTTTTTATTGTAGTTTTATATTAGAGATACCAAATCTTCTTCAGGCACCTTCCTCAATCATATTCGACTTAGCCCTCCCAACGCAGAGTCACGGCCCTTTCAGTTGAAGGATGGAGACGTTGTTCAGCTCGGTGTGGATTATCAAGGCGGGACAGAGGGTGAGAAAAAAATGTTTACTTTATAACGAAACCCCAAACACTAATTCACAATCTCCTGCCTATCGAAATATTGTAGAGATATATCGATGTGTCAAAATGCGTCTGGAACTCAATCGATCATGGCAACAACAAATGAATCCCTATAGGTACGTCGATGGGGATTTAGTGTATTCGATGTTACTATGACTTATGGATATTTTTCAACACTGTAGCTTAAACACCTTTCAATCCTTGAGAAATCTGACAACACCACCTAATAATGTAACCGTACTCGACACTGCGATGGCCAATGGATCATCCACAGCCGAAAACGATCACAATGCTGCTATAGAGGATTGCTGTATCTGTTTGTATGCCATTGCTCCATTCCAAGCACTGTTTGTCGCACCTTGTTCGCACACTTTCCACTACAAATGCTGCCGGCCTCTTCTACAAAACCATCCGGGATTCTTATGTCCACTTTGCAGAACGTATGCTGATTTAGAGGCCAGCGTCGCGGTTGAAGCTAGCGAGGTAATAATTAAAAAGAAAATTTTTTTGTGATCCCCGTTTTGCAATGAAACTAAATTAGTTTCCCCGCTAAATTCAGGTACTCGCTTTGATAAACTCTAGGAAGCAATTGGTGAATCCCCAAGAATCTCCGCAAGGGCCAACCGTAGCAGAATCATCCGGGGACGTGCAAACACCGATCATGAATGAAGAAGAGTGTGACAATGGTGCGCCACTTTACAAAACCACTACCTTAAACGATGGTCATTCCGCTGCTGCCATACTACGCACAGACTCGGTAGGACACGATTCGACCGCTTCAGCCAATTCAGAGAGGTTGTCTGAAAATCATACACCTGCTTCGGTGGATGTATGATCCCTCAACTGATGCCATCCCATGCCATTTAATTCATCTATTCTTGTTTTCAATTCTCCGCTCATCTCACGCCAAATCCAATTCCTTCTCTTTCTTTTTTGCATGAGCAGTATCGTCACTGTACATTTGTCGTCTGTTTTCTTTTTCATTCATCATACATGTGTGTTGATGATTCGTCTGTGTGTATTTTCATTTAAAAATCTATATCTTATTTCTCCCCAACAGAAATCCGTTAATACATTTTGTCGCTGGCTACAAGTAGTGGAGTGTAGAAATGCGCTAAGCGACAAATAAGAATAATTGTTAAGAAATAGTGATTACAAGAATGGGAGGTCTTTTTTTTTTTTTAGCGCTTTTTGAATATGGAAAGTAGCCTTTTGGGTTTGGAGTCTGACGTTTCGTTGGTTCGTTGAACAATAGAGAACTTACGTCGTGGCTTTTCCATCGATTGCCTTGGGGGTTTCAACTCCGGTAGTAATAAGGATCTGCGTTTGATTTGACTATTGGACTGTTGCTGGGGCGGAACATCTTGTTGTGCCTCTGTGACATTTTCGCTCGTATTTTTAGACGGATCAACCCGATTGATACCTTCCAGCGGAACGGGTAGTTCTGAGTTCTTTATATCATGTGGATCAACAACCGTCCGATCGGAATTGCCGTTTTCGCCCTTCAGCGCCGAAGTCTGCATTTGTTCTGCAGCGTCATGCTCTGTTTTCTCACTGCATTCAGAGGTGTTTTCGAGGGTATCGTCTGTTCCAGATGCCATAGACTGGGTATCCACTGGCGGCGGATCAATGATGCCGTCATGATGATCATCCGAAGCTGGGATGCCTGGGATATCGATCTTCTCCTTCACCGACTCCACAACAGCCTGGATGGATTCCGTCGGTAGAGGGTGTGCTAGTTGTTGGACTTGCTTTATAGCTGTGGCTGTGGTTGTCACTGTCTTGTCCGTTTTACTGATAGTTTCTCCCAGAATGCAGTTTGCTATAATCAGGACCATAAGTACGATCAGTCTTCCACTCACCAAAAGGAGTTGAGGGAACACCGAGGCGACCGACCGTTTTTTGAGTCGCACCTCCTCGATTAAATTCGTTATGACCACCTGTAGCTGGCAGGTGGCCATATAGACGCTTTCAGGGTTCAAAAAGGCTGCTACAAGGGTCAGGGTGATCAATGCGTTCCATAATACCATTTGGGTGATCGAGTGTATGAAAGAAGAAAGAAAGAAAGAATAAAATAGATGAAAGGGATGCAATGATGGAATTTATTATCGTTTGCTTGCAAACTCCCTGGTCTCACGCCGTGACTGCAAGCCCATCATCCACCTCGAGGCGTCTGGAAGTGTGCTCACAGTGCGGGGGCGGGACCACCATCCCGGCTTTGTTTGCAGTCTGTTTGTCTCACCAGCCCGACATTTCTTGCGCAGGACTGTGGTTTTGTAAATGAGTTTCCATCCACCCTATCTGTGACAGAAGATGCGCACAGACAATAACTCGGAGGCTGCGACCAGTCGGCTGTAAACCAGCACTTCGAAATGGTTGCTCTTAAATAAATTGGTCTGGGCGCATCCAGTAGAACATTGCACACCGTAACTGAGATTATAAAGTACAGTGCTCACCCAGCCAACCACGAAAAAAGTCTAAATGCTCAGAGAAAGGTGTCATCGATGATGAAGACAAGCGCTGTATTGAGCTGAACCGTTTTGTATCGTTTCCAAGTATGCCAACTGTGTGAATTACAATTCCAATGGCTGATTGTGGCTTTCATGCGCAGTTATTGAGTCTCTCTGATCGTAGTTGAGTGCACCGTCTACAACGCCGTCCCGACTCTGAAGCGACTAGCTCGACCATGCCCCACTACGAATTTCGCCCAAGTTATCCATGGCCAAATCAACATCGCCATACTACCCACTGTGTATTAATTTTATGTGTTTGCATTAATTGACGGAGTCAGCCGTACAAGATCAAGCATCGGAGTGTATTTCGCTAGGTTCCATGGATTTGGATAAAATCTGCTAATGTAATACAATGAAACGGAACATCCACACCTCCTTGCACTCCGAGTCTAATCCAGAACACTTCCGTGGTAATTAACTTAAACACCGGTTTCGTGGCCACTTTCCATTATCTGCGCCAAAGGTGATAATAGCATCCTTGCTGAAAGAAGCTTGAGCGCCATGAGGGAATTTTCATCATGATGGTGGTGGCGTAGTGAATATTAATTACTAGCTCGAGGACGTCAGGATAGCATATCATGATCTGTTGGTTAACCAAGTGTAATATTCTTTGCGTATTCTTATTTTATTTTATTATTTGGTTTTAACGTGAATTCTCAATGCTACATCGAACTATTGACCTTTTTCTTTCCACCATGCTGTTGCAAAACGGTCGTACCCACGCTAACATGACGTCCCATCTCATTGCCGTGAATACGGATTATACGGAGGAATGTTTTGGTGCGGATGGTGAGCAGGTGGTTGCTGTTGGGACATGTTTTGTGGTGATTGAGAAGGATGCTGCTGTGTCGGGGGTTGCTGTTGCTGAAGTGCAGGGTTTTGAAGAAATTGCGCCAGCTGCTGGAGAGCAGGATTTGCTTGCAAGACAGCTGCAGCTGACTGCTGAGGCATGGGTGGGGGTGCGGCAGCTTGCTGTTGATTCACGGCCTGAGTCTAAACACATGTATTAATTAATGACGTGACCCTCCTTGCCTTTATCCTACGAACATAATAGTCTTACCAGCATGCTCAGTAGCTGTTGTACTTGCGCAGGTTGCGCCTGTCCTGCCAAAGAAGCACTAGGCTGAGGCTGGTATACCGGTGCAACAGGTTGCTGCTGTGGAGATGGCTGCTGATGACCTTGCGCCGACGCAATCATTGACAAAAGCTGAAAACAAAAAGCCCATTAATGACAAGCTTGGGGAAATGTGGAGAATAATCGAATCCAGCCCAGCTGGTTTATACCTGTTGAGCCTTTTGCGCTTGCTCCAACCGATTTGATTCTGGACTCTAAAGACCATATTACTGATAAGCTACACATCATCCAATAATAAAGGTGTCAATTGAAAAAAAAAAGGCGATCTTATACCATAGGTGCAGCATTGGCAGGTGCTTGTGGCCGACCAGCATAATTTCCTCCAGCAGAAACGTTTGATGGCGGACCAGGCATAGGTGGTCGCATCTGATTTCCATTGTAAGGACCTGTGAGAGGCGCTTCTGGATTGTACATTTGTTGGGAATATGGTTGGGAAGGAGGTGGCGGTCGCCCATAATTAGTGTTGTAGTCTCTTGGTCCAGAGGGAATGGGTCGCATATTGTTTGGAGGTCGGCCACCTTGCCCTGAAACAGCAATTTGTGTCAGTTTCTGAAGCTAGCTACGCTTTGCAATCATTTCAGCTTACTTCGATCATTATTTCGATCATATCCACCCATATCATCTCGGCGGTTGGATCCATAATGGTCATCTCGCCCATAGGGCCTGTCATGCCCATAGTTCTGTCGGCCACCTCCTCTCTGTTCGCTCGGTCCAGGACCTTGTCTACCATAGCCTCCTGTTTCACGTCGTCCTCGCGCCTCTGGAAATTCTCGTTTAGGTATGGATTCCTTTCGATCCCTTTAGATGAAAAAGTTTAGTCTATACGATTCCAGCCACGGCGAAAGAGGTGAAAATGGCTTTAACACTTACTTGACCGGCGCATCCCACAAGAATTGTAGTTCAACCGTACCACCTTGGTATTCCTGTCCGTTGAGATAATCGTGACAATCTATGCACGCTCTAGAATCAAAAAACTCTACGAAACGCTGACTATATAGAACACATGAGTATAAACACACCAAATATGTCTTCAAACGATGATATCACCTTTTGACTGGATCGACGGTACCGTTATTATACCTTCCATGAAGCGGTGATGGTCGCACGGATTTCACATCCCCATATCTTGTCAAGTATTGCGTTAATTCGCTGTTATCAATGTGATGATTGGTGCCAACCAGTGTGAATAGTAAGGTTCCCTATGATATCCAATATCAATGACTGGTATACTGGGCAGAGACGGATAATGTTTCCAAAATATACCTGGTTTTTATCCGCATCGCACTTCGCTTTTCGCTCTTCTTCCTTGGGTAGGGAGTAGTGAACATCAATCTTACGCCCGTTCAAATCGGTATTTTGCATGGCGAGCTTTGCCTGCTCTGCAGCTCTGATATCAAACTACATGGGCGAGCGACAGGTAATTATGATTTAGTGGATGTGACCAAGGTCTTGCGTACTGTAAAACACTCACGTATGTCACAAAAAGCATTCCTCTTTTTTCAATCAAACTGAAGAAGGTTTTGATCTCGCCATACTGCTCAAACTTTGCCCTAAGGTTGTCTTCCGTCATATTATACTGAGGGGCGTATTGGAGATTAGGTAAGACATTGGATACACAGAAACGGAAGTCGACTGCTCAATTCTTGAAATAGAACTAGCCACTATAACTAACCTGAATATTGCGAATAAATAAAGTTCGACAAGGTCGTTCAAGAGCAACACGGGCATCGACAGCACCGCCAGCATGATGTGGAGGCTTATCGTGAACGTCATGATGCAGATCTTTACCTGAGAAACCATGAAGTATGCAAGGAATCAGAAAACAATTGTAATGATACCGAAATGGTTGGTTGCGCTACTGGTGGAATGAAAAAGGAAAGAACAGAAGAATTGATTGAAAATTGGAGGAAATGCAAAAAGAACGGGAGATGGCTGAGGATCAGACAGTGAGGGACGATTATCTCAGCGATTCACATCTTGCAAGATACTAGACAGGGTTAATCGACAAAGACACTTAGACGATCACGCTGATGACACCGAATTGTGTGGAATGGCTTCAAAACGACTTGCAGTAACACGAAACATGAGCTTTGAAGCAAAAGATGGACGTCTCAACTTGTATCTCAGCGCTCGGTTGCAGGAAACGGAAGGAATTTCAAAAAAAGAGAAGGAAGGGAAAAGACAAAGGGATAAACCACTTGCTTAAGCGAGTTCACTGGAGTGCAAGTGCAAAGAAAGAGCAAAAAACGTGTATGGTGCAACTGAAGGATTTGTTTGTTAATGCATCTTACCCTGTAACTGATCTTGACCCCAAGTATCATCAGACGGATCATATCCTCTCGGTGGTGGCTCATCATAATAGTTATCGCTCATCCAATCTCCAATGGAAGAAGCATCAAACGATGAATTATTATCACTAGGGAAGGAATTATTTTGCGGAGGATTGCGACCTGGGGCGTTATGATTGGATCTAGGTCCTCGACCATCATCGAACCCACGATTCTGGTTATTGCGATGATGACGTCCGCCTCTTCCATCATAAGGATTGTATCTGTGTCTCCCGCGATTGTTGTGATCCATCACGGTACCAGACTGTTGGAAGAATAAAAAAGGTGTGGGTGTGAAAAGCAGAGCGTGATGTGGTGACTTTTGAGCCCAACCTTTGTGACGTTAGTGCCAAAAGCAGTCATGCGAAGGTGAATTTAGTTTCTAGTGCTGCACGCCAACAATCACAGCTTCACCTATCTACACCGACAGAAAGTGATCAGGAATTTGTACAAGTTCTTTTCTTCATTCACGAAAGTATACTTAAAGATAGGTTAATCGAAGAAGAACAAGATTTGAATACTGCGCTAGAAAGGTAGTCTGGAATCGTCTTTGGATAGACAATGTTCTTGCCATACAGTTCCTTATGCCCTCCAAACCATTCTCACACCAGCATACGTTCTGCGCTAATACAATACTCTTGATTGAGTGTTATCAAGGGACAAGGTATACGTTTATAAATGAACAAGGAGGCAGGCATGTCACAATAGACGAACAACATGAAGCGTAATTTTAAATTGTTGGTGAAGCGCTACCTTGTACCTGCAGTATTCCACCCAACAACTCTCTTGCCTCGTCATAGCAAACTATCACTTTGTAAATATGAATTTTTGGATTATGTGATTACTGTGCGGTGTTTCTACATACAATGAGGGGGAAAAAAGATGTAAATAAAGTGGAGAGTGATAGCATTTTACAGATGAAAGAATAAAAAAGACGTATGATGGAAGTAAAAAGTAAAGAATTGTACAGAGAGTGAAGATTAAGGATTATCAAAGAAAAAAAAAAAAGGTGGTGGTCACCGCATTGCGAATGAAGCAAAACTACATATTGTTCGAATTGAAGTCAGACCCTTCAGGTTGTTGAGCAAAATCCTGAATAGAGTCTGGATCAAATAAAGCGTGTTGAGGAGGTTCGTCCAGAGTATGTAGTTGCTGCTGTTGAGAGGTTGACGGTGGTTGACTAATAGTAGAGGTTGACGGTGCGTTGAGTTGAGTTGGAGATATTTGCTGTGAAGTACCAACGGGTGGATAGGCACTTTGCAATGCATCGAGATTGACACTGGCCGTACTAGAATAGCTCGCAGTATATTTGCCTATGATCTTTTTGAGAGCCAACGGTAAAGTCTTCCAATGAAAGGCTTTGACGTCTTTCTCAATATTACGAGGCTTGGGGTTTGGAAAACTCATCAACAGTTTGAAAAACTCGGCGCTGTCAGGTTTGAGCTTGCTGACAGTGAGCGGACGAAAGCCTTCAAGATTTCTCCGTATCCGGTTTTTTTCCTCCACTGTAAAACGCACGCCAATCAAACTTTCCAATAAAAATATGGTGTCGACCGACGTAATGAAGCATTCATTTCGATCTTCCCAGTAAATGCAAGACACAACAATGCTGTTGGGTTGGCGATCGCCTGGCGCAACTGGGGCAAACGTACAAATGATCTCGTTGTTTTCTTGTCTTCGCCAAAACTGTACCAGACGACGCCGGTTATCCCATTCTTCCGGAGTCCAATTAAGCGCCATGGAATCCAAGTCACCGTCAATAATTAGGTTCGCCTTATTGAGAAGTTGTGCATACGGATTGAATTCGCTAGAGGTTTGTTCCAGATATGAATGGGACGTAGAATCGGATGGTGATATGGCAAGACTGGATTTTGCATGGTGACCTTGATGGACAAAATCCGTCGATATGGAAGGAGGAGGCTGCGGCGTTATGTAATTAGGTGATGTCTGAGACATGTCGTAAGGGACGTTGGACATGGCGATGTTGCCAGTGGGTGGCATTCCAGGTGGCGGGTTACCGACTATATCGGACGTGCGGGCGCCAGCATATTCGTGCGATGGATCGGACATGGCCTGAGACGTCGAGGTGGACGACGCAACCTGAGAAGGCGGTGGTGGCCGGTAAGGGTAGCCAACCCCCATGATTTGGCCGGCTAGAAGTGAAAGGGATAGGATGGAGTCAACACGCGGTTGGGGCCAAAATCGATTCGCTATTTTAGTAAAAAAACAAAAAAAAAAAAAGGATGCATACCTTCTGGGAAGAAATTCCTTGCAGTTTCGTCAGCACGGAATCCAGACGCTCCATAAGCCGCCGATGCACTTGGTGCGGGAGCAATATTATAAAATTGGTTTGTACTAGAGTAGGTAGGTGCATTGCCTGTCATATAGCCAGTAGCAGAAGGAGTCGTGTCTTCTATGAAGGTTGACAGTACATTCGACACGTTAGCAAAAAATTCGGTTCAATAGGGTGGTGGGGGGTAAAATGTGTTGGTTTGAACAAGAAGAGCACCACCACCAAAAAAAGGTTTTCTTACCGGTCCTTGATGCTGACGATCCCGTGCCACTTCCTCCGCTCAGTCGTTTGTAAGCTTTTTCGTAGTCGACGGGATCATCAGCACTTCGTTTTCTTTGTCCAAGATTTTGATCATCGGCAGAAGGTGCTGTATCATAATGAGATAATATGTGGAGTTAATTAAGACTTGTTTTTTTTTGTCCAACCAGTTGAAGGAGGCGTTGCAGAGTGAGAGTGAGATTGAGTCCAGTGAGAAACAAACAACCTCCCTTGTTTTTTCCCAACCCAGGGCAGGCGGGAAGAGGAAGTGGTTGCTACGCACGGACACAAATCCCACTCAAACACTCTAGAGAATCCAACCTACCCAAATTATTATAAAAGAAGTAACCGACAAGCCAGCTGTCGGTTACTTCATTGTCACCACTCCATGCTATTATAGATAACGGAACGCCAAGCTCATGACACCGCGTGAGAGAAAATGAGGGTACTCTAGTCGTTAATGTGGTGTATGTGGGATGTTGCAATTGTTTCGTATCAGCAATAAATGAACCAAATCCTATCTTGAGAGGGAGTCCAGGTTGATCAGAGGCGAGAGTGATCGTCAGCAGATCACCTTCGACACCTTGTTGAGGAGTGAACTCATATATCCGTGGTGGCTGTGGTCTGATTAACAGCGGTTGCGGTGGATACGTTGGAGACACAGCGCTGGCAGATGATGATGATGGCGGTATTTGCGATTGTGGTGGGTAAGGCAAAGAGGAGGGTTTGTTTCCTTGAGAGAAGAAATGAAATGAAAAAGAGCAAAGAGATAAAAGAGTTAATAAGTTATCAACATTTTGAGCTATGGGCTATTGGACTTACTTTGGGTCATGGGGGAGCTTATATTAATGCCAGCCCCACTGATGCTGAAGGCTTGATTATTATTGGATTAAGGTTATCTAATAGCCGGCTATAATACTTTCAAGCTGCAGGCGTTCAATAAGTCTAACAAGAACATGCCAACAGTTAGTGAGAAAACAAAAAACAACCCACAGAACACAGTATTATACTGAGAGTAGCTGTCAGGCTTAGAACCCCTCGCATGGTTACACCAGGGTACAAGTATTTGAACGCATGACTTACTGTTTGGCTTTCTATTATTGAAATGACAGAACCGTAAAGAAATGAAGTAAGAAATGGAAATATCGTAAAGCGCTGACAGAAAGTCTTGTCAATCACGAGATCACGATGTTTCAGAACAACTACTTCTTCCGAGGGATCGAAAACCTCGGAATCTTTAGGACCCAGGTAGAAACATGAAATTTTGCGTGCTTGTTCCAATGATGTGGCTGCACACAAAATTCCAATAAGGGAATTCTGGGGTGGAGTACTCAACTAAACTGGTCATGATGTATCTCCATTCATGGTAAGATGATGAAGTTCAAGGCAAACGCAACCAATACTTCTTTACATTCCACTGTTATCTGTGCGTAGAAACACTCAACCGAAACCCGGAGTAATAAAGAAATAATCCGCCTATGATTTTTGAGACAGATCGAACATTTCATTGAAAGTAAGATGTTATTTATCATAGCTGAGAAATTAAATGGCATTCAGGATGGATGAACTATTAAAAAAGCTTATGATATGTTGATGCTATATACTGTAAACGTCTAGCGCTGGGATGGAGCGAATCCAATACTAGCGTTACCAAAGTCAAAAACGGTGTACCAGCTCTTGAGGAAAACGTCACCCAATATAGTGAAAGGTAGACTACTTTCGACCAAGCCAGAAAAGCAGAGTTTAGCATCTGCGCTGGCTTCACGGACAATATCTGCAACAGGAACAGCAAACTGATTTCCTCCTAATTCAAATTCAAAGGTTTCAGAGGAATTACTAGCAGTGCAAGGCAAACGCCATCCGTAAATCGATGAAAAAACAGCGCCTTCGATGCTAGCATGTAGATGCTTGCTAATGGTAGGAGGTGTAACAATGAGAGTGGTACCAGTATCGATGATGGCACTGGCAGAAAGCGGTAGTTTTTTGGATCCTGAAGAGACGGAGTTCATAGGTACTTGCCAATACTTTTCATTGTTCACCTTGACATAATGGAATTCGCCAGTGTAATGCTCTTTGTTGGAACCGCCGAAGACCTAAAGTACGAGTCATTGGGAAAAATAATACAAATTTGTCCGAAATACGAAGGGTAAAAAAAGAATAAACATAGGTTAAAACATGATATGCTATTTTTTTTCCTTCATAACAAATGATGGCTACGTTACCATTTCACCACCGCCACCTTCTTTGGATCGACCAAGCCAAACTCCAACAACGGGTTCATCAAGCTGGCCTTGATCGTACATTATTTCGATGGGGGATTGCTTAGCTCCCGTAAGAGAAAGACTGGGGAAGGCTAATCCAAAGATACCGTCGAGAAACTTGTCAGCAGCAAACTGACCAGATTCGTCATTAGCAAGGCCAATCATTTGTCCTTCATAATGGATATCACCGATAGTGACGGAATCCTTGGCTGTTCGACCAGAGATGTAAGATCCATCAGCGTATGATAACGACCAATTTTTGCCAATGGACTCGAAGCTACTTGACTTCTCCTCTTGGAAAATATGATGACCAACACATCGAGAACAGGATGTAGAAGGCAACCAGATGTCACTGCTGCCAGTATCGAAGACAGCTTGGAACTGTTGCGGAGGTGTGCCAACCCCAATGGTTCCAGTATACTGTATCATGGAAAATATTTAGAAACATAGGAAGTCGCGAGTTCTATTATTATATTCATCTCACCTCGATATCCAAATAGTTGCTGTGAAGCTCCACTATTCCAGTATCTTGCATTTCCTTAACGTCTGCCTTAACGATCATGTTAGGATTGTACTTTGCGACCGTCCTAACTACTCTGGCGGGGGTGCCCAATGAGGGTCTTTCTGGCTGTTCTAGTGGAACACTTTGATTTCAAATATTTAAGTTAGAGAAAGGTAGCACTTTCAAAAGAGATGAAGATCAATAAAACGTAGAGCAGTCATTTACACAAGATTAGCTAGCACCACGTGGACGCAGGCTGCAATGGACAAGAGGTGATAAGATAGCTTCATGAAGATCAAAGACAAGAGTTGAATGGTATCTACCGTTCAGATAATGACATTATTTTATATACGATTTGTTTAGAAACATTTTGTGGTTAATTGAGCGCGGGTCGTTCTCACTCTTGGTTTAAGCTTCCAGCCAATGACTGGACTCACAGAAAAAAACCCATGCTTAGCCAACCGCTTTTTTTTTTTTTTTTCAAACCAACCTAACGCTTCAACGTCGCATTCTGTGATTCACCCTACTCCACATTTCACGAGATCCCTAGCATCCTGGTACGAAACATTATACACTTTTATTTTCCATCTTTTTAGCATATATTCCCCTAAACTCATTCGTTAATGTCCTTCTATATTGCTCTCACTCTCCATCGATCCTTTCATCCCCGGTCACCATCCTAATCTTGTACCTTCGACCCATCCCATCGCCTACTCAACAAAAATAACAATGTATATTTCCTCCTCCCCATACAGTTGTGATCTCAAAAGACAAAAGTCTTCCGACCCATCTTCAGAGAGCGTTTGTTGTGTGCCTGTGTGCAGTTGAATCCACTGCCACTTGATTTATTTTGTATTCAATCAACCACACGCCCGTCGTCGTCCCGCCCTTCTACGTTTCATACATCAGCTACTTTTCGTTTTTTCTACCTTCAGCTGTTCGAAGTTCATTCTCTCCAGTGGATCTTTTCATTCTTTGAACACCCACACATACATCATGTCAGATCAAGAAGACCATGCTTCACCAAGCGATCGATCCAAGCGACCTTATGAAGATGATGAAACACTCACTAAGTCAGATGTAGACCGACATCACAATCGAGCGAAAAGACAAGCAGTACCTGATCCAAAAACTGACACTCCTTATGCTGCCAAATCTTCCACCGCAACTGACAGCGAGAAATCTGACAGCGTGAAGAACGGTGCTTCAACAAAAAATTACAAATCAGAAGATGATGAACAAAGCAAAGGAGATGAAGATGCCGAACAACCTGCCGCAGACGTAACCCCTGTCTCGCTTCGCGCTATAGTAACCACTAAAGATGCCGGCGTCATCATTGGCAAGGGAGGAAAGAATGTCAACGAAATACGTGAGCAATCTGGAGCCAAAGTCACAATTTCAGAAATCGTTCCTGGCGCGGTTGAACGTATCTTGACGGTGACAGGTCCTTTGGATACAGTTGCATTGGTAAGCAACTACCTACGTTTTGATGGCCAGCTGTTTCCCATGAATTCAAACCTTGTTTATAAACCTTTCCGTTTCTAGGCGTTTTCTTTGGTTTCACGTAAAATCTTGCAAGAAATTCCCTCTGGAAGTGAGCATGATCAAATTGTCACCATTCGACTTTTGGTTCCGGACAGTCGTATGGGATTGCTGATCGGCAAAGCAGGAGCAGTCATAAAGCAGGTTCAGGAAGAAAGTGGAGCTCGCTGCAGTGTAACACCAGATCGACTACCAATGTGCACGGAACGAACAATTATAATTACTGGAGTTCCTGATTCTATCCATATTGCGATTTACAAGTTTGGCCAGATATTGATGGAAGGAAATGGCAATATCCCCGGATTGGTCCTGTACAAGCCTCAAGCCCAGAATGCCGTCGTCAATCCACAACCTCACTACAACCCCATGATGGCTGGTGGTATGGGTATGAATGGAACAGCATTTTTTTACGGACATCCAAGTATGGGCGGATTTCCGAACATGCCCCCTGCCGCTACTCCTGCTGCTATGGGAGCTGCCATGGGTGGACCGACACAAGCACAACAAATCTTCATACCAAACGATATGGTAGGTATTGCCAACTAGTATTCATCTCTCCGGGCTAAGTATTGATTCTTTGATCTATTCAGGTTGGCTGCATCATTGGTAAGGGCGGAAGCAAGATCAATGAAATTCGACAAGTTAGTGGAAGTCATATCAAAATTGCTGAACCTCATGGCAATACCAATGAGCGCTTAGTGACCATCACTGGAACACCAGAATGCAACCAAATGGCTTTGTATCTGCTTTATTCACGATTGGAAAGCGAGAAAAGCAGGATGAGCATGCGCTGATACGTATTTCCTGGAATCTTGTTTTACAACTGGAATAAAAAAATAAAAAAAATTCACCACAGTAAATTTTAAGAGGGGAGGGAGTCTTTGATTCACAGCTTTTGATTCAGTTGAGCGGGGTCTACTCACTTCATACCATTACTGCTCGAAGCTGGATGCGCATTCTTTTGTTTTTGCTTGCCCTTTTGGTGTCCACGGCTTCAGCATGGCCAGGAAATCCCGGCACAGTGAGTACCTTTTTCCTTAGCAGGTGTCTTGAATTTATGAATTCTCAACTTTTACCATATTGTAGTGTGATGTCGAAAAGATGAGCAGAGAAGGACACGGGCCATCAAAGTCGACATGCAAAGACTGCTATTCAATCACTAGCTCGATTGCTAATGATTACTTATCGTACTCTTTGAAAGTGACTGGTAGAGAACAGTTTCAGGGATTTCTTCTCTATGTCCAAGATGCAGCGAATAACACGGTTGGCAGTTTTCGAACCTACGATCATTTCCTCTATGAACCGGTAGAATGCCAAGAAGCCGTCGAATTCGATCTGAATAACACCATCGGTCACTCCAACCCGATCATGAAGCGCTGGCCGGTAGAACTGGGCTGGACAGCAGCTGTGACTGAAGATGAAGCCGCGAAGTTCCAGCCAGGCGACAAATTGACTGTTCGGGGTATGGTGGTGGTAAGTGGAACCCGGTATCCTATCGCCCAAGCGTAACACTACGGTCTAACTTTAGCCTTTCCAGATGGACTACGATCACTGGCACATTTTTCCCGAGTTCACTTTCAGCATTGCACAACCTGGAGCAGAAAAGCTCAAGCTTCCGGCTGTCCATGATACGATTCCGACCCATCACCACGAGTACCCAAATAAGCTGTTCTATACTGTACTGGTTATAGCCTTCATCATATACAATGGCATGTCACTCTTGTTCAAGCATCTTCAGCATCGGAGACGACAGACTAGAGAGAAACAGACCACTTTCCAAGCGGCAGCAACAGGCGATAGAACCATCCTATTGCGCGATTGGTAGATACGATACCCCTGGCAGCACACACTGCCACACTAGACTACCGACCGTGGTTTCTCTTATATGCGTTATGTGATTTTCATTGTTCATGTTCTTCCGTTTTATTCAGCCATCTTTATTACCAGTTCATAATTTCATTCCAATTAGAAAAACGTAAATCAAACCAACTTCTCCGTTGTTCAATATCATTGCTTTGACCAAACAGGTTGAGAAGCGCCAAATAGGTATATACAATGTACAGACATTAAATATGACAAATGAGGTTGCGGTCATAACGAGTGCCTAAGCATCAAAGTGTAGTTCTGCAATGCGTGTGTGGTGACTTATCCAATGCAAGCGTCGTTCGTACTATAAACTTTTGGAACTTGTACCGGACAAAAACTGTTGGGCACACCAATTCGCAGTATCCCTCACTGCATTATACCATACGCCGTCATTGGCACAGAGGTGCTCCATCATGAACCATACATGCGCAGAGTCCGGTGGCGCCACGCTGTCGACTTCCACACCATCTTTCTGGCACTTTTTGACGAAAGCTGCAATATCATGTGAGAATACCTCGGTTGCGCCATATATTACTAGCATCGGTGGGAAAAGTTGTAGCGAGGGAAGATAAATTGGAGAAACGCGTGGATCGGTAGGACTCATGTCGGTTGGCAAGTACAGGGTGCGGAATTGCTTGGCGGCTGCCAAAGTCAAGTAATCGTCTTTGGCAAGGGTTTGATAGGTTGGTGAAGCCAAATCCAGATTGACCCATGGGGAAACAAGGAGTGCAGCTCGAGGAAGAGGCAGTGATTCCTTCATAATGTCATGAATTAAAGATACTGCCATACCACCACCCGCTGAGTCACCAGCTATATAAGATAAAGATATGTGAATTCGCGACGACAATTGAATCAAGATTTCTTGAGGAAGATTGACTGGCCACCCTTACCGACTATGATTTTACATGCTGGAATCTTCAGTTTTTGTACCAAGTTGCGGTAGCATTCCAGTACTTCAGTTGGAGCAGATGGCCATTTATGCTTAGGTGCCAGCCCTTGAGAATGAAGCACATTTAACAGGTGTATGAGGAATAATTGACCAACCGCCAAAAGAGGTATATCCACTCACCGTACTCTAAGGAAAATAGTCGCACATTCTTTTTGTGCTCGTTTGTCAGCTGCTTTACCAATTGGATAAGAGCAGGAGCGTACATGGTATCGGAACCGAAAACGAAACCGCCGCCTATATAAAACATGACATTAGAAAATGGCATTACCGTAGGGTGCGCGTCTGCATGGATGGCATAATATCCCTACCATGTATCCAAAAGATGATAATGTCTGCTGTATTACTATCCATGATCCAGTCTTTGATATTTTGAGTTTCAGCGACGTTGGGGCCAATCCAAGTTCCTTTGGCAGGAAGTGAGCGAACGCGTCTGAGCCATGAACTCTCTGTAGGAGTTGGTACATTTGTTAGTTCAAGAGCCAAGTCGAACAAGGTGTAAGATATTAGTGACGATAATTTCAAGGTTGCATAGAGCCATTTTCGCGGCATAAGTCTGCACAGATACACGAAAGCATGGCGAAGGTACGGAGCGCCTGTAACAGGGATGTTAATTCAGGAACATAAACGCAGGCTATAGACTGTCTACTTACACAGGCGTCGTCCGTTAACAGTTCCAAGCGCTACGACAGGTAGTGCAACCGCAATTGCACTTATACTGGGAAGCATCATCAAATTCGAGAGCGTAGGAAAATCACGAGAGTTTGACCTTAGGTAAACACAAAGGCGAATCTCATATGTCGGTAGTTATTACATTCCAACTCCACACCGTTGGATGCATTTGTGTCTGTGCATGTTCGCCCTTTTGAAGAATCCTTCCGTTAAAATCAGCCCGCTATGTTTTCTGCTATGTAATAACAATAGCCCTCCAGATTCCGGGTAATAAGAAAATGTAGCATTATTTTCAAACCCCCTTTATAACATACGCAGAGACTTTGAATCAAACTGAAATTAATGCAGAACAACCTAGAAGCTACGATTTATTAACCCGATACAACATGAAAAAGCTGTGAATAGATTCCAACAAAGCTTCGCTCATGTCGATTTACGTATACGACAAGTTTAGACCAGAAGGTCCAGGTGAAGTGTTTCTAGCAAGTGATGACAGAACGCTAGCAGCTCCGTTTGTCTCCCTTTGAGCTTGCTGCTGCAAGTGTTGAATTCTCTTTCGCTCTTGTTCAATAGCTTTCATCTTCAGTCGCTTCCACAATTGTTTTTTCTGGGTATTCGTCCTTGTAAGTTTTGCACGAGCTGATCGTAATCTATTGAGATACTCGTTGCTAAAATTTATGTTTTCCTGTAGGTATGTAAAAAGCAAGTTATAAACGATTCATCGGTAGAAAAAAGCAATTATACGCGGATTCCTAACCTGAAGAAGTTCACGGACTCGAACAAGGATTAGTCGTGCCTCTTCATCAGCAACAGCATCTCCCTTGTGTCCGTTTCGACCGGCATGCACAGACTCGGGGCTAGATTTGTTAACCTTGTCATCACTCTTTGCGTCAACATCCATGCCGAATTCACCATTTTGAGATTCAGCTGTACGTTCGTATGTCACATCAACATATTGTGGGTCGTCGCAGTATAATATTGATGATAATCTTGACAAGATCTTGTTGAATGTCTTTTCGCTTTCGATAAATTCCATGCTGGTGTTGGCCAGCAGTTCCATTTGAGGCGACTTTAAGATTCGTCGCAAAGTTGGTCGACGAACAATATCGGAGGGTGTTTCGATGGGACTTAAAATATCTTTTTTCAAGTACAACATCAGTACAGCAGCGAGTATCTCTTCTCTGACTGAAAAGCGGATGTAGTACCTTCAACCTTCACTTGGGTATATGGATCTTCCTCTTCATCTGAAAAGTCTTCATCAAATCTTCTCTTTCGGCGCTTGATAACACTTCTGTTCTTTCCATTTTTTACAAGCTAGGAGGAGCTGTTAGTATCGGAATAGGTCGCAGTTGCCGTTGGTGTATGCTTACGTCTATTTGCTCTGACATAGTCTGCGGTGCTCGAAGCTTACTGCCTCCAAAATGATCCCTATCAGCCGCCCATCTCTTCAGTGTGAAAGAAAGTCAAGGATACGTTAGGAATCAACAAGAAATAGCATCAATTAGCACGCTTCTCGAATGGACTACTCTCATCCACTCATTTGCTTAAAGCTCGCGTATAAAAAGGATATGTTTGTAACCTCTGTTATGAGGGACGAGTCCAACGGGGTCCGAATCACTTCCGTCGCTTTCCATTTTGTCGAACCACTTTGCAGCCGATGGTGTGTTGTTGTCCATTGTTTCCATTTTGGAGAGTCAGCGAGTTGGAAGGGTTTTTTCAAAAGTGAGGAACCAGTAGAGCTCCCCAAATTGGCGACTTTCAACGGACTTGGGCCAACGTATCACGTGATCAGTCAAATTCCCCAAGTTGGTTTCCAAGGTACAAAGTCCTTTGAGACCCACAATTTTTGACTGTCTGTAGGCACTACCACTCACTCTCAAAAACACAAAATGGACGATCACGCTTTGATGCATGGCGGCGTCCTTTCTGATGAGGATTTAGCTCGTTTAACACCAGAGCAGCTGGGAAGGTAATGTCCAGGATGATTGACTAGATCTGAAAACGTAAACTTTTTCTTATTGTCAAATGACTTGTGTCATCAGATATAAGCAACAGCAAGACTATCTTAAAGAACATAAAGGTACAATTCCCAACTCTAAAGACAATAACTGAAGCAAGTTACTGATTGTATATCTAGGTCATGAAGCACAGCATGAAACGATGTTCCTGATATTGCTTTTCGCACTATTCGCATCTCAATTTGTCATTTTATGGTGGAAGAAGAAGCATTATCGATCATATCAAGCTGTCAGCTTTACTGGCTTATGGTTGATCCCCCTTGCTTCTGGATTGAAGCTTGGGTGGTGGAGGTTCATCTTCTTTTGGGTCCTTTATAGCATCGTCAATGGATGGAGTGAGTATGAAATCGACTAGCACACAATTTTATGTATCCGCGGAATTAACCAAAACACTCACCTAGTAATACACAAATCCACCCGAAAGCCTCTTGAGGCTATGACACCTCGCCTTGTTTACAAGTGGTTCACCGTCGTCTATAACTGTTCCTTTGTTGTTGGAATGGCTGGTTACTGCATAGTGATGTTGACATTCTTCGGTATTGCCAGCTTGTTTGTATCTGGCGATGCAGCCATGCAGGTTGGCATTTTGTTCCTCAGCTACGGACTTTACTTTGGGTGAGTAGGATTTTTAATACAATGCCGCCGGAATAACACAGGATCGCTAAATGTCAATATGTCTATCATCAGCGTGCTAGGACGAGATTTGGTGGAGATTTGTTCGGATCGAATGGCAGCAACAATTGGATACTATTCTCGGGATGGACTCCCCAACAAACACCTTCGAGACCATATTTGCGCTATTTGTGGATCAGCAACACGGCATGCAACTGGGTCGTTGGTTGACCCTCCTGAGAAGGGAATGGTTTTTGATGAACCTATTCATCAGTTGGAATGCAAACATACTTTCCACGAAAAGTGTATTCGTGGCTGGTGCTTGATTGGAAAGAAGGATATTTGCCCTTACTGGTAAGCGTTTGACAAATTAAAACATTTGTGTAGCGTGCCTTTGCTTATCTGATACACCGAAATACAGTAAGGAGAAAGTGCATATGAAGCAATTCAAGAAGAACCCGTAAGTGAACATCTCCATTGGAGGCAGTTACCATTGATTTAACCATGACTGACTTGACATCATTTATAGTTGGGATACGCAACAACAACTTTACATTAGTCTGCTGGATGGCGTGAGATATCTGGTAGTGTGGCAACCCATCATTTTCGGTGCCGTCCAAGTGGCATACTACATCTTGGGACTTAAATAATTTACTGTTTTTATTGACTTGATCCCCTCCATAACAAAACGTAATATAGAGATCGGTATCCGATGTACTAATATCATTAAAACAAAAATTTGAATGTTTCTTTTGGCACATCATGTATGGTATAGGAAATTTTGTGTATGGCAAAATATATAATTTACAATTTCGATCATCATTAACTTCCTAGCAACGACTTCTGTCCGCTATGGTTGACCAGCAAAAACCGTTTCTGTGTTATCTTCAGATCATCCTGACATCTGTCGAGCAAAACATTAATCCCTTTGTCTTCAGTGTCGGGTAAAGATTCCAGATACTTTGCTAGACAATCCGTGAAAGCAGGCAAGAGATCGTTACTGAAGATACGGCAAAGTGTTTTGGCTCCATTTGATGCCGTGGGAAGCCAAAGGTTCCGCTTGGAACAATCCCAAAACGTCTCGTCGTTCGAGAACAATGACATTGTGTTGAGGACAATGTTATTCCATGTCGTTTCGTTTTTGTGTAGGAATAATATATCATCTTCCACGATCATACAGAGCATTTTGTTGCCACTCTGGCATATCTTCAGTGTCTCCAAGTATTTGTAAGAGTACTTGAGCAATTTCTGGTTCTTGTCAATTGGCTCAATGTAACTCTTAAAAACATGTTCTTTTTCCGTGCACGGTTCATCGGCCATAGCGATAGCTTGCGGAAAGACTTTTTGGATTTTGTTGAAGTTTCGGCCGCAGTTTTGCGTTTGTACGTAGACGTCCAGTCTGGTTTCTACATATTGAACGTCGTCCAAATTGATGTAATGGTGGTTGATGAATTTGAAGATGAGGAATCCGTTCAATAGGATACTGGTCACCAGCAACAAACGTGAAAGCCGATGCATATAGAGCTATTAAGGAGATAGAGGTGAAATCGGAGATGTAGAATAGACTTCAGGGGATGAAGTAAAGTGTATTTTCTACTCTGCGACGTTGACTTCACACACTGTGCGAGCGTACAGTAGCTATTGCGGTTACAAAGTCCCTGAGGTTATAAACTTTCCTTCAATTGCCCAGTCTGACTTCAGAATTTTTTCGAGTGGCACAAAGCGTTAGCACTTGAATATCCGGAATAATGACGAAAATCAGAACACCTTCTTCATACTTGAAAGTTAGTACACACATTTAGAATTAGAGGAGAGAGAGAGGGTGCTTATATTTCACTCATAACACGTTAGATATGTTGATGTAGTAATAACTGTCGCAAAGTCTGATTTAACACATCCTTGAAAATACCCTATAAAAATCTAAAAGATTGACTATTGGTGAATACAGTTCTTCGACTTTAGGATAATCAATAGGCCAGCAGAACTGGAATTGTAAAGGTGAGCAGGAGAGATCTTTTACAAAGATATACCAAGACACCTTTCTCTTTCATCGACAAGAAAGGTGAAAATTTCAGCAATATACGCGTAAGGTAGAAAGGTCAAGGTCAAGCACAAAGACGAATTCAAATTGCAAAATCACATTCATCCCTTTTCCAGCAGATACACATGGTTGTGACTGAATCGCAATGTAAAACGCTTAAGGATGATGATGATGGCCTGACCGGTGCTCACATGGTAGGCGTCTAACTGTTGTATTACTCTACAATTGTACTTCAAATCAATACCATGTCGTGAGCATAGTCAAGGCAACGTAGTGGGCTGTTTCCTTTGGCAGTTTGGAGGGCAGTGATTGTGCCATGACCAAGAAATTTTTGAGCTGCCACATGTGACTGGCTGCCCTGCTGGCCATATTGCTTGTGGCAGCATCCCCGTATGCAAATCTGCTCTTATGACAACTACAGCACCAAGACCTCGATACTGGTAAGTGATACAATACAAACGGTAGTTTGTGGGTAGAATGACCGAGACTCTTTCGATTTGCTATACATGCTACTTCATCGATCATTACCGAACTGAATCGTCAACCAAAACTACAGGTGCCACGTATGCCAAAATGAAATCCAACCAATACTGGCTCCTGATCCTACCTGTCTCCAATGCAATGGCCAGTTTGTAGAACAAGTAAGTGTAGACTGTTTTGCAGTATACAAGCCCTTAGTTTGGAGGATTTCGTTTACTAATGGCGCTGGCTTACCTTTTTTAGATTGAAGAGACCAACGATCCTCGAAGCTTTTACACTGCTCAAGGGGGTGAGTTAGAGGACGGAACAGACGAAGATGGGAATGATACCCAAGTATCGGAAATGTTACAGACTATTCTCCAAAGTTTTGTCCCAAACGGCCGTGTCACTGTGCAAAGCTCGACTGCGAACATAGATACACCCGTCCCTCCTAATTATGTTGAAACATCCAATGGAATGAACAATCGAGCGAGTGGAGATGAAAGTTCCGATAGCGAGGAGGAAAATGGAGACAATCGTCAGGAGGGACAGGATACAGTACGAATAATGCAATTGATGAAGTAAGATATCTGGAAAAGCAATTCGTCGACGGGATTCGTCATGATCACCATCATTATACTAATTTGGGCTGGTTTCCTCGAAGTATAATACAGCAAATACTCTCAAGAGCGGAGGGAAACAATACAGAGCCTTTGGAATTATTTCCAATGTCGGGAAATATGGATGACTATGTCTTCACACAAAACGGACTAGATGATGTGATCACACAATTATTAGAGCAAGCAACCAAGTAAGTTTTTTATATGGCAATTGCTGTAGAAGGATATTTTTTAACTAAATCTTTTGCACTGTGTAGCCGAAACGCACCACCACCAGCATCAGAAGAGATCATTGCGAATTTAAAAAAACGTAAAACGACAGCAAAAGATATCGGTAGGTGCTATCGCGTATAAATGGGATCCCCGTGGTACACGCTCTGACCACGTCGTATTTTGTTGAAATAGAGGATAATCAAGACTGCAGTGTTTGTAAAGAGGATTTCAGCGTGTCTGAAGATGTATTGATATTGCCTTGTGAGCATTTTTTCCATCAGGAGTGTATTAAGCAATGGCTGTTAGTGAATGGAACATGCCCAATATGGTGAGTACCCTTCATGCCACACTTAGGGTTTGTGCATTACCGTGAGCCACTGACAAATGAAAAATCAGTCGATATTCGTTGACCACCGCGCCCACGGAATCGGCAACCCCACCAAATGAGCAAAATACAGAGACAGAAACAGACTCCTCCAACCATGTTCAAAGTACGAACAACGCTGGTCGTACCGATGGCACTTGGACATCACTTATACCAGGTATTTTTCGGTGGACGAGGCCATCCAGTCCATTCCCTCGACGAATAGCTGGTCATAGTGATGACAATGATCAAGAGGAGGAGGATAATAACATGGATGCCCTGGACTGATAGAGTTTAAACACCGTTAAAAAGAGACACAACGTTTTTAAAGTTCAAATATAGCCTTGAAAATACCTCTTTGACTCTCACGCATGTGTTTGAAAAAAAGAAATGGTGGTTTAGGTTTTGGAGCGAGTCATGATTAAATATGATTGGCCAAGCCCAGGCATTTGTCATTTCCGCTCACTGGTAATCGATTGGCTCTCAGCGATGGAAGCAAGCCTATAAGCTTGTGAAAATCAACAAGATAGTAAATCAGAAAGCATGATCAGCCCCCCAACCGATGTATTTCTGCCCATCGATTGACTAAACTGTGGAGGTTCTTTAAAGGAAGAGTTCATACAATTTATTGGCATGAAAAGCGGCAGCAAAAATATCCAATCGGAAGACCAAGTCGGCTTGTTGAAAACGCGTCTCGTCTGTAATTTGCAGAGGTTACGGGAATTCGTGGGAATAAACGAAAATTGACACAGAAGAAGCGGGGTGAATTTGTGGGAGTCGAAATCATGATTTTTCGGATCTGGACCTGTGATAGCGATGTGAGGGGTAGATGCATAACGTTGTCATTGATGAATAAATGGTAGCGCTATACCGAAGGAGAGGGAACACATTGACAATGTGGTGTTTTCATTGCGATAATATGGCTTCTTTTTTCCTGCCGAGTGAAGTCAGCCAAAGATTTTGCTCACAATTAGAATGACTAAGTTCTGGTGGACGGAACCCCCGCTACCAAAAGGAAAATTTATTGTGTGATTGGCAGGAGCAGTTTCTAACCGCTACATGTGACTTGATCAACCGTTAATATATAAGACCCTGTTGCTTGTTGAGAGAGACAACGTCTATCATTCAAACCAATCTCCCTCTATCTTTTCTCCCCAAAAAAACCACATAAAAATAAAAACACTGCACAACTTCTTTTCATAATGTCACCCACTGTTTCTCTATCAACTGGTTCTCCCATCCATTCAAAAATGAACGCTGTAAACACTGCTCCCAATGCTGAGCAGCAAGTGGTTTCTGCGGATCTGGCATCCAAGAGTCATTACCATAATGAAGGTAGATATACGTCGTCCTGACCTTGTCATTTTGGAGCATCCATTTTCTAAAAATATATCCTGTTTTAGGTACTGCTATGCATACCACCACTCGCAAGGCTCTCGGCGTCCATGGCCTTTCACCATCCCGCATTGAGAGCTTGGAAATCCAAAAGCGAAGAGCTATGTCCCAACTTCGATCCAAGCACACTATGCTCGAGAAGTACATATTCATGGCTCAAATGCGAAATACCAACATCCGTCTCTTTTACAAGATTGTTTGTGATGAACTAGAGGTATGTGTTTTGTTTTTCCTACCCCAATTGATGATCTTCCGAAACCGATCTTTATAAGTCTAACCTTCCGGTCTTCTTACCCCAACAGGAGTTGGCTCCAGTTATCTACACCCCTACTGTTGGCCATGCTTGTGTTGAATGGTCCAATATTTATCCTTTCCTTGCCCCACCTGGTACACCCGATGGTCTCTACCTGACACAAGCCGATCTGCCAAACATTAAGGAAGTCATCCGAAATTACCGTCCCTTCCCTGCCGACCCCAATCCGTTCTCCCCACAGATTGCTGTTATCTCGGATGGCTCCCGTATTTTGGGTCTCGGTGATCTTGGTGTGAACGGTATGGGTATTCCTATTGGCAAGCTTCAGCTCTATGTCGCTGGTGCCGGTATTGACCCTAGACGCACCTTGCCCATCATGCTTGACTTGGGAACCAACAACGAAAAGTTCATTAATGACGACTTCTACCTGGGTGTCCGCAGCAAGCGTCCTGAAGACGATACTTTCTACAAGGCTGTTGATCAAGTTCTTTCCGCTCTCTATAGCGAATTCCCAGAATTGCTTGTTCAATTTGAGGATTGGTCTTCCGAACATGCCTTTGGCTTGCTTGAGAAATACCAGTACAACACCTTCTGCTTCAACGACGATATCCAAGGTACTGGTGCTGTCATTCTCTCTGGTTTAATGAACGCATACAAAATTGTTGCCCGCGAGGACAATGTCCAGGCCAAGGATCAGCGCATTGTCTTCTTTGGTGCTGGTTCTGCTGGTATTGGTGTTGCAAAGCAAATCAAGGACTATTTCGTGATTGAACATGGTTTCACTGAGGAAGAGGCTCGCAAGGTGTTCTATATTGTTGATTCCAAGGGTCTGATTACCAATGATCGTGGTGACAGATTGGCTGAGCACAAGAAGTACTTTAGCCGTGATGACAACAATGGCCAACAATTCAAGGATTTGCTTGAAATCATCAACTATGTCAAGCCTACTACCCTTATTGGTCTTTCATCTCAACCCCAAACTTTCACTGAACCCATCTTGCGCCGCATGGCTGAGCTTAACAAGCAACCCATTGTTTTCCCCTTGTCCAACCCCAGCACTCAAGCAGAATGTACCTTTGCTCAAGCCATGGAATTCACCGAGAACCGTGTGCTCTTTGCGTCCGGAACTGCTTTCCCTGTCTATACCGTTCCGCAAACAGGTGAAGTCAAGATCCCTGGCCAGGGTAACAACTTTTATATCTTCCCTGGTCTTGGTCTTGGTGCCTCCGTTGCCAAGCCTGCTCACATCACCGACAACATGGTTTACCAATCTGCTGCCGCTCTTGCTGAATGCTTGACCGATGAGGAGAAGGCTCAACGTCGTCTGTATCCTGACTTGAAGCGCATCAGACAAATCAGTGCCGAAGTTGCTGCTGCTGTCTGCATTGATGCTGTCAAGGAAGGTCTTGCTCGTAACAAGGACATTGAATTGGTTGTACAAGACCGACAAAAGCTTATTGAATATGTCATGGAACGCATGTGGACTCCTGAATCCGATGGCTATGGTGCTGAGAAGAGCATCAGCAAAATCTAAATCGTCCCACGTGTGCGTGCGAAGCTTCAACAACGTAAATCTGCATTGCATCTCTATGGCAACTCTATTCAGTTCCGTTCCCCATACCGTAACCCTACAAATTCATAGGCTGTTGCGCTTGTAAAAAAAAATTCAAACAGATAACAAACCCAACATTTCCCCCCAATCTATCACCTCTGTTTTTGCTTGTATCATTTCGTTACCACCAATTAAATATCAAACTTTCAAACATGGCCTACTTGCCATCTACCTACCTCATGCTTATGAAACAACACAAATGGAAATAATTTCGGCAGTGCTCCACTAATTTCAATAGTGCAAAAGGGGCTTCAGTACACGTTCCCAAGGGGATCACAAAGAGAAATTTGAATTCACAAAGAGACCAATCTTATTACAAATAAAGAAAAAAAAAGAAGCTGTCTAAGTCTTTGGGAGGACTTGAAAAAAGAACCATATCCACCCAAGGAAGTGAGTGATATACACAGTAAGGCTGCTATTTACAAATGGAGGGAGTCTACAAGGAAGATGACAAGTCTATCACTTTCCTATGCGTTTTCTAAGAGCACGGGTTCTCTTCATGAGCTTCTTGTGCTTATGCTTGTTCATCTTGAGTTTACGCTTCCTCAAAACACTAGTGGCATGCATGGCCTCGTCTTCTTTCTTCATCTTCTCCTGAATCATATTGAGATAATCTACAATTTGATCTGCTCCAGGCATAACATGCGTTTCAAGTTGATGCGTAGGAGTAACGAGGTCATTGGCAAACGACGAAGGTTTGGAGGGGTTGAGCGTAACGGTGAAAGTAGTGTCGTCATCTTCAACGCTTGTCTCTGGACTTCCAAACGGCCGCATATTCATCATAAACCGAGAGAGGTCTTCTACATCTATATAGGATTAAGTCATTTCGCTAAAAGAGAACGGTGATCTCGAGCTTTCTCCTTACCTTCGACGTCATTCTCACCAGGAGGGTATGATTGATGACCAAAGTAAGGGACATCTTCGTTAGCAAGTCCCAAAAGAGGTCGATGGAGAGCGAAGAAGGCTGTGTGAGCTAATTCCTGCTCAGGTATGTTGATTACGGGTACAAAAGGCAAACGAACTGCTGGAGCTTGTCGCTTCGTTTCGGTTTTATTGCTGTCTGGATTGCTGCCGTCATTGTGTTCTGAAGAGTAAGGCCGAACAGTCGTACTGATAGCCTTTAAACAGGTAGATCGTGTACGAAATGCTACGGATAATGGTCGAGAGAGTCGTGATGTGAGCATAGGATCAGAAAGATAACGAAAGCAAGTAATGAGCTTGAGTTAACGCTAGGGCCGGTATTATTAGCACGATGACAAAAATTGAGCCTGACGGTCACGAGGCGAGCGGGCATTCGACAAAGCGGGCTTGAAATTGGATGAATCACTCATCCTCATGCTGGAGAAGCTTGCGTACACAATTGAGTTGCTCAACTTCATCCAATTCATTCAAGATTATTACTGAAGCATTGATTCATCATCTCCATTAATTTGTTCTTATGGTTATAGAAATGTACAGGAGCCGGGTGTGTGGTGATAATGTAGCGAAGCGATGGTATATGATAATGTAAGGTATGTGCTGTGATTATTGTTTATATCCTACAAATAAGATTCTCAAAGGGCGAACCGAGCTGCTCTCACGTCTTATGCCGGTTTTGAGAAAGTATAACCTTGCGCATCATATCATTCCTATTGACTATGTCAGAAACACCGTGTACCAATATCCTCATACCCTAGTAAGAAGCAGCGTAACCCACCTTTCTCTAAAGTTGAAAATTGCCTCTCGTACCGATTCCATATCCATCAGTGGGGTTTTACTCGTTAGTCGAGGCTCCCTGTAACACTATTGATAAGCTATACATGTTGTGCACCAGTTCTGTACGAAACGTTCACTTACACATGAGCTGATATGCCTTCTATCGTCAGATTTACCAACTCTGCATCATCGCTTGACCCAGAAAAGCCTCCAGCTTCTGTAATGTTGCTTGTATCCAACCTACAGTTTGTGATTTGAAACGACGGATCTAAGCTATCAGCCTTTTCAACCTCCGTAGCCGCTTCATTTAAATCCACGATAATACAAGACGATTTCGGTATGTCCTCAGGTATACTCTCGCCTTCAAACACGTAATGCACAACGGGATGTTTATATGTATTACGGGCCTGGTCGTGTATAACAACAAATTGCGGAATGGCGGTCATGAAGGTCTTGGGGCCAGGCAGGAGAGCAGAAGTGTCCAAACAGGGACAGAGATCCTTTCCACTCACTTTGCAGAGTGACTGCTTCTCAATTCAGATTGAGTGTGGGTGGATTCGAGATAAATTTTTTTTTTTTTTTTGTTCCAACACAACTAATACCCCTTTGAATCAAAATGGCTAAAGGTTTACGTTCAAAATCCAAGGGTCGCTTCAGAGGTATGTTAAGAATGAAATAATAAGCTCAACCTCGCCATGTTTCCTAGTACTCATTTCTGATTCCTCTTCGTAGCCATCCGACGTGAAAAGGTTTTCCAGTCAACTATTGATGAGCGCACAGAACGACTTGCCAAGTTGCAAGCCGATGCTGCCGACAAAGCCAAGGTCAGCAATGGTGGTGACGAGGATATGGATGCAGCTGCTGCTTTGGACGAGGAATTGAAGACTGATGAAGAACCCAAGAAGGTTTCCACCAGTGGACCCCGTAACAAGAAGCAAGCTCGCTATCTTGAGAAGAAGAAGATTGAGAAGAAGAAGAAAGCAAAGAAGGGTATGGCCATCTTTAGAAAATAGAATCCCCTCATAGTCATTTCCACTTTCTGTAAATATCACCAAACATCGTCTGCTATCACCGACGCAGTAATATTTTTTTGATCTTATTAAAACGGCTTGTCTGCATCCGGCACACTCAAATACAATCCATGGTCATGGCTAAAGTGAATTGCAGCGGTATGAACGCTGGCATAGGAGACGTACATACGCAATGCTCAATTAGAACCAAGCGTACATTTGTGAACCATTTGATCAGCCCAGGTGATGCTGCTATTCCTTCACTTTAACTAAACCTCTTGTCAACGTCCACAACAACAGAAGAAATCAAAAAATAACATACAAGGTGTCTAACCTGCAATGTAATTCAAACGCATAAAGAAGAAATGGCGATATAAGATTACCACTATGTACAAAATAGGTATTTGTCTAAAACGCTACATATAAATTGAGTCAAACAATTCTCTTTTCATGTGCTTATTTGTATTCTTCAGAAATAAGTTTAGCGATGGTCTGGAGTTGAATGTTGCTGGTTCCCTCGTAGATGGCACCGATCTTTGCATCTCGGTAGAACTTCTCAACACCAGTCTCGCGGGTGAAGCCAATGCCACCCATCCACTCAATAGCCTTTGATGCAGATCTTTCAGCAACTTGGGAAGAGTAAAGCTTGGCCATTGCAGCTTCCTTGATGAAGGACTTTCCTTCTTCCTTCAAGCGAGCAGCGTTGTAGGTCAAAAGACGAGCAGCCTCGATCTCAGTGGCAATTTGAGCGTATTGATGTTGCATAGCTTGGAAGTTACCAATGGGTTGGCCAAACTGCTTGCGTTGGAAGAGATAGGGCAAAGCGATATCATAGGCACCTTGAGCAAGACCAATCATCTGTGCGGCAATACCGATACGACCCTCGTTGAGAATCTCAATAGCGTATTTATAACCCTTGCCTACTTCACCAAGGACATTCTCCTTGGGAACCTTGATGTCATCAAAGTTGAGAACGCAAGTAGAGGAAGCACGAATACCGAGCTGTGGAGATAGAGAATTAGCATGAGACACGTTTAAGAATTAGGGTATCATCCTAAGGGTTATTATAAAGATACCAACCTTAGACTCCTTCTTGGCAATTTCGACACCCCATTCCTTCTCGACAACGAAGCAGGTAATACCCTTGTAACCCTTGGAAGGATCACTGCAATGGAATATTAGCATTAAATTATTATTTTTTATCAGATGGTTAAAACATGTTGAGATACTTACACATTGGCAAAGACCAAGAAGATATCAGCTTCCTTGGAGTTGGTTATCCACATCTTGGATCCATTCAAGACATAATGGTCACCCTTGTCTTCAGCCTTGGTTTGCAAGCCAAAAGCATCACTTCCGGAACCAGACTCGGAAAGACAGAAGCATCCAACCTTGTTGGTTGCCAACTGAGGAAGGTATCTTTGCTTGATATCCTCGCTGGCATACTTGCGGAAAAGGGTTCCAACTAGAGTGTTCTATATGGACGACATCAGTCTTGGTGCCTTGCAGATGAACATAGGTATAATATGGAAAACATACCTGGACGTCACAGACAACGCTAACGGAAGGATCAACCTTGGCCAACTCCTCAATGGTGATGATGGCAGAGGTGAAGGAGCAGTTGGAACCGTCGTACTCAGCTTCAGTTTCCACGCCCATAAGCTGAGAATAAAAATTACGGGGAAAACGGGATCAATAAGCTGAAATGTGTAGCCGGAACTACAACCGTGCAAACTCTATGTGTAAATAAGAAAAATGACTTACACCCTGCTCGAACAAACCCTTCAAAACAACTTCATCCAAATGCTCGTTCTCGTCCATCTCGAGAACCTTGGGCTTAACAACGTCTTGAGCGAAACGTGAGACTGATCGAAGAGAGAAAAAATTGCACGGTTACTGAGACTGAATCTTAGGACATGTGGGGAAGTGTATGAATTGTGTACTTACCAGCATCCTTAAGCATGAGTTCTTCTTCGGTGAAGTGGTGAAGAGAAGTAGGTGCATTACGGGCAACAATGGAGCTCGAGAATGCTCTGAATTATGAAAGTTATGTGAGAAAGGTGAAGACATGAAGGGAATACTACAACACACATCGCGTACCTAGCAGCATTGAGCGAGAAGGATGAGCGAACAGCAGAAGTGGAAACACGGGAGAGCAATGCGCGAGAAGCAGCTAGTGACATCATGACAGGCGAGAGAGATATTGAGCAACAAAGAAACAACAACGGTAACTGACAGTTCCCCCCACACCTTTTATAATGGCACCCATTTGGAATTTTTATTTTGACTCAGAATCACATGCAATTGTTCTCAGACATTGAAATTTAACCAGCCTTTATTCTTCTTCCATAGCGTCTTCAAACGCACCATCATCATTCTCGTGCGTCTGCTTTCCATTTACTGGAGGTTGAAATACTGTAGCCAAATGATCTAAAGCTGCTCGTTGAACCTCATTGAGTTCGGCTTCATCGCTTGGGTTAGCATACCATTCCTCTTCCTCTTCAAATTCCTCTCCGTCAGCATCAGCATCAGGATGCAAGACTGCACACTGAGACATGGCATTGTATATCGCCTCCACTACATGAAATTAGAATCAGTCAGTATCTCCATCCGGTTTATATCGCTACCAATACAGATTTCGTATTTTCAGTTCTTACATGAATCACCATTGGCTGGAATAAAATACAACTCGGCCATTATATCTTCGTCCTCTTCATCGTCGTTGTTTCCATTCTCCGCGACCTGTGCAGGGAAGTGGATGCCCTCGCCTAGCTGACAATATATGGCTTCGCGGTCAGCTTGACGCATTATTGCATGTATGATAATATCAGGATACCACAGCGCCACTCCGGTGTTATGTGACTCGGACCAAAAGTACACCTGACTATTAGGAAGTAATAGAGCTGATCAGCAAGAGCAGAGGTAAGGCGTGGTGATCAACGTGAATAGACCTGATTTACCTCTCTGTAATATTCAAATCGCCCTTCATGTTTTCTGTTATACCCCTGAGTGGAGGTAAAACTTCCAGTTCTACTCCACTCTCACTGTGTCGAACTACCTCGTTGGAAAGATCAGGCTGAGCAGTTAAGATTGTGACAGGCATGGCGTGGATCTTGCAAACTGATTTAGAGAAACTGTCTTTGCCGCAGAATGCCCAAAAACGAAGCGCAAACGACAAAATGACAGTCACAAAGCTTGATTGAAAGTCTTCGTGTTTACAATAAGCTTCATGATGACTTTCATGTCCTTGTTCATAACCGGAAGCTACTAGTAAACGGAGCCTCGCATAATTTAAACGTCAAGCCCTGTAGCTTATCAAAATTTCATTCAATCTTCATACTTATTTTTTAATAGGGAGCAATGGAAGGCGTGACCTTGAGAAAATACAGCATCTAGGAGAAAAGTATCGTAGACTTGCGCGGCTTGCTTCCATGTAACGGCTAAATTGATATTCTGATATATCTAAAAGTTTGTGCGATAATTTTTACTTGTGAGGGCTCGTCCCTGCAAGATACTGAAAATACATGACAGCAATATTGTTTATCAATGCAATCAGCTATTGTAAGGATTATGGCCACCAAAACTGTAAACGAAAGGTATGGAAAGTCAAGCTCAACACCGGAAACGAATTGTACTTCACAGTAGCAGCATCTTGAGTAATTGATAAATTCCGATTACCCCCTGGAGAACCAATGCTTCCTTTCTAGGATTACATGAATTGAAAAAACGTGCCTCCTGAGCATACAAAGTCCCCTTCCATATCTTACATTTATTCGCAATCATTTCTATGCAATATCATTATTACTATGTTTCGCCCAAATCACTCTACGAGGTCACCAATACGATTCAGTGAACACTACAATTACATACCATCATACATACGGAGAAACAGAATATCAACATGTCTATTATTCACTGTTATCATTGGTTTCGTCTACCTTATCATTTTCGGTCTGGTGGATGGTGAAAGCTCTACGGTAGAAGATGAAGAGCTTTTTTCAGAAGATATATATCGCCATGCTATGATTGACTTCGTACAAGACGAGCGAGTGAAGGCACACTTAGATGTACCAGAATTACATGCTGACATTCGAATTGACTGGACGGCTGTCAACAACACTCTCCCAGTGAAAGCGGCTCTGGTAGCAGTGGTTCGCAATGCAGATTTGTACACTATCCGTTCTACCATCCGAACTATAGAAGATCGTTGGAATCATCAATACAATTATCCATGGGTTTTCCTCAGTGATCAACCACTAAGTCAAGAGTTCAAGCACTATACCCAAATGCTATCGGGAGCACCCATGTACTATGGGCTGATAGATCAGAGGGAATGGTCGTACCCGCATTGGATCGACACACGTTTTGCAGAAATGGAGATGGGCCGATATGCAGAGATGGGTCTATTCCGCGGTGGCAGTCTTGACTTTCGATTGAAGAGCAGGCAAGTGAATATGAAAGACGGTGACAAATTGATAGTTTTTTTTTTTTTTTTTTTCAAAACTTACGCATATATCAATACATAGATTCCACACTGGCTTCATTCAATACCATTCTCTTCTTAGAGACCTAGAGTTTTACTGGCGTGTCGAACCAGAATCAAAATATTTGTGTGATATCAATTTTGATCCATTTTTATTCATGAAGGAGAACAACAAAAAGTTCGGTAAGTACAGCCATCACTGTCACTATCAACACTCAGAGCTAGTGCCTTATATTTCTTTATGTCCATATTTCAATACAGCATTCGTCATAAATGATGGAGAGCGAATGGAGAATATTCCATCACTTTGGGAAGCTACACGTAATTTCATCATGTCGCATTGGTCGTTTATTGTACCATGGGACAATAGCATACAGCCCTTGATTACGAACAAAGGATGGCAGTATTTCAATGGTTGTCTTTTCTGGAACAATTTTGCAATATATTCTCTGGATTATTTGCGGTCGCCTAGCTATCGAACATTTTTTGAATACCTTGACAAAAAGGGCGGCTTCTTTTACGAGAGGTAAAATTTTTGTTCATAGGATATGTCCCGACCGTATAACTAACAAATTTGCGTAGATGGAGCGATGTCACTGTCCAAACAATAATGGCCAGCTTGTTTTTAAAACGAGACGAACTGCATTTTTTCAACGAGATTGGATTTGAATATTGGCAAGCAACACATTGTCCCCTTCAACCTGAGTATAGACAGCAATGCGTCTGTTCACCCGAGCAAACAACAGGTAAACAACTCTAAAGCTGCTGAATGATAAGCGCTCACAAAGCTAACTCTGTAGTCATCGCTAGATGCCCACTCTTGCACCCGATTCTTTCTATCTTTGACAAACTCCTCAGTGAAGCAAGACGTGAAAGACCTTTACCTAAGACGTAAGCAAAGAGAAAAGGAAGAACAAGATCTGAAGCGACTTCTTGAACAAGAAACAAAGGGAGGAAGTCATTAGTGAGCAAACCACTGTACCTGAACTTGACTTGGAACAAAAAAAATTTTGGGACCAGCGGCAATTTAAATAAAAACAATGTTAGACATCGAGGTTCATTCTGCAGACATTGTGATTTGAGAGAACAAAACCTCTCTGGGGCTCGTTGTCATCTCGCCCTTACGGTTTATGAAACATTTATTTTTCAGAAATTGCAAGTTAGAAACATGCTCTAGAGAGGTTTATCAAGTGCGAAGGTTAGAGTAAATAATTTACTCGTCATCCTCCTCCTCCTCTTCTTCACCCTGGTTGATGTTGAAGTACTTGAGCTCGAAGGTTTGCTTGTCAGTGGCGATGACACGGAGCCAGTCACGGAGCTGGTGCTTCTTCAAGAAACGCTTGGTAAGGTACTTGAGGTAACGCTTGGAGAAAGGAATGTTGGCAGTGACGGTGATCTTGGAATCAGCACCACGGACAATCTTGACGGCATCACCAAGGTTGTTGGTGCGGCCCTCGACCTTGATGCGATCGTGAAGGTACTTCTCGAAAGCAGCGGCATCGAAGATCTTGTCGTTGGCGGGACCAGAGCAGTCAATGACGAACTTCTGGTTCTTCTTGGCGGCAGCAGACTTGGTGGGGGCCATCACTACAGATATAGAGGGGAAAAGAGGAAGTTTCACAAATTTGCAAAGAACCCAAACATAAAAAAAAATTATTTTGTGACGGCTAAAGTGCGGGCACCGTAACTCCAAGTCTGTTAAAAAAAAAAAGCAAATTAGTTCAGGAAAGGGGACACCTGCTGTGCTCGCTTGTTGATGAGTTTTCGAGTAGGGATAGCTAAAATACGAAGCTGAAATTATTTAATTATTATGAGCAGATATCAATAAATTGTAGCTGAAAAGAGCTACATTGTAGCAGTGTACGCTTTAGTTATGATGTTTACAGCCATCATTTCATTGTCTTATTCAATCGCATTCGTTGTATGAGCAAATCAAGCAGCTCCAGCACATTCGACAATCGATAGAACTATTTTATCTCTATTAACTTTTCTATCTACTTTAAACTTGAATAACCTAGACATAGTATTCAAACTGCAAGCAATCATTCTCGCCTCTACACAACGTCAATGAAATTACCCGAAAATTATACTGATAGCCATAGACACCGTTGAGAATTTCCGTCATTTTCCTACTTATGTTGAGTTGTAGCTTTTCTTCATAGCTTGAGTATTCATTGCATAACTCTTGCCGCCCTTCTGTGATCTGGATTTTTTAATCAAGGTCAAATTCGGGACCCTGACAGCACAGAATGACGGAAGGAAAAGTATCCCGACTGAACTCCAAATTTTCGTCCTGACTCAAACTTTTCAAGCGGTGACACGGGAAGCCTGACACTAACGAGCACTCCAAAATGCTCTCACAATGCAACATTGCCGCTCGAAGGGCAAGCTGCATAGCCCAGTCTCGCCAATCCTTTAGAAGATCTTATGCCAAAGCAGGTACGTTTAACACCAAAACAAAATCAGCTCCATGTTTTATATTACTTTGTACTTACCGAAAGACCATGACAACTACAAAGCCATTTTGAAACCTGGCGATCAACTTAAAGGCTACAAAGTGACAGAGGTAAGTGCTTCCACTGAAAGCTGTCATTGCCGTCACTGTTTCTCATGCTGTGCTTCATCCTGAAATAGACCCGCACCGTCCCAGAACTGCAGTTAACAGCTATACAGCTTCAGCACGAAAAGACCGGCGCAAAACACCTTCATGTAGACAGAGACGACTCGAATAATGTTTTCGCCGTTGGTTTTTCAACGCCTGTATCCGATAGCACCGGTGTTCCTCACATCTTGGTACATATATTGATGAAACATATAATTGCATGTACAATCCACCAATCTAATGCTTTATATCATTTTTCTAGGAACATACAACATTGTGTGGAAGTCAAAAGTACCCAGTTCGAGATCCTTTTTTCAAAATGCTCAACCGGAGCCTTGCTACGTTCATGAATGCCTTTACTGGTATGGCCTTTTTTCCTTGACGACACTGCAAATTTTTGTTTTATTGAACCTAATTCCCTCCGCTGTCATTGCGCATTAGCCTCAGACTACACAATATATCCATTTGCATCCGCAAATGAAGTCGACTTCAATAATTTGAGAAGTGTGTATATGGATGCAGCCTTCTTCCCGCATCTTCGTAAATTGGACTTTAAACAGGAAGGCTGGCGCTTGGAGCATGAAAATCCTACGGGTGAGCTAACAATGTACCATTTGTAATATCGCATGAGAACAGGTAGAACTGACTCGTTCTGTAGACAACACGTCACCAATTGTGTTCAAGGGAGTGGTTTATAATGAGATGAAAGGACAAATGTCGGATTCTAGTTACTTATTTTATCAGAGAGCGCAACAAGAAATGTTTCCGGGAACAACATATGAGAACGTCAGTGGTGGAGATCCCAAGAACATCACTGATTTAACACATGAAGGACTGGTTCAATTCCAAAAGACCTTTTATCATCCTTCGAATTCCCACTTCTATACCTACGGAAACTTGCCGCTAGAGCAACATTTGGAAGCCATCGATGCGCAGATCAGAAACTTCGACCCAATCAACGTTCCCAACGTTAACAAACTCGTCACACCATGGGATGGCCCAAGAGAGATTGTTTTACCGTGCGCAGCTGATCCTTGTAAGTACTGTTGAAGAGAACCAGGTCGCGTATATCACAATATTTATTCACCTCCTGGTACATTTAGTTGGAAATAGTGAAAAGCAGACCAAGCTCTCGCTCTCCTACCTGACCAATAATTCAACAGTAAGGAAATACATATATGCATGTTCATCAATCCATTGTATTTATGCAAATTTCCTTTCCCAACCATAGGACGTCTTTGAGACATTTGCAATGCGCCTCATGTCATACTTGATGTTGGACGGCCATGCTTCACCAATGTACAAAGCCTTGATCGAAAGCGGGCTCGGCGCAGAATTCTCGGCCAACACAGGTTACGATTCTTCCACTATGCAAAGCTGCTTTTCGGTTGGGCTTCAAGGAATTAAGTCGAGCGATATTGATACGGTATTTGACATTTAACACGAGTGAGAGGCAATGGTAAGAAGAATAGAAGTATTGACACCGGCCCAAATCCAGATCAAAAGCACAATCCAAGAAGTTTTTGAAAAGGCACACCAAGAAGGCTTTGATCACAATAGAGTTGAGGCTGCTTTGCACCAAATGGAGCTTAGTCGCAAGCATGTAAGTAACCGGAACCTGAACGGTTTACTTGACACCATGACCGCTAAAACTATTTCGCACTGATCGGTAGAAAACGGCGGATTTCGGATTGAGTATTATGCACGGCGTGTCCTCGGGATGGTTCAATGGCACAAACCCGGCCGATCTCTTGGAAATCAATACCTACATTGATCGTCTTAGAAAGGAATTGGCACAAGGAGGGTTCTTTGAGTCAAGAATTGAGAAATACCTGCTCAACAACCAGCACAAATTGACTTTTGTTATGGAGCCTTCGACAACTTTTGCAGCTGAATTGTCCAAAGAAGAGCAGGAGAGGCTGGAATCAAAGGTTTCAGCATTGACTGAGAGTGATAAGAAGGAAATCGAAGAGCGTGGATTGGAGCTGCTTGCCAACCAGGACAAAACTGAGGACTTGTCCTGCCTGCCTACGCTGACTTTGAATGATATCCCACTCAAAGGAAAGCGCACCCCTCTTGAACACACAGCAGTTGGGGACACACCGGTCCAATGGCGTACAGCAGCGACGAATGGTATCACTTACTTTAGAGCCATCAGCACTTCGACTGGAATCCCCCCTGAACTTCGAGTATACCTTCCCTTGTTTTGCGATGTAAGTCCCATTTTCAATACTGAAACACCGTGGGAAAATGAGACATTTAATTCTCCATGTCTTGTTGTAGGCACTGACATCGTTGGGCACAAAAACCAAAGACATGGCTATCATTGATGAAGAGATTCGCCTCTTCACTGGTGGTCTGAATGCCAGTACGTTAGTGTCCACCAGTCACTCCGGTATGTAGCATCCATGTGCTTTTTGAATTGATATTGCGTGATCATTTATATCCTATATACCATGTCTCCCATCAGACCTCGATCATATTGAGGAGGGCATTGCTTTGACTGGAAACTGTTTGGATCGTAATATCGACAAAATGTTTGATATTCTGGAGACTTTAGTGCACGAGACCAACTTTGATGATGCTCAAAAGCTTCGCACGTTGATTGCCATGGTATGTGCAAAAGAGACATTCTACCATCTTACTTTATATACCATATTACCCTTAATAACCGGATATCTTTTTTTTTCTTTGCGCAGAATGCAGCTTCCATGGTCAACCAGGTGGCGAGTTCAGGACATGCATATGCTCGCCGTTATGCAAGCTCGACTCTCACCCCTGCCATGAGCCACTCTGAAGTCTATGGCGGTATGACTCAAGTTGACTTTATGAACAAACTTGCCAGCACTGAAGACCTTTCGGATGTGATTTCCAAACTTAAGGTATGTACAATATGGACAGTGCTGTTTTTCAAGCTTATATTTATCATTAATCTACGGAGCAGTTGATCGGTAGTTTGGTGCTCAAGCAATCATCATTGCGAGTAGCTGTTACATGCGACGACGAGGTTGTAGGCAAAAATGAACAAGCATTGACAAAGTTCCTGTCAAGTCTCTCCAAGGACTCTGTGTCAGTACCCTCAGAGCCAGTAAGTTTCAAGTGCACGTGCCCAAACCCAAATTTACCTGACACACTCTGACCCACAATGACCCCTCATCCTCTAGAATGTCTTCGTCCCTCAATATGGTAAAACCTTCTTTCCGTTACCGTTCTCGGTCAACTTTTCAGCCAAAGTACTTCGCGGGGTTCCGTATACCCATCCCGATGGCGCCAAGCTTCAAGTCGTCTCATCCCTTATGACATCGCACTTCTTACACCGTGAGATCCGTGAGAAAAATGGTGCTTATGGCGGCGGTGCTCAATATGCTGGTCTTAACGGACTGTTCTCATTCTATTCGTACCGTGATCCTAAAACTTTGGAAACCATTGATACTTACTCCAAGGCGGTTGATTGGATTGCTAAACGGAAATTTACGGAGCAAGAGATGACTGAGGCCAAACTTTCCATTTTCCAAGGCGTAGATGCTCCCATCAGCGTATCTCAAGAAGGCCTTCTTCAATTTACCGACGGTATATCCGACGACATTCGTCAAAGGTAATTATAACGTTCCAGACATTCATACATTAGAAACCGTAGGGGGGGTGTAACAGCCCCGCTCGACATCAAATTTCACTTCCGCTTGTTGACTCATCCAAACACATTACAAATATCAGGCGTCGTGAGCAGCTATTGAATGTGACAGAAGAAGACGTTAAACACGCAGCACATCAGTACCTAGCTGTACCTAGCGAAACTAAGCAGTATTCTTTGGCTATTCTTGGAGAACAGACGGACAAGATCAGCAGCGAGCATGGTTGGAATATTCGCAGTTGGGGGGATGCACCTGTAACTCCGAGCACTCCTGCCGAAGAAGCCTCTAAATAGTCCATGCATTCTTGGATCAAGTAGTGCACAAGACATTTCAAGAGTCATCCGTCCGAGCGACTATCCCAAAAAAAAAATTCTGTTTTTAAAGAAATCATACGTTGTTCCATCTAGACATAAAATGCAAATTATCCCATAGGACCTAATCTTTCAGAGATATTCAAGGTAGCGAGTGAGAGTGATGGTGAACATTGATTCATTGTAATATACAGCGAATTCCCAATGATCGTGTCATTTCAGCTTACCAAGCCGTCCACCAGCGATGACAAGTGAGAATTGTCAGCCAATCAAATTTCAGGTGAGGGTTTGGCGCGTGATCAGTTCAAGCTGGAGTTTTACACTCTCTGGCCTTTGTTCATCTTCACATGCCGACTAGCGACAATTGCGGGGGATCACGGGCAGAGGGTGAAAGTTGATGAAGCCAATATAAAACGCATTACTTTTATAAAACACATCTGCCTTTGTTTCCTTCTCTCCGCATTTATCTCCATCATGTCTTCTTCACAGTTGCTCCAACAAGAGGAACGAGAGTTCCAACAACAAGTCGATCAGCTCAAGCAATGGTGGGCCTCTCCCCGTTTCCGTCTTGTCAAACGTCCTTATACCGCTGAAGCTATTGTTTCTAAGCGTGGTACCCTTCACATTGATTACCCTTCAAATGCTCAAGCCAAGAAGTTGTGGGCTTTGTTGCAAAACCACAAGAAGAATGGCACAGCTTCTCATACCTTTGGAGCCTTGGATCCTGTCCAGGTTACGCAAATGGCCCCTCATTTGGAGACCGTGTATGTCTCTGGTTGGCAATCCTCTTCCACCGCTTCTTCCTCTAATGAACCTGGTCCAGATTTGGCTGATTACCCTATGGACACTGTTCCTAACAAGGTTGAACACTTGTTCATGGCTCAATTGTTCCATGACCGCAAGCAACATGAGGCTCGTTTCGCCATGTCCAAGGAAGAGAGAGCAAAGACCCCCTACATTGATTATCTTCGTCCTATTGTCGCTGATGCAGACACTGGTCACGGTGGTATCACTGCTGTTATGAAGCTGACAAAGATGTTTGTCGAGCGCGGAGCTGCTGGTATTCACAGTAAGTTTTTTTTTTTTAATATGTGGCAAGTTTCCCCACACTCCATATGCGGAACTTTTGTCGCTGACTTACATTATTTTCATAAGTTGAGGATCAAGCTGCTGGAACCAAAAAGTGCGGTCACATGGCTGGCAAGGTCTTGGTACCTATCTCCGAACACATCAACCGTTTGATCGCTATCCGCGTGCAATATGATATCATGGGTGTTGATAACATCCTTGTCGCTCGCTCCGATGCCGAAGCTGCTACCTTGATTACTAGCAACATTGACTACCGTGATCATGCTTTCATCCTCGGTGCCACTAACACCTCCTTGCCACCTTTGGTTCAAGTTATGTATGAAGCTGAACAAGCTGGAAAGAGCGGTGATCAGCTGCAGGCAGTTGAAGATAAGTGGGTCGAGGATGCTAAGCTTTCTCGCTATGGTGACGCTGTCGCTGCTGCTCTCAAGCAGAAGGGTCAGGGTAACAAGGTCGATGACTTCTACAAGGCTATTGAGTTCAAGTCAAATCTGGAAGCCAGAGCTGTTGCAAAGAAATTCGGTGTTGAAATCACATGGGACTGGGATCTTCCTCGTGTCAGAGAAGGTTACTACCGTTACCAAGGTGGTACTGAATGCGCTACTCACCGTGCTGTCTGCTTTGCTCCCTATGCTGATATGCTTTGGATGGAAACCAAGAAGCCCATTCTTACACAAGCCAGACAATTCTCTCAAGGTGTCTTGTCCAAGTACCCCGATGTTTTGCTCTCTTACAACTTGTCTCCATCCTTCAACTGGTAAGCTTGTGGCATATTTCACATGTGTGGAAAAAAAAGGAAATGTTTCATTACGTTGTTACTAACACTGCCTTATTTTCATCAACTTTTTCTTTTGCCTCAAAGGGATGCTGCAGGTATGACGGATAATGATATGCGATCCTACATCAAGGAGTTGGGCAAGCTTGGCTTCGCCTGGCAATTCATCACTCTTGGTGGTCTCCACGCCAATGCTCTCGCAACAGGTAAATGTCACTATAGGCTTGACGAAGTGATACTGTTTATCAAATAACTCATCCATCTCAATCTTCTTTTAGCCACCTTCGCAAAGGGTTATGCTGAGCACGGTATGCTTGCCTACGTTGCAGGTGTTCAACGTAAGGAAAGAGAAGCTGGCGTTGATGTTCTTCAACATCAGGTATGTACACAGATAGACTTTTTCACGAAAAGAAAAGATAGAAAATTGCTGAATCTCTTTTACTAACTATGTCTTGCTTTGCTACAACAGAAATGGAGTGGTGCCAACTATGCTGATGAGCTTATCAAGATCGTCACTGGTGGTGTCGCATCTACCGCTGCTATGGGCAAGGGTGTCACTGAAGATCAGTTCAAACACTAAGTAAACAAATCCACGGAGGTTTATAGATTTTTATTTTCTTCAACGATGTGCCAATAGCTTATTTCGTATGTACAAAACAAATACACACTTTTTTTTCATGCATACCATGCAAACCAATTTTATATCTTGAAGTCTGAAGAGTTTGAGGATGGGATATTTATTTGTCTCCGCGAATAGTTTCCTTGAATCGCATGATTATTTGATATTTACACCGAGGCTTGAAGGTTTAAAAATTTTCGCTTTCCCTTTTATAATGGCATTTTTTCATCTATCACATTTACGCTGACTATATATTGATAACCTTTGGTCACATTTCATGAATCGAAGCGAATATTTTTTTACATAAAATAAATGGTATATACATCGATGGGTTTAATAGTAAGGCGGACTGGAGACAATTATCTCTAATCTAAGCTTTTACGATACCGAGTACCTGGTTAGAAGCACCGGCTGCACTCCTTATTCTCTTGTATTACGTATTCGAAAAGTAACTAATTCATGTAAACATAAGCATCATGGAGCAGAAAATAGAAACATAGGAGTATACACAGTTGTGCTCCTCCAAAGCCTGACCATATAGATTCTGTATTGTAGTAGTTAGAGGCGTCACTTAGTCTAGCTTTAAAATAATTTTTAGAACTTTTTTTTACTTGCGATATATCCTATAATACTAGCAGAAGATGACTTTCATTGAAAAGTCATGATGAAGAGATAAATCTCGACAGCAAGAGAGCCTCTATAATGAAGTGTCCGTCTAATAAGATACCGACATACCCTGAATGAAAAAAAAAAAAACCAGTAGCTTTCATTGTCATGTCGTGATACACTACGACAATGAACTTGACGGAAAGGTTTAGATGTGAGTCTAACAAAAGTGTCGTACTCAGCATTGTCGACGGACAATGAATCAGTAAACCATTGATAAACGTAAAACTACAGATGAATAACCCACACTGATCATTTCTGAATGAGCTCACTCAGTCACGCAGGATGTACCATATGACACTAAAAGTAGAAAAAATTAGCTTTGATTCAGAAAACGTTTGCTATGTGGTTCCACTACAACGGCAATAATCTTTTTGATTATTTTACAAAAAGTGATTTCTGCCGGATTCGAACCGGCGACCGTCTGTGTGTTAGACAGACGTGATAACCGACTACACCAAGAAATCCTGATCTGAAATTTGGACCACTAGATTTTATAGGTCCCTTAATAATAGCATAGAAGATAAAACCATCTTTGGGTTTGATTGCTCATCGTAAAGCGAGGCATCGACAAAAGCAACCACACAAATAGTGCTTTTATAGTCATTTTAATTGGAATTATGATAGCTAAGATGCTAAATCAGTTTTAGTGAGTAAATTATGAGATAGGGCACAGGTATAGAAGGCTAAGGGAATGTATACTGTTCTTTCTTTCGATTTTTGTTATCGGCTTTATCTATCACATTTGATTGAGAGGGAAGGAAAATAGGGTGCTTCTTCAAATACATATAATGTAAATCTCCTCGAAAAACATATCGCCAACAACAAGAAATAGAACATAATGATGTTGATCATCGGCTACTATGGTGTCTGGAAAGGATGTGAAAGCATTATAGTCTCAACTGTATTTGTCCTATAGGTTTGCCGTTGATACCATCCCTGTAGATACTTGTAATCTGGGCTGCTATTTTTCTAGATGAATCTGTCCAACCAATCCTGCCTTACTCCTCTTGTGAGGTGCCTCAGTGTCTTGATCAATATGCATATATGTCACGTGGTGTAATACTGCCGCCATTACTGTCGCCATCACTACAATCGTCTTCCATTCATGCCTGCTCTAGAGATCCTCAACAAGTCGCTGCTATTTAGAGCGTGCATTTGGCCGTTATACAATATTATCTTTTCTTATTCACGTGGGTCCACGGTCAACCTCTAAATCTTTATATTTCGCGGTAGAGTTTTCTTCATTCATGAGGCGGCGCATACGTTCAGCTACGTTAACTGACCAACTTCGCCGGGGTTTATCAATTGTATCCTTGCTGCATGCTCACTTCAGCTTCATTATGCTTCATCATCGATTTAGGTTTACTACAGCCTTATCCGTCTTTATTAAACGTCCACTGTACTGCCAATTTTGATCGCTCTTTGCGTAGTACTGATAGGTCTACATACTTTGTCTTGTTTGAAAACAATGTTTCACGTTCTATGGCATGCCATAAATTGTGGATGAATCGAAACCACTGACTATGATGTTTTGGCCAGAGTCATGCTGTGTTAAATGACTATATAGGTCTCCTTTGCGCATCTCTGCTTCTAATATTATGCACATACTTTGTGCTAGTGGGTCGTTTACCTGCCACGTTAAGAGCTTTACAACAGCAAGTGTTGCTTGGCTGTTGTGCCTAGCACCTCCTGCTATGATATACCCCAAGTGCGCAGCCTGTCCATAAGTCAGACCCCTTGGTACGATAGCTCCGATATTTGTATTAACATCGAGTAATGCACATGTACCCTCACTACTCAATAACGTGCTGCAGTCCTTGCCGGTATCTAGAGCGTACGTGAGAGCAGCTGTCACATTGTCGTGCTTGGGGTTTGTAGTTACAAGCGTCATAACTGTGGTACTCAACATCAGTAAGTCTAGCCAAGTAGAACCAGTCAGGACGACTTCCTTATAGGCAGCTATAATCCCAGCAGATACAAAAAGTGATAGTGACATAAGCGACGTCAAGTCTATCTGATTTCTGCTGAGTACATCAATGTAATGTAGCCCTAGAATTAGAGGCAGAAACAGGGCGATAAGCAGCATTAGCATAGCCGCTCCAGCCCGCCAGTCGTGTTTCCTTATGAAGCGGTTTTCCTTTTCAAGAAATTCCAGCCTTTCTGATGCCATATGACCATTAATACGAGAAGTGACGGACACCTGGGTAAAATGCAACTTAACATTAACAACGGGAAAACCTATGGTACCGTTGAAACCACTGACACCGCTGGATTGATGTGACATTGCTGTGTTTTTGGACATGGCTGTACGGCCGTAGTCTCCACGCTTACTTGCTCTGTAGCATGGCCAACAAGGTTCATCAGACATAAATAGAGGTTTGCTATCTTGTATAGAGTAAGTTTGAACACTGTGTGGCTCTTCTTGCATACATCCAGAATTCACGTTGCCAAGCCAATGTATTCGTTCAGCGTATGCACTCTTAAGTAGTGAACGTCCTATATAACTGCGCGGGATGCACATAGCCTGATAAGCCTCTATAAATTCCTCTATGGTCACACTTGTGCTGACCAGTGTTTTGAAGTGCTCGACTTCCTCAGAGACTTTGAAATTACGTATAAACAGTAAATCCGCAGAGCTTATAGCTCTTACGAAGGTGTTGTTGGGCACAAGGCAATGCTCGAGACCGTTGACACCCGGCGGGAAGACACCTATGGCGCTTAAAATGCTGTCTAACAAAGTGGATATCTTTTCCGCTGCAATCCTTTTGTCAATGTCTTCAGTGTATATCTCGCCGGCTAATAGCCTTGAATACATCAGGCCCATAGTTGCATCAACTATTCTTTTGAAATCCGCTTGACCTGGACTATAGCCTATAGCAACCCTTATGATAGTGTAAACGCATAAGGAAGGGTAAAATGTTAGAAGCATGGAACGCCTACTAGTGTCAGACTGAAGTAAGAATTTTGCACATAGCAGGTAGAAATCTGTTACGATAAAATGATTACTATAGAGGAACTCCTCAACTAACGACGAGCTCTTTGCCGACAGCAGGTCCTGACTGTACGTGGCTGCCTTGGAGATAAAATCTTCTATATCCAGAGGGGATGAAAACAACCTCCAAGCTGTGCTAGTAATCGAGGCAGCATCTAATATGGCGAGTATAATTCTTGCAAGTGCAATGTTTAATATATCGATGTATGGCTGAATATGATACCAGAATCTCATCGGGACTGACTCGTCTGCCTTAAGATGCCTTGGTTGAAGTTGAGAATATGTTGCACGGAGCGCGCTTTAGTCACGCGCGTTGACCCCACTCCATTCTTTTATATTTTTTCTCACTCAAATCGTGAATTTAAATTTTTTTATCAATGGAAAGAAGCTGCTCGGAACAGCTCCGTGCAAACAACCCCAATTAATCCAAAGCAATCCACTCTTAACACCTTCGTAACACCAAGCTCAGCACTTGTATTCCCTTAACGCAAGAGAAAAGAGCCTGGACCGCTCCTCACCCAAACTGGTCCTGCAAGCAAATGGAACTGTACAATTTCTTCCATAACAGAATGAAACTTGAAAACACAACCTCCGACCCAATGGTAATATCAGTTGATAAATGATTCAGTAATGTGGTGTGGTTACACCAGTTCACCGGCTTAGATGGGTCTCGTATCAATGGAGAAGTCGCTGGCACGATTGGTCCGTTACTTGGAGAGATTTATGTAGAAACTCGATCAAAGCGATAAAAAGATGAATTCTCTAGTTTATGAAAAAGTCTCACCTCCATCTACGGATCTCAGATACGAGGTAAAAATCATTCTAACGAACATGACGATCCAATTGCGGCTAGCATACATCGGTGTGAACATTAACCTTATAAACAACCGTTGACTATGTAAATTACAAGACCAACATGCTGCGTGCCATCAACGGAATTGTCTTATCTGAGCAACAGGTACTAGACGCAAAGTTAATACCCGGTCGTTTAGCAAACAGCCATCCGCAAGATATTGGTTTCCACTGCAATGAATACTCAGGAGAATACTACAACATTGTTTTATTTTATGTGGCATGCCAAAACAACATCTAAAGGATGGAAAAGGTGTAGCCAATGAAAGTTTGGTGACAAGTTAAATGATGAATATCTCACTTTTCTCACCAGTGAGAAATGATCCATGCATCGTGATGAGAGAAAGTTGTATTGTCTTAATAAAAGTAGCTTGCGGCTGCATTTGTACCATGTAATATTAACAAAAGTTTGAATGTAATAGGAATTGAATTGAGAGCAGCACTATCAACGTGGTATGCCGCTCATTTGTTGCTCATGTCCTTTTCTACGCTTTTACTGCGAGCTCTCTCAGCTGCAAGGGCGGCTCCAGGAAACATATTCATATCAGAAGACGATGCCGTTGGCAGTGATTGAGTATTGCCTTGATGATGACCATCTTGCTTCTTTTCAGTTTCGGAATTTCGATAAGCATATCGCGACAGCATGTTCAATTCTTCCATCAAAGTCTCATGTCGGAAAGCAACTCGAATATTGGGAACATTTGTCTTTCGCATATCGTTTCCAGCAGTCCCTGGCTCAGTCCATGTCTTGCCAATCCAGTGCATTTTGATCTTGTTCTCCCATCCACTTTGAATCACAGAGTTCCTAGCAAGCTCGCACATGTCGGTGGAGGATAATTTCCAAATCTACAAGACGCCTCATTAGTATAGGTAAAAGGGTGAAAGTCGTTGCAATACACAAACCAACCTGAGCTGCGACGCTATATTCCTCAATCAAGGGTTCTTTGGTGAAATGAAATTGCAACGGATCATCGCTAGATAGCGACACGTTCAAGCCTCTCTGGAAAAACTGAGGAAGAGGGTTTCGTTCGTAAGTCAAAAACAGCGCATTGTTGGATAAAGGAGACATGGCCAATCCAATTTGTTTCAAATAATAAAGATATTGTAATGCGGGAACTTTTCGTAGGAGAATACCGTGGCTGATACTTTGAGAGGTCAAAAATGCTGCTGTCAGATTGGCACTGTCGCCAGCCTCCCCAGCATGTGGTCTCAGCACAAAAGTGTCTATTGGGAAGGTATCGCTATGAATTAATCTGTGTACCAGCGCAATCAAGGCAGAAGAGGATACCTACTGAATTTTCTCTTTGCTCTCCATTTGTTCAAAGATGCCATATTCGCATACATGTAGTATAAATAGTATGAGTAGGGAGGATTCTGTTTAGTGTTCCATTCGTTAGGAAGCGGATATTTTCGATAAACCCGCCTCTCTGTCTTTGACTCGTCGTCGACACTGTCAAAACCAATCACTCTCTGTAAGAAGATATGAAGCTCTGGATGCGCCTCTGGATTTTTTGTAACTTCGAAGAGAGGCTCAAAAATGTCTGTTTGCACGATTCATCAGCATTGTTCCACATCCATCCGCAATGACGACAGCTACACTTACTTCTGATGACATCCTCAAAGTTACTGACCAAAGTACTACCCTTGTAAACATCATAAAGTCGAGGAACTTGAATGAGCCAGCGCACGTTGGGTGAGAATAGCTTGTTTTCCACGACCCATTTAGCGAGCTTATCCCATTCATTTTTTGAGCGACCATAGATCGAAATACGATATTCAGCCATTTGATATTTGGAAGATTCCAGATCAGAAATAACCTCTGATTTGTTATTGGTAAGATTTGAAAGAAGCTCAGTCAGAATAAGATTGTGAAAGTCACTTTACTGACATCAAATTCGACAACATCTTACCTTTTGTAAGTTCTGCCAAATAGCGTCCGTTTATGTAATTATCGGTCTTGAGGAAAATTTCTCTAAGTCTGCTCTCTCCAATCTTGAAAAAATATGAGTAACCATGTTCAGATACTCCTTCATAAATGATGGCATCACTTACAGGATTGTACTTTAAGTTAAATTTGTCAAATCTATGAAAGGAATCCTTGTGTGCCTATCAGAGCCCATTGATATTAGCTTCTCCACTCCTATCATTTTGTTTGGAAAAAAATTGTCTGCCATAAATGCAATGCTTACATGCATATCTAAAGTGTCAATGCTCAAGTCATATGCACTCAGGTTCAAACTCTGGAATACACCAGAGAGTGTCAAGTGTTTGCCATCGCGATAAATGACTACTTCCTAAAAGTCAGAAATCAGCATCTCAATATGTAAAACCACGTCTTTTCTATATGAGATGCACTTACATCAGGGTTTTTGCGCAACTTCGCTTTGATGAAACGTAAAAGATGCTTTTGATTCATACACGCAGAGTGATGTACGTGAGTATCGACTTTACGAACGTTGTAGAAATCTCTGTGAGGCACCCTCTAATACAATTAACCCTTAATGAGTAACAAAGTTGGGGCAATCAATCAATATTGACGACTAGAACAAACCTTGGAATCTGCTAACTCTTGGTATTCATTCAGCAACGCATACAAGTTCCATTTGCTCTCAAGATAGCGAAGTCGCCTATAAGCAAAGCTCTTAGCAGGACCATCGCTAATGATGCCCAAGATGTAATCTAAGTCCATAAAATAGTCTCTAACGCTGGGAGGCTGATAAATAGGCTTGCCATCTTCTCGGTGCTCGGAACTTTCGTAGACTTGAAAAACTCCAGTACTGTCAAGGTCATAAATGAACTGTATGTTGTCTGTTAGATGATGATTCAAACATAACATTTTGAGACAAACTAACTAACCGGATCTTCCTTTGGAATCTTGCAATGATTGTAATCGAATTCGCTGCCGACAAAACCGACAGGATCGGCTTCCCTAGCAAGTTCCCTTTCCTTACGGCGCTGGAGCTCTTCAGGTGGCGGCAATGGCCAAGAGGGTGCAGGAGGTGGTGGGTATATCTCCCAGTCATCATGATCCTTTGGGTTATCAAAGGGCTGCTGGCATGACGCTCCCATGTACTTATCTCTAAGATCCAAACAGCGTTGAAAATTTGTATACAGGTTCTGAAGCTCGTTGCTAATATCGTCGTCTGATAAAAACATAAGGGATATAGTAATTTAAGTAAAATGTACAAGAGTGATTAAAAAATTAATCGCGTCAAAGCTCCTTACCAGCACTGTCGCGTAGCATTTTCATAATATGCGTATTCACTTCCTTTTTTTTTTTCTCTCGCTCTATTTTCCTCTTCAAATCAATCAATTCATCATCACTGCTGGCAGAGTCCACTTCATCAGTGGCGTCGCCAGTGTCGTTTGATAAAGTCAAATCATCGATCAAATCTGCTTCTTGCTTGACCTTTTCAATTTGAGCGAAGTATGGTTGTATGAAATGAGAGTGGCTCGGATTTTGTTCCATTCCTTCAAAAGAAGCAGGGTTTTGAGGAGAAGTAGCGAGGTTTTGGCCTAAGTACTTGCTGTCATGCTAGACAAATTGTGTCAGTATATGCTGCAACCTGTACGATGCAAGTAATATTGTACTGCTTACGCTCTCAATGGATTTCAGTTGATGGTATTTGAAAAACGGATCTTGGTCAGTCATGTATTGCTCCGAAGAAGATTCCTGGAGGTCTTCATTTCCGCTTGATTCTCGGATCTCGTCCTTCATTGCAGTATAATAGCGTGGAAAAGTTTGAACGATGCGTCTGCGGACCCCCAACTCAGCCTTTTCAAATAAAAAAATCAAAAAGTTCGGGACAAACAATCGGATTTTCCTGATTGTGTTCCCAAGCTCAGTTGGATGCTGCGGTCTTCTACTACCGTTCTTCTCATTTCCAATTTCTTTATCAATTGACATATCTTGTTTGTATTCAATAAAAGCTATACGATACTAATATTCTGCGCACGATGAGATTGGTATGGTTCATTGTAAGCACTGATATGAATTTATGCAGTAATTGTAAGTTTCATATTTGGAGCTATGGTAACATTAACCATTATAGCCTACCCTACCGAACAGAGTTGTTATGATTTTTCTGACTATGTGATATCTCGCTACAATAAAATGTGGTAATGAACCAACCGAGTTTGTGCCTTTGTTCTTTCTGACTGCCAAAATTTGAAGCTGATTTGATTTTCCAGGTGTCGTTCGGAGTTTGGCAAGTAATTTCTTGCCTTCAAAGACTTTAACATGAGCAGTGAAGATTACAGTTTAGAGAACCTGATCTCCAGAAAAAAAAGGCGAAAGAACCGAGAAAGGAAGAATGAAGACTTAGAAAAAGTAAGAACACAAAAAACACCTTTTCTGTTAAACATTCATAGCTACATTCTGCTCTAACTACTTTTTACAATAGTTGTTTGCTGAGCTTCAGAAAACGCCAGACGAAATGTACGATTCTCCTGTGAATGCTGACTATAAACTCGAAGGAAATGAAGAACAAAAATCTATGGATATGAAGGGAGCTGTTGAAACGGCGCAAAGGTATCTGGAACGGGAGAAGAGCGACAGACTTGCACAGGTAAAGAGCATTTTGGAGGTTTCAGCACTACTGTCAAGCACGGCTCACCACTGTATTTCAAAATGGAATAGATATTAGAAGAAGATGAAGATGTAACTAGTGAGAAAAATTATAATTATTTTGGAAGTGGTATCAAGGTACGACATATTAGGATAACTGTCAATGACAACTGATACACTACTATATGAAAGAGCTCAACTCAGACTTTACATCTACAGCCATTTCCACCTATCGTTTTATCAGACGAAATATCGACCTTTCAGCCGGCATCAACGAAGAAAATTGTATATACTAAGATCTATAATCTTGCCAACGGTGAGCTTCAAATTATGCATTTATCTTCATTCGGCCTTTTTTTTTTTTTTTTTTACTAACTGTCAATGTAGACCGTCTTGGAAGAAGGCAACTTATATCGGATGGATGGCTGTCACATTATCATAGGAGAGGTCTGGACTATCCTTTGTCTGTATATAGATGGCTGTTTCAAATTGGTGGGTATAACGACGATATGGACATGAATGGATCAAATTATTTATCTGCCATATCTTAGCTGCGTATGAAAGTGATCTCGACCAATGCAACGGCGCGAAGCAGACCATGTTATCTTTATGGAAAAGTTTGGTAATGCGATGACTTCATTTTTTGAAAGAAGTATGAAAAAATAACTGAGCCTACTCTGCTAAAAGAATTCTCAAGACTTCACTGTGGATCAGATGGTCGTCAAAGGAGAAAGTCAGTGTGCTATACCGTGGCAAGATTTCGAACAGGTTTTAAAGGCTTATGGTGCAGCTGAATCGGAGATTGCTTGGGCACGACTGATAATAGAAGAAGATGATACCTGCCAACCAACTTTAATGGAGGATGTTCGCAACTCATACACTAATGCAAGTGAAAAGTCGCGCAATCCTTCGTTTCCCATTTCGAATGCTCGATACATTGTACATTTGTTTGGTCAATCAATATGGCAAAGGTATTGAAATCTCGGTTTTTAATGTTAAAACGTTTTCTACAAGACACTGACATTTCATTTTAGTCAATCGAGCTATAGTCCCAGTATATTGAGCTACGTCACTTTGTTACTCATTCAAATGTCGATGGATGAACGCTGTGAAGCTATACTGCCCGACATTGAAACGGCCATTTGCTGCTGTTTGCATTCTTACGACCAGAACTTGTGGAAGAAAGAGGTAAAGATTCCGTGCTTAGCTACGTTGGCATTTAGATGTGTTAAACAATACTTGGATGAACCAATTAGGTGGACAATATGGTGGCTTTGTTATCGTCTCGAATTTTGATTGGGGATATCCAAGTAAAGTCATTGAATACACTCAAAAGTGTTTCAGAGAGGAGTGATTATTTCAGAAGAACTTTGGCTTTGAGCTATGTGTTGAGTGGGGCTCCAACAGGAGATCAGGCCAACCTTAATCAGGCTTACGGCTCTTCAGCACCTTGTACTCCGCAGTCTAACTACAGTGAAGATATGCAATCCAGCAACGGTTCTACACCAGCTTTATCTGAAGTTCAAGTAAGTTCATTGCCTCAGAATACATTCTTCAAACAGCAGATCGGCGTGCTTATTTATTCCATTAGAATGGCCTATATCCTATCTCTATCGATTACCAAATTGAACCTCTGATACGATCAAGGCAATTGCTTGGTCTTAGTTCTGACCAACTGGACGCACACAAGCTAACTTGTACCATAAATCTTTTATCTGTTTGTATTGGAGACGATGAAGGAGAAATCAAAAGCCAAAGGGTAAAATATTCGAGACATGACATCTTTACAAGGTGAAAAATTATGCTGACCCAGCTGATTTGACAGTCATCGGTGGAAAAGATTATACGTTCCCTGCAGCATATAGCCAAAAGAATTGGTAAGTCAAGGGGTAATGTTCAGTGGTTGTTATGGTTAATAACACTGACGTCAAACTGCTTGTGATTGTCATGTTTAGGTCTAGGAGGTAAAGTTGGGTCACTTGACCGAACAATTGTAAGTAACATGCAGGCAAAGGCGAGGATCAATGTTTTTTAAAAATAATAACTTACATTGCATTAGGCCAGAGAGGTTTTAGAAAGACTCTGGAGTCGATTATCATATGTTATCGGAACAAGATCACATAGAGCCATAGAAAATACTCATGTTTAATTGCAAGCGCGTGCTCGTTTCCCAGTGACCCACAGGTTTCATTGAATGCAAAGCTTAATGAGCACTATTCAAACCCAGACAAATATTTGATTTCTTTTGGTGTGTTTAACGGGGAAAATACGTTGGCCTTTGATCTTTGAATCTGCCTACGTCTTCTTCCATTCTAACATAATTACCATGGTATGTTCTAATTTGCTCTCTCAAGACTATATGGAACTTATCGAATGTATTCTGACTTCATTTGTAGTCTAATGTTCGGGAGTACTTGTATAAATTCTTGGTAGTGGGAGATCTGGGAACTGGCAAGACTAGTATAATCAAGCGTTACGTACACAACATTTTCTCAATGCACTACAAATCAACGGTAGGCAGTATGAATTATGCTTATATCAGCGAAAAAAGATCACATTTTCTGATTTTATATGCTATCTTCAACTTTGATAGATAGGAGTTGACTTTGCCTTAAAAGTCATACAGTGGTCACCAGAAATTGTCGTGCGTTTGCAGCTTTGGGATATTGCTGGCCAAGAACGATTTGGAAACATGACTAGAGTCTACTACAAGGAGGCATTAGGAGCTTTTGTTGTTTACGACGTTACTAGACCGCAAACATTCGAAGGAGTGCGGAAGTGGAAGGCGGACTTGGATTCCAAGATATCGCTACCGGAGGCGTGGGGTGGTGGTAACATCCCGGTTGTGCTCTTGGCAAACAAGGTGAGTGGTATACCTGTGTGTAAATTCATTTTATATATCAGCTAATCACATACATGTCCTCACATTATAGAGTGACCTGATAGGCGAAGGTCACGGCCAGCATGCAAATCCAACAGAAATGGATACCTTTTGCAAAGAGAATGGATTTATAAAATGGTAATTGAATTTTGGAAGAGTAGGCTATGCCGTCAAATCTTTACTGACAAAAATATTAGGTTTGAAACATCTGCTAAGGACAATACTAATATCGACGAAGCGGCTCGGCATCTAGTTACCACAATTCTAGGCATTGAAAGGGAACATCTAGATAGACATGATGCGGAAAACTTTGAAAATAATAATCAACAATTACGCGTCGACTCTCGCGACAAAAACCGAAATGACGGTGGCTGCTGTTGACGCGTTGATTCGTATTCACTCTTCTATTACGAACAGTCTATTACCAGAGAATATCTATCCTTTTCCCAATCGTTTTGTAATATTCATTCAGTTTCTTATTCCCAATAGTTTGGACCCATAAAAGTAAAGGGGTTCTACTCAGTATTACATGTACGCAGTCGGTTGTGCGGAAATTTGGCATGTTGTGTGATTGAATTTCGCAGAGTTACTGCTTCTTTGGGCTACAAGGTGTGAATGTTTGTTAAAACTGCTTCGCAGTTGATAACATGCATATGAGTGGAAAAGTTAAAGTTCTCGCGAAGATGTTTCCTCAAAAGTGAGCTTGTCGATACTAGCAGCACGCCAGTCTATCTCGCTTCTAAGGTCCAATTGACGAGAATGTCTGGAAGCGCAGTACCTTGCGTCAGTACAGAAGTCTATATTTTTGGGAATGTCTCACTCTATTTCGCTATTTGTTCGGACAAGATACTCCAATTGGGTAAGCCGGTTGTTCGAGGTCAATTATTTTGGGACGTTCATTCTTTCGGACAGACACCTTCGGCCAATATTTCAGCATTACCCAAATTTGGCACGTGCATTCAAAATTTGTGACTTGGGTGTCGGAGGGGGACAAAGTTGCTTTGGAGCTGGAAAAGACGTACTCGTTTCAATTCCATCAATGCAAGCCATTAAGTGTGTTGTTGTTGGTGACGGGTACGAAACTTACTTTTATTACTGGCAATGCTTTATGGGATTATGATCGGGACTAGTTTGAAATCTTCTCGCGCAACTCGCCCTCAATCCGACACAGCAACCTTTGACAGCTGCCATCGCACCGAGTAGTTCGTCGAGATTTCATGAATCAATAGCACAGCTTGGCCGGCATACAGTAGTAACTTCACCATGTCAACCTACGAACTGAAATACAACCAAAAATGACTGATATCGTACGAAAATGATTATCTTTATGGCAGACCAGAGGTGTTCAGTATTTTTCATAAATCATTTTACAGCTACTGATCGATCGTTTCATTTTTACAGTGCCGTTGGTAAAACCTGTCTCTTGATTTCTTATACTACCAATGCCTTCCCCGGAGAATATATCCCTACAGTGTAAGTGGCGTATTAAAAAATCAACAAGTGTTCGCTTTTCCTTGACTTTGGATCCTGATCCGAGTTCCATTGGCTATCCAGATTTGATAACTACTCCGCGAATGTCATGGTAGACGGAAAACCCATCAATTTGGGTTTGTGGGATACGGCTGGTCAAGAAGATTATGATCGACTCAGACCGCTGTCATATCCTCAGACGGATGTTTTTTTGGTTTGCTTTTCTTTGGTCAGCCCTCCATCTTATGAGAACGTACGAACTAAGGTATGTACACCCGGTAGAACAGTGACGTATCTTCTAGATCGATAGTCGAATTAACTCAGTTACGGTTTTTCTTTCAAATAGTGGTATCCTGAAATTAGCCACCACGCTCCAGGAATACCGGCGATTTTAGTTGGCACTAAGCTCGATCTTCGCGAAGACACTAACACCATTGAGAAGTTGCGAGAGAAGAGAATGGCCCCCATAACATATTCACAAGGCTTGCAGATGGCAAAGGATATTGGTGCTGTCAAATATTTGGAATGTTCGGCTCTCACCCAGAAAGGTTTGTCCTCCGAGACTTTACTAGATCAAGTAACGCGTATATGGGTTTAGTTAATCGCTTTGAATTTTAAAGGTCTCAAGAACGTTTTTGATGAAGCTATTCGTGCTGTTCTTTGTCCTGCTCCACCACGCAAGAAGCAAAAGAAGTGCATGATTCTTTAAAATGGCTTCGTACACCATCCGGTCTGCCGTATTCAGTCTTTTACGAACCCAACAATTCGTGTTATGACAACACAAGCCTCTTTTTAAAAATGACCGACATGACTAAAAACCCTAAAAAAAATTTACTTGCAACTCTCCATACGTTTACAGACCAAAAGATCTTGAAGAGTCGGACCAGACGGGTAGCCGGCCCACCTCCATCTCTCCAAGAGCACAGTCGCTTGCTACTTTTACTTATTTTATTATTTCTACCCATCGTTTCTTGCCTGTACCGCACCCCATTACGTTAGATCTCTTCTGTTCCATCTAAATCTTCGGATATACGAAACAAAAAGATGTCATATCAATTAAGTTTTTTATTTAGTAAGATAACCATGAGCATTATCGTTAACATTGTCTTATTGTGGTGGTGTGTATTTACAGATTTATGTGTGATTGCTAGAACCAAAGTAGTCACGAAGTGATTTTGACGACGCCGCTTGATTGTCCTTCCGTGACTGTATTGAAGGCGATTCATGGGATGCAGAGCCATTGTCGTTTGGTGCTATGCCTGAGACTTTCATCTCGTTGCGAACTAACGACATGTTTAAGCAACTATCAATGTGTTCGTTAATCATTCGATTGTCCAGGTTTTCAAACTGGGTATTGCATATAGGGCAGAGAACTTGCTCTGAGCTTCTGTCGGTTTCAAGCGTTGACGGGGTTTCCATTTTGGTGGAAAATAGTGGTACTTCGTCATTCCGTGAGCGCTTCGATGTATGTGTGTCCTGACCAAAATCCGAAGCTGATTCATTAACGGGATGGAAAAACTATTGGCCAGACGAGATGTTACTATAGGCTTCAATAAGTAGAGATAGTGCAGATACCTACACGTTTTACTCCTTTCTGATCTAATTCGTCCCTGGAGCATAACGATGATAGACGGATGCCCATTAGTCTGAGGCTTACAGGAAGCTCCTTTTCCAAGAGCTAAAGGCATTAATGAGTTGTGTGTACGAATCAATCGGTTGTGCAGACGTGTGTGACAGTAACATACCTGACCAGCATATTTTTCAAGGTCTTCCTGCTTGTAAATGTTTCCTGGAAGCGTCTTCGCCCTTGTACGGACTTCGAATGAGGTAAGCTTAATCTTCAATCCTAGCGTTTTACCGCAGAGATTTTTGCTTTCCAGATCTTTTGCTAGCTTTTGAGCAATATCTTTGAGCTTGAAGTAAAGATCTGTCCGACTGCTCAGACTGCGAAATGTTCTTATGAAAAGAAATTAGAGCCAGAATATTTGCATAGCCATCATCTACAACAAAAACACTATACCTCTCCACACTAATACTCTTTCGTACGTATTCAGAATCGACGGAGGTAGAGCCTATTCCCAGGTGTGCTTGAAGTAAAAACTTGAAACTTATGTCGCTCAGTAGTTTAAACAACATGGCCCGTTGTGGGTATATGTCTTTGCATGTATTTACGTTCAGAGCATTCAGCACTCGTTCAGTGACTCGACCTACTCCAGGAATCTTTCAAATGGATATGTGTCAATGTACGTCAAAAAAATGTTCAATCTGGTACACCATTTATACCTTTCTGATAGATAATGGGTTTATAAATTCTCGAATGTCGGTTAAGTCGCTCTTCAAATAGAATTGACCATTTGGTTTATTAACATCAGTGCACATTTTAGCGAGCATCTTGTTGGCCGCGATTCCTAAAAAATAATTAGCATACACTGTTCATTTGAAAACAAAGCTGTCATTAGTCACCTACCAGCGCTAGCTGTAAGTTTTGTCTCTTTGAAGATTTTGTCTCGAATCTCAACTACAACCTCTGGTGGAGATTGATTAGTGGTCTTCAAATGTTCTGTAATGTTCAAGTAAGCCTAAAGGAGAAGCAATTGGCAAAAAGATGTTAGTCAATGTCCATTATCAATTGTAGAGGTAATGATCAAATAGTTACTTCATCCAAGCTCATAGGGCAGTAATGAGGGTCGTACTGTTCGAATACTGACCGAACCTTTGCGGATGCTTCGCGATATTTTGTGAAGTTCAGCGGAACAATCTTCAACTGTGGACAGAGCTTGAGAGCAATGTATCCCGGCATAGCACTTCGAACTCCAAACTTTCGAGCTTCATAATTGCTTGTGCAAAGCATTCCAATACCACCCACAGCCTTTGAGTTGTGCAAGGAAACTTTAAGTACATGAAGAGTAAAGATCTATGTACCTGAAAAGTAAAGCTTACCATAGGAACAGTCTTCAAATGCGGCTGATCAAGTTCTTCAACGGACGCATAGAAGGCATCCATATCTATATGGACAATACACTGGCTCAGATCTCTTTCATTTTCCAATTCCTCAATCTATAGCTGGATAAGTACTTCATTTCCAAGTTTCCGATGGCCAAGGAACAAACATACCATGTTATCAACTGTGATCAATTCTTCGGACAAGACATCGTTCTTGATCCTCTCGTACTTGGCCAATAACGCATTAATTCGATCTGTCACTGCTTTGTCCTTTTTACGCTCATTTTCAAAAAAAGATGACCCCTATAACGATATCAGGTCAAAATACTCAAATACAGTGTATCAGTACAGTAGCAGTCAATCGTACTTTGGAAACTTCGTATATAATTTCGTTCACTTTAGCTTTATCGACAGAATCTAATCCAGCCTAGATGGTAACAGAGTGGTCACTTAAAATTCAATAAAAGGTGGGTAGCCTTTGAAGGCTATAACAATGTACCTTGCTCGTAGACGGGCCGGCTAAGCGAACACGCAGAGTTTCGTCAGTATCGGAATGTTGCGCAGTTATCTTGTCAAGGTCGACATTTTCTGTTGGTGCATCTGAAGGCGGCTGCTCGGAGGGGCCATCGTCAAAAAAAAGATCTTCTTCTTCAACGATTTGAGACGACAGGAGTGCATCGTCCTCGTCATTGTGGTCCATGCCGAAAAGTTACAGAAAATGGTCAAGGATTGCGACGGTCTTATTGAGTGACCGCTGTTCTTGACGTGATTTTTTGGATTTTGGATTTTGGAGCACTTTCCTCGAGTCAACAATAATGGCAACACGACAATTGAAGGCAATTGCACGCCTCCATTCTGCAAAATTACTGCTGCCCCGGATTCGTACCCCTGTCTATGGATCTTCCGTACCAAATTGCGCATTACATACCAGCGCTCGGACACCACAAGCTCAACCTGTTTCTGCAGGCAAACACAGTTCCGCGTTCAGCCAGGGTCAATCTACTAGCCACATATACGATGTAGTTATAGTAGGTGGTGGGGTTGCTGGAACAGCCCTAGCATGCTCTTTGGGTTTGTAATGCTATTATTTGTATTAACTCTTTTGCAAGTCTATACTTATCCCAACTGTTCAGCTAGTAAACCCGAATTTCACTCCAAAAAAATCGCATTGATTGAGGCTTTTGACTTGGCGCCTGTCAAAAACTGGACGCCTTCAGAAAATGTATATTCAAATAGAGTTGTGTCGTTGACACCTTCATCTGTTAGTCTGCTTAAAGGTTAGGGTCCTTAAGATATTGAAGGTCATTAGTCATGTAAGCTAATCAGGTCCGTAGATATCGACGTTTGGCGGCACTTACACCAGGATCGTATTAAACCATATGATGATATGCAAGTTTGGGACGCTATATCCGGAGCAAGGGTCGAATTCAACACGTCCATGTTAGGGCAAGGGTCTGCAGATATACCCATTGCATGGATGATAGAGAACGTGCACTTGCAAAATGGCATTCTTGCCAGTGTCGCTGAGCACAACTCAAAAGGCGCAAAGATGGAAATAATCGAGAAAATTAAGGTCTCCAATATATCATATGAAAAGAACACGGATGACAGCGCAACCGGATTCGATTTATCGGATTGGCCCACCGTTGAACTTAGTAATGGCCAAAAGCTGAAAACCAGATTGTTGGTAGGGGCACATATATGGATATATGAAGCTGTCAAACGCGGATTAATAACTTATTACTTGAATTAGGTTGGTGCAGATGGTGCCAATTCCCCTGTACGAAATTTCGCGAACATCAATTCTCTCGGATGGGACTACGATACACATGCAGTTGTGGCCACCCTTGATATGGATCCGCTCAGAAGCAATGATACTGCATGGCAGAGATTTCTCCCTACCGGCCCTATTGCCATCCTTCCTGTGAGTACCTGGACATTATGTGACAATATACGGGTAAACTCTAATGCTATCTTGTGATGTTGACAAAGCTTAAAAATGGTGTATCGTCAATGGTATGGTCAACCAAACCACATTTGGCTGCGGCCATCAAAGCCTTACCGGAAGACAGCTTTTGCCATCTTGTAAATGCAGCACTCCGTCTATCGACAGCTGACCTGAAATTTCTGTACCAAGAGTTGGTGGAAAATCCCGAGTCTTTTGGAAGTCTTATTAAGGAGGAATTAACATGGAGGGAGAGCGTCAAACTGAAGTCCAAGACGGATTCTGAAATGAGGGAAATTGAATTTTCAGTGCCTCCTAACGTTGTGGGAGTACAAAAAAACAGCCGTGCAGGTTTCCCTTTGCGACTGAGAAATGCTGAAAGGTATATCGCAGATAGAGTCGCACTTGTTGGGTAAGATTTCCACACATTTTGAAAGATGACTTTGCTTCCATAGATTAATCGCTCCCTTTACTCGCTTGTAGTGATGCAGCACATACCATACATCCACTTGCTGGGCAGGGCCTTAACCAAGGCTTATTAGATGTTCAAAAGCTCTCTGAAGTGTTGAAAATGGGTGTGAGAAATGGGGAAGACATAGGTATGCCTATCTACTTTGTCATTGATATTGCAGTTGAATATTGTAGCTCATGCGAACTTTGCAGGTCATATACATCTCTTGAGTCACTACGCTTCCAACAGGTACGGTCGCAATGTTGCTATGCTGAGTGCTTGTGACAAGATACATCGTTTGTTCGGCACGGAGCTTGCTCCAATAGTGTGGGCAAGGTCGTTTGGATTCAATGCTGTTAATGCATTCGAACCAGTTAAGGTAAATATACAACGTTTTTGTAGGTATTGGCTAATATGTACTTGTACAAAATCTCATATTCGCAAACCTTCTGTGCAGGCCGAAATCATGAAGTACGCTATGGGTCTCGAACAATCCACAAGCGACGTTAAAAGAAGTACTGATCATAATTAGTATTGCGCACCATAGAAAATAAAATACAATATTTTACCAAAACTTTGTGTACTTGCTGCATTTGCATAATGACGACGCGGTAGTATGAGCTTTCAAGCAGCTTGAACATAAAGAAATTTTTAGGGACTGGTGTTCCCAAAAAAAAAAGTCCAGCTGTTAGACATCTCGAACACATATATCAATGGAGCCTACACGCGAATGGACACACGAACAACTTGAATCTGACAGCGTCAGCAAGAAAGATATTGCCAGTTTCCTTCAAGAAAATGCCAGCGGTCAGGTAAGAAACTACTTTCACCTGAGCATTCCGGAGAAGATGTCTAACTGACATCACCACCCCAGTTTTTGTTAGACAATAAGCTGAATGGAAAGTTGGCTATTGTTGCGAAAAACAGCAAGCGAGAAAAGCTTGTCGATGCTTATGAGAAGCTATTTGAAACCAAGAGCTTTAGGTATGTATGAAACAGCTCTTCTACAAACCACACATTGATCTTACTGAGCAAGTTTACATATGCAGAGGTGACGAGGCTGTTGACGCGGCATCTTTGACAAAGGTCGCTAAAACCGATGAATCTGAAAAGACCAGCTCGAAGGAAGCTGCTCCTGTAGAGGCTGAAGTTGTTCAGTATAAGAAGCTCGAGATCATGAAGAAGGGAAACAAGACAAGCTTCCCCCGAAAGGGTGACATGGGTATGTTATTGTTCACTTGATCTCTTGAATGACACTACCTTAACATATCTATTGCGCGGTGATTTTAGTTGCTGTGTGGTACACCGGCACTTTGGAAGACGGCAAAGTGTTCGACACCAACATTGGCAAGAAGAAGGCTCAGCCATTAAAGTTCAAAGGTAAGTCATCTTGCCACTTTGCAGGTAAAAGTAAAAAACGAGATGTATTAATTGTAATTTTGTTACGCTAGTTGGAACTAACAGAGTGATTCGAGGATGGGACGAAGCACTCTTGACAATGAGCAAAGGCGAGAAGTGTAAAATCTTTGTTGAAGCTCCATGGGCATATGGAAAGAAAGGTGTGGAGGGTGTCATCCCTCCAAATGCTAATTTGATTTTCGAAATTGAGCTTGTATCTATTGACTAAATATCGGTATGTAGGAGAAGTCATAAACAAAATAAAACAAATAACCTAGAACAAACGATTCATCTATATAACTTTACAAGGATTTGTCGCCGCCCACACCGGCATAGTCTAGCACAGTGCTGACAAAGTCTTCCAGTATATTGAATTTATCGTCGACTTTGTTTATTGAGCTTTTGTCTTGGTTTCTGCCTACTTCAGAGGCAGGGCCACGGAAATGTCGCGAGGAGTATGGATGTGGTGAAGGCGGCATAGGATTGCAGTCAAATTTCCAGTTTGTAGATCGCTCCTTGTCGTTGAAAGACGGTATCTGTCCGTTGGAAATTGATTTTGGCGAGAGAAGAGGAGTCGGACATGCTGAGAATGTAGGTTTAGGCAACGATAAGCCCATAGAGAATTTATCGTCAGGCTGCATTAGGCAATGGCTGATAGGTGGAAGGGCCACCATACTTGGCTTTTGTAAGCAGCCAGTTGGTGAAAACGCACTATGAGGCTCATAAGGATGTTTATAATCATCTGAAAAGCTATCTTCTGATGAAAAGCTGCTTTCTGATGTCGAGGAGGATCTTCGTGGCATCAATGAAGGAACCGGTGATTCTGGTGGAGCTTGTTCATTCAAGAAGATCATTCTTCTGCCTAATCGTTTGGCGATTTCGTCGCGTATGAAAGCTTGCTTTGCTAGACAGTCACCTTCGCCAAATCGTTGCCGGGCAAGGCGATATACTCGACATCGAAGGTCGTTTCTCTTGTTTTTATCTCTGTTTTCTGCTCGCCATTTTCTCATGCTATATAATTGATGGATGAGTTGAGATAGCACATCGGTTTTAATATTGTAAAGTTCGTTAGCACTAACCGTTCGGTGGTTTCCTGTTTAGAGACGACTTTCTTTGCATGCCCCTTCCATCTTTTTTGATCTCTACTACGAACGTATGGTATATTATGTATGTTGGGGTTTTCCAGATGTCTTTTACTACCATTAGTAATTTTTTTGTTTTCATGTCAGGAACAGTAAATCAACGTTTGGATCAAATCATAGCAGTTAAATAAATTCTTACAGATTAGATCTAGTAGCGAATACTAAAGAGAAAATGATAATCAGGGATTAGTATATACACAATAAAGCGATTGCATATGGAAGGACGGGTCAGTACATTCACCTTTTGGGCACTGTGAGCAAGCAAACATTATGTTAATTGATATAGTGCAAACTTCTTTGAAGGTGTAGAGAGCACTGTTGTATAACAGATATATATAAAAAACGAAAAAAGTAATTAGGTAGATAACGCAATATAATGAGAAGCGACGACAAAGAGAAGGGTAAATGTAGTATTTATGAGAGTCCTTTATAAAAGTATAGAAAGGATATCAGTTTACGGAATTTTGCATGCAGCTAGTAAGGACTCGTTACCCAAACACCATGTCTATTCTTTATTCCAAAGGAAGAAAAAGAGGGATCATGCAAAGTAGGGGAAAACCAAAAATTCATTGTAAACGCATGTTTGCTTTTCTTTCTTCTCTTTCTAACTGCGAATATCTTCTTGAAAAAGGCCAGTGCGAACAGCCAGCCATATCCTGAAATCATACAGTTTTCAATACAGTGCCATTCCTTCCTCGACAGGTTAAGCAAGCTGCTCATATTGCAACCATCATTAGAGTAGGAAGTCCATATCAGGTAGTCCGTTCAGTATAGCCCTGGTCTATTTGTCCCTGCGTGTTGGGATACCAAAGTACGGAGATGCCTTATTGTTGGGTACCTTGGTGTATAGAGCTCCTCTTGATCCCTTTTCTGTGTAAATTAAAGCGTTTATTGACCTTTCTACTGTTTAGTACCGTTGTAAACAGTTAGCTAGACATCTTTCCTGATGATTCGTAGCCGCAATTACTAGGTGCTTCAACGATTGTTGTTGTTGTTGTGTCTTGTGCATAGACCCTTAGCTTCATTCTTTCCTAATCTGATATCGAGATCATGACATCTTTTGCTGCTGAATTCTCTCTCAATGCGCTTGAGCGAAGTGCAACGAAAATGATACATGTTTTATCGAATGGCAAACGATTATGATCCAAAAAGGGTAAGGATAAACCAAGTCTTACTGTCTCTACTGCATCGCATCATCTCCCCACAGACATCATGGGATAATCGTCACATCTTGTTCAAACTGTAAGATTGTTGGGTCTCTCGTTTTCCTAACCAGATCAACGCCTGTTGGTTGCCTCCTTCTTTCCCGCCAATTTGAAGGGGCCTGTTCAGTACAAAATATACACTCCTTGCAGATTTCCTCCTGTAACAGTGGTTACTTGGCCCTTACATGTCGAGCTGAGTCCGGTTGAATTGCACATCAATTTTGACATTTCAGTAGTAATAGACGATCTACAGGATCTAATATGATAATTTCCGCGTCCCTGTCGCCTGTAAAATAGGCTTTCATTGTTTGAAAGATATGAAGACGGAGGGACAAAATTAAAAAAATGTAGAGGCTCTTATTGACATAGAAACCATTTTAATAACAAGACAAGACATTTGCTGCATATCATCGCCTGAAAGTTTGTACCGGCTTTTTGTTTGATAGCAGTCGCAATAGGAAAAGAAGAAGGAAACTTTTACCTTTTGTCATATTTGGGTATACCGTATAGTGAGTTGCCATCGTGATTTCAGACAAGGACAATTTGTCCATGTTGTATCTTGAAAGGTAACCCCAGACGTTTTTCAAGGATCTTGCTTGTTGCATAGTTCTGTCAACTGTTCGCAAATATCGCATTCAGCTTAACAACGAAATGTACTTTTTGCAGTGGTATTCCTCTGTCACTTCCAATCGTGATAGCTGGAAACCTGAGACGATACATTACCAACATACTCGATCCTCCCTCCATCTCTCTCTCTCATTTTTTTTTTAATATCAGGGCAAATGTTATTTAAAAAACAGTATTTTGTTTTATTTTTTGCTGCAAAAACTACAACAAAAACTCTAGAGTGCTAAGCTGATTGGAATCTTCAATTTGCGGCTAAAGGGATTTCCGCTGATCTGTTTTTACATGAAAGACTTGACATGAGCATCGCAGACTTCACGGAGCTTGGTCTCAAGTTCCTTGGAAAGAACACCCTTGGAGCGGATCTCCTCGAGGACGTCGCTGTGGTTAGACTTGACGTATTGGATGAAATCCTTCTCCCAGTCGACGATCTTGTTAACGGGGAGCTTGTCAAGGAAACCGTTGACACCAGCAAAGACAATGGGGACTTGGGTCTCAATAGAGAGAGGAGTGTATTGGGGTTGCTTGAGAAGTTCGGTAAGACGGGCACCACGGTTCAACAAGAACTGGGTGGAGGCATCCAAATCGGAACCGAATTGAGCGAAAGCAGCGACTTCACGGTATTGGGCAAGGAAAAGCTTGAGGGAACCGGCAACCTGCTTCATGGCCTTGGTCTGGGCAGCGGAACCGACACGGGAGACGGAAAGACCGACGTTAATGGCGGGACGGATACCCTTGAAGAAAAGTTCAGCTTCCAAGAAGATCTGACCGTCAGTGATGGAAATGACGTTAGTGGGAATGTAAGCAGAGACATCACCACCCTGGGTCTCAATGATGGGAAGGGCAGTCATGGAACCGTAACCGAA